CGTCTGCTCCCTCGTTAGTTAGCACAGTACAACTTTGAAGTAAGAATTTTCTAATTACGCAACCTTTTGTAACCAACCGGGTAAACTGTTTGATAGGTGGAATCTAGAAAAGCGGTTATAATCGTTAGGAAGGAGAGACCACGCAATCGGTCTAAATTGATCGTGCGTGAATCAGCTGCAAACAGACCGGGTTATAATTAAAACGGTAATTAACTGAGGGCGTATTTAAACCCTGGGGGCGTATTCTGTCATGAAACTCGTATTATTTATCGTAGTTATACAGTCACGAAAGACTTTGCCATGTTTATCGATGAAGAAACTTTTGAAAAATCGCAATATTCCTTCGTTTATCCGTCCGAAACGTTATTTCCTTCGTATATTATTGTTTCACCTTCTAGTCCGAATCGAGGGCCATCCTTTCTTCTATTTTCCCCTCTCTCTCTCTCTCTCTCTCTCTCTCTCGATTCGAAGAATCCTTTCCTTAGGCAGAAAGTTCTTTCGAAGTAGAGAAGAGAAGAGTTTGTAGGAAGGAAAGACTTGCCTTTCGCTTCGATAACGTTCTTGAAAGAGGGCAGAGAGAAAAAGAGGAGGATAGCAGCAGGCTGAAGGGTGGAAAGACGAAGGATAGAAGCGAATGGAAAGAGAAGTAAAAAGGGGAGCAAGTGGTGAGAGGCAAACTGGAGGAGAAGAGAAGACTAGTTCCATGTGGATGGAATACGGATCAATAACGCAGAGGGGTGAAGCATCATCCTTCGTTTAGGTTCTTTCGATTCTACGACCGAGAAAACTGATTCCGACCAACAGGATGCAACCGATACGAAGATTCTTTCCTACCTGTACGATCGTTTCACCGAGATTTATCTTCTTTCTTACTTCTTGCTCACAATAGAAGCTCGTTTATCAGGACGCTGATTAAGGGAACGATCGATTACCGGGGACGAGGAAGGAAGAGAAATACACGGGAATCTAAAATTGTTAACATTTCTGAAATAGTAATAGCGCAAACTAAATCGTATCGGACTGTTTCGTATTAAGGTCGACGTTGAAGGGTTTTCCTGATTCCCAGAAGATATTTAATTATTCAGAAGGATAGGGAAAATGTTTGTCGAGATTCGAATGCGTGCAAGATTCGGTGACGTGTTCCATAAACGATATCTCCTCGTCCCATGCGACCGTGCAGCACAAGACTCTATCGATCAATACAGCGAAATAAAGTAGAGAAGAGGAAAAGTTTTAATACGATATACGAACCGGCCTCCTTTCACCCACGCCCGAAAAAAAATTCCTCTTTGTCCTCTTTCTTTATTTTTTTCCTTCTCTTCGATTTCCGAACTGATTTTTCTCCACGGTTTTCATCTCTTTCCTCTTCTCGCTTCGACGATTCCGCTGATGATCATCGTAACGGCAGTCGGAGTGTTAATTGATGGCCCTTGTGGCTGCGAACGTGTCAACAGTGAGCAACGAAAACGTGTTACAAATGTTAGTTGGTTTGTTTGTTTCGCGAGGAAAGTAAAGAAAGGGAGGTTGGAGCTAGGTGGAAAACGAGGGGTAGCAACGGCATGATTTTCTCGTGACACGTAATAGAGGATGACGAGAGGATAGGAGGGCAGGTTAGAAGATCGAGGATACGAGGGGTGCCTTGGGAGTGATGAACCATATGGCCATAGCTGTTCCCCAGCGTCCTTCTAAAAATTACAAACTTTCCTCCCTCGAGCAGCGGGATAACGTTTCCTAAATCCTTTCTTCATTTCACCGAGCTAAACCTATCTTTTTCGTCATGATATTTTCGATCTGTACAACGGCTATTTACAATGAATTTTTCCGATAAGCTTGCAAGTTTAGACGCAAACAACTTGTAATTGGTCTTCGATGATATCGAAGAAGATATCCGGAGAAACTCTTGCCGGGATGTAATTAAATACGATCGATAGGTTTGTTGGAAGAGCGGAAAGGGAGGAAGTGGTCGGAGGTCGAAAAGATCGTTGTTCTTCTATCGATTCCGTAGCTTGGCGAACGTTCTATCCGAGCTGATTGATAGCAGCTTGCACGTCTACGAAGCTTCGTCGAGGGTGTTATTTTCCTTGGTTTAACATCGACGTTACACCATACATCTTCACCGGGACGTCTACTTTTCCTTGTCACCCTTTTCCTTCTCCCCCTCTCTCTCCTTGTTGATTAAATTAATTTTCCTCCTGTTTCGTATAAATAACATTCCATACACCATTATAAATTCTATTCCTCGTCTATGCAGTTCTTTTTCAATTTTTCTTCGAGAAAAGAAGATATTTTTTTTATCCGCCTTGAGAATAGATATTCCGAACAGTGGTAGTACATATTTAGCATTCGATATCTTTCGGTTTCTGCTTCTGTTCACCGGCTATATATCTGATATAGATGCAGTCAGTTGTTCGTAAATATTCGAGAACTTTTATTCGGAGATACCTATGGGAACGTAGGTTCGCCGTTTCGAGACGAAAGCTGTGCAACAGCAACGGGAAAGCTCGTGGAAAAATAGGACGAGTACGTTTGCAAGGTTTATTCTTGCTTTGGATATCGATATAATACCTCGAAAAGGTATGACCTCAACGTCCACCAATTTTTCTCGTTGTTAAAGAAAATATCATAATTTCCATATCTCGCATAATAGAATAATTAATCCACGTTATCCTGTATTTGCATCGATGATTCTAATACGTGTCCTTAACTTCTCCGAGCATCGAGACGCGAAGTCACGTGGCTGAATCACGTTGCCACCGTGTGTACATCCTTCTTTTGATCATTATTGATTCCCATTCCACGTAGACAACGTCGAACAACGTAGCCCATTTCATCATCAAAGTCATCGATATTTCTTTCTTCGTTACTTTGTCCGTTTCGAGAAGCGAGAAGAGGAATTGCGGCATTGAACGCTGCTCGCCTGTCGGGCAAGTAGTATAAGTGCGTTCTGGTCAGACCGCTTCGCGTCGAGTGGAAGCTACCGATCATTCATGCGACGCGACGCCTCAATGGACTCGAAAAACAATCCTGCTATTATTCGAAAGCTTAAATTTCGGAAACATCAACGTCGAAAACATAAGACGACGCGCTCTTTTTTTAAGCAGTTCTTTTCAAAAGAAGAGCAATAATCGTTGAGCAGGATTAAAGAATAATGTTTTCTTTCCCGCGGATTTCATTCGTCTGGGATTCTGAATGCATAATCCAGCTGTTGTTGGCCGAATGCCTGTTCGAAGCGATAGCCAGTTGTTAGTTGAATGTTAGCGATCGCAAGCGAGATTTGAACGATCCTCTTCTTTCGATTGCCAAGTATTTCCCTTTCTCGCGGTCTTCGCGATTTAAACGTAAATTTCTAAATTTCTCGGTAATTTCAGGCGATATTTCAAGGGACGTCAGGATTTTCCCGTTACGTTGGAAACGTCGTAACACGACGGTCGGATCGTTAATTTCAACGTAACGTCGCGGGCTGCGAAAGTTGGCGACGAAACGGTGGCGCTTTTAATTTTCATTCGTTCGGCTCGGATATCGGAGATTCTCTGCTCTCTTTGTCGGCCGTTGAAATTCATTACCGCTCGTATTTACAGCGTAATACAGAAGTTTAATAAGCGGAGGCGTTTACGGCCGTCGTGTGTACATCGTTTGACATAAACGCGTTCGCTTAATGGCCGTGACATGCATACGTACCCACCTACCCGGACAACACGCTCTTTAACTATCTACCTGAATAAAATCGAATCGTTTACCTACGATTATTAATTCCGTCTTCGGCCCCAGTTCACGTCTAGATGAAATTTTTCATAAATTTTCAAACGTTACAGGAAACGGCGTGAAAAAAAAATTTCCTTTTGCTCGAGCAAAGTTCTCGCAACGCTATAAATTCATTTGCGGTTTCGCTCGCACCGGTTCAACTTGACCCGTGCAATGCCGCTTCGAAGCGGCTAAATGCGGCGCGCTTTAATTCCGGCCAACCGTTTGTTAATTAAAACCTAACGGGATGTAAACTGTATAAAAAAGAAGGGGGGGGGGGGGGGGGGGGGTGGAAAACAGTGTGTTCTCGAGGCGTACTTCTCTACGCTTTGTCTCGAGTAATGCGAGCCTTTTGTGCGGCTCGAGAAGCGACACTTGCCAACGGCTGTCTTCCAACCAATTGTCTCGGCAAACGAGTTGCCAAACTTACCATCAAACTATTTGCCTTCTTAAAACCTTCGAACCATCTATACGTATGATCGAGGAGGGTGTAAAACAAAGTGAAATCGTTACTTTCGACCCTCTCTCTCGTTTAGCCTATTTACGAAGTAACCGTTAGAGTTACTGTACGCAGTCGACGAATATCACGACGATGCTAATACAAGCAAACAAGAGGGAAAAAAAAGGGAGAGGGAAATTGCATAGAGTAAACCGAAAAAGAGGTCGAGAAACAGCGTGGGTGGGGGGGATGGATGGAAGGGTTTACGTCGATGCGGTTGTTGATTTTTCGTTGGTAGCTCGTAGCTGGAAAAGTTACACGTGGAAAAGTTGAAAAGAAGTGCGATTCGAAGTACGGGCTGTGTTCGGTTGGCTCGCGGAAAATTGTAGATTAGGAATGAAAGAAAGTAAGGAAGCGGGCGAAGACGTTTCGCGTAACGGGTTAAAAACTCGACCGCCTGTAGAGGAGAAGCTTGATGAAGGGAAGGAGTGTAGGATTTAGGGATAGCCTGGTTGGTAGGACGGTGAAACAGATATGGGCCAGGTAACCAGGTCACCGCGACTGAGGGCATTGCTTTTCCAACCACCAACCACCGACAGCGCCACCCCCTTACAATCTCTCCCACTTTTTACTCCTTACTACCCCTTCAACCCGTCCCTTTTTCATCCCTTCTTCTGTTCACTTCTTTCCAACCATCCCTACCCCTTTCTACCGACGTTCTGCCACTCGATACGACACGCGAACAACAGATTCGCATCTCTGAATTCTCCAATAGGCATCTACTACTCTTTGTTTCTTCAACGGGTTCTGTAACACTCACCGTTTTGTCCTTGCCTTCCTTTTCTTTTTTACACGCGTTCTTATTTCCTCCCCTATCTTTGTCGCTGCTCTTTTCGTCTCCCGTTGAACACTGGCTAAGTTCTTTTCTCTCTGTTTTCCATAAGAGCGATCCATCGTCGATCTGGATTAACAACCATTCAAGGAAATATTCTGATTTAGAGGAAATTCCGCGTTACATCAAAGCTGAGTTAACTCGAGTTATGTGTTTAAACGGTTAACCCGTACCTGATCATTTTCTGCGCCACGTGTTTTCCGGTTCCGATACGATTTACCTAATTGTATCTCCTCGATGCTTGGCTGTTGGTGCTCGCTGGTTAATTTCGTTCGAAGGATCGAGCAAGCTTCCTTCGGGAAACTCGTCTCTTCGAAAAGTTATACCGTAAATGATTCGACGTAGGTGAAGTTTCTTGTATTTCGATCGAACGAACGATCGAATAGGTGGTTCAACGTGTTACGTTCCCATCATTCCTGGACAGTCGAACGTCTGAAACGTAAACGAAACGATGTTCTTAAGTGAAAAGGGAATGACGATTATCTTACGTTTAAAGTTTCATACGCGTCTTTCGTCTCGTTTAGCTATCCCGGCTTGCTAAATTCCCTGTTCCATTCTCCTTGTTCTCGAGCCGCCGTTGAAGGTAATTAATCCGACGTGCTCACCAAGTATGTATGGCACTCGTGGCATGAAAAGCGCATTTATGAGCGGAGTGCGGTGTAAACGAGAAGGAAGGAAAGCGAGGCCTCTCCCTTAGCTTTCTGGCTCCGCGAGCATCGTTTTGAAAATCCCGCCAGGAAATTCGCCTGCACGGTAGGCTAATTTCGAAATACCCTGCTCGCGTTTTATTTTTCATCGGTTAATGTAAAATAGACTGCTCGACGAAATTGCTTTCTCTATTTTTCTCGTTAGTTAATAGACGTTGGGTTAACGCGTCGTTGGATTCAACGGTATAAAAGGGAAACGGGTAAGATACGAGCCGACTCGATCGCGTGACTCTAATCCTTTCTTCTTTTCGCGATAATTACAAGTTATTACCGTTGGATTACCCGATTACCATCAACCTATTTCCGTGAAACTGTTAACCTGCTGGAAAGAGAGAAACGCGTGCACTCGTCGATCTTCTCGATTAATAGACGACGATGGTGTATAACTGTTAAACTGTTAAATTACACGGTAGTAAGGTGAAGCTGGTTGAAAATACAGGTGCGCGCTCGTCTTACAAAAGAATCGTTCACGCAAAGAGCATTACTAATTTCGAGACCTCTCCTCTTTGATCTCTCGACGACCTAACCGAGACAAAGGATTACTCCGGCGTATTCCGAAAGAGGGATAAATTAATGTCACGAATCCGGAGTGAACAATGACAGGCCGAATTACGAGTCGTTCTATCTATCTGTATGTATGTAGGCGAGGGCGTCTCTTCGTACACCTACGCGTTTGAAAACTGAAGTAATAAGTGTACGTGTTCGTATCGAGGGGCGGAGAAAAAGTAGAACGAAGAAGAAAAGGAATTTGAAGCCGATATACATTAGTCCATGTGAAAAGAAATTAACGCGGTCCATCACCGGGATGAAATGCGCCTTCTCACCGCGTATATACCTTGCAAACGAACGTCTCTCGTTTAAAGAACATCCCCGATTTCCGGTTTCTCCCCGGCTTTTCTCTCTGAAACGCTCCGGTTCCCCGATGCAGGCCAAGCAGGATTATTCGGGATCGGGACACCAGGGAGAAACTTGCAAACTGTGTCGCGCACCTCTACGGGAACTACTTAATCCCTTTTATATTTTATAACTGCGATTACGTAAAACTACTACGCTTCCCTTTATTTAGGTCTTCTGAATCCTCGCGCCTAGAAGAGATTATATAAATCTAGAAGAATAAAATATCTGGTCGAAAGCAGAGGGATAGGTTTCGGTTAAAATCGGAGTACATATGTCGGCGACAAGAATTTCGAAAGAGGAAATCGGAAAAAGACGTATCGTTTGAGACCTCCGCTCCATTATAGCGATCTAAGTAAAAGAATAGTAGGGCGAGTGATCGAGGGGGTAGGTAGTGGGGTGTGTAAGGGTGAAAGGAAGGGGTAGAGGGTGCGAGTGGCGCAGAAGAAGGATCAGCAGCAGGAAACTGGCTGGTAGAGAGAGAGAAAGGGTTAGCAGAGGGTGGGAATGATAGCCTGGAGGGGAGGGTACCGCATCTGCCTGCCTAGCTCGAGCCGTAGATACTCGGCAGAGGCTGCAGCGAATTGGGTCAACCAACTTGGAGTGTACTTCAGGTGTAGCTACCTATCTGACTATCTACCGACCCACCAAACTACTACCCTATACTCCTTTCCTTCCCTCTGAATCGTTCCCCTTTTTTCCTTACTCGTTAACCACCGACCAGGACTGATCGTTATACATATTTCTAAGTTCCAGTAAAATTACGTAAGATTAGCTACGAATTTAAGGGGATGAATTCGTTCGGTCAAGTTTTCGATAAAATGTTTTCAATAAGAGAAATAAAGTAGATTATCGATAGGTAAGACTTTTTGTAACGAGGATGTTTCTAACGACCATGAAATCAGCCGGGGGATCGAGACGAGGAACGTGCTCACTTTCACCCCGTGGTGGTCGAAGATGCGGCTCACGTGCCTCTTACCTAACCTTACCCTCCCTCGCATCGTTCACCTTTTATTTTTCGTTTTCGCCGAGCACCATTTGTCTCCCCGATGTTCCACGCGTAATCGGCAAAGTTCAACTATCAGCCTGGTCATTTTTCAATCGACCACTTTTTTTATACATCCAATTCCCTATCTTCTTTCTACTGAATTTTAAACTATTACAAGATTGATTAAAGATTCCAGGTTCTCGAACATGTATTATACCGAGCTGATTCTAGATTTGAAAGCATCGCGAATAGATACGAGCCGAAATTTAGCATTAATAATGATTCGGGAACCTTGCTGGAGGGAAAGTAATGAAAAAGGAGGGCTTAGTAATAGGAAACAATAGGTCACAACTAGACCGTGCGAAGAGTAATATTTTCGGTCATTTCGATCGACGCGCACCAATTGTCCTAACTTACAATCTTTCACTTAGATTCAGCTGTTCAGGGTAAGAGTGTTAATATTTAAATGATATGTAGGTCAGCGTGTATATAAATGACTATTTTCTATGTTCCAGGAAGCGTATAGAAAATGGGTATGCAGCTCCCTGGTGCCTTACTTTGCTCATGGGGGACCGCAGGACTTGGATAGCTCGGACAGCTGGGTCGGAAGCAGGCTTAGGCCCTGTCGGTCCTTTTGCCAATCCGTGGAGCAACGTTGCCCTTACTTACTTCCGGGTGACCGTGCCCCCGCTTACCCCACGCAGTACGCCGGCGAACCTACTTTCCTTTGCAGAGGTAATCGTCCTCCCACTATCCTGTAAAACGAAATGTCTATCATAAGAAGGGTAAAAGCATTTTTGGCACCCTATCTTGATTTCCACCATGTTGGAAATCATTTCGTATACGCGTCTCTGTATTATAAGGGATAGCGAAGATTTAAGAGTTTAGGGTAAAGCTGCCCCTGCTGAGCACGGGGAGCATATTAGATTTAGGTAGGGCAACTCGTCGAGTAGGTCTGCTTTAAGGAGAAAATATACGAGAGTGGTTTCGGTAGGTGAAATCCTTTAACTCGAAGCTTTTCTACTCGATATGAGTAGTTAACCCTTTACTTCGGGAAAGTGAAAAGGAAGAGAAAGAGAGAGAGAGAGAGAGAGAGGTGGTTGTGCAACGAAATGATTTCAGATCCAAACATCCCCGAGACCGGAGAGCATGCTGCGAGGGCGTTGCACAGCAGCGAAGAGGACGAGTGCTGTTTTCACGCGTGCTCCGAGGAGAATCCGGGATCGGGTATCTGCGCGAATTGTACGGACCGAGAACCACGGAAACGCGGGAGAAGCCACGATCCTCCGACGGCGCCCTACTGCGAGATTAATCCTATTCAACCAGCTTCCACAGGTACGTCTCCTGTTCCCTAACCCCCTTCGTCTAACCAAACTAACGATCCGGATTCGTGCCGCGAGCTAAGCTAATCAAGAACGTCTGAATTCGTGGAAACACGATTACGTCGATCGTTCAATGTTCGTTCGTTACAGTTACAGATGTAAAAATGAATCATTATCTGTAAATCATTGTCTGACAGAGTTGAAAAAAAAAAAGAAGAAGAAAAAATAAAAAAAAAATGAAAAGATACTTTACCATGATCGTTTGAATCAGGTGGACAGTATCGTGCTCCGGGAACTACGGACAGCACGGTGATCGAGGAAGGGGATGAATCGTACGATTCGTCGAAGGAGACGGACGCGTCGGCGTCAGGGACGCTGACTAATATCGTCCAGCAACAAGGGACCTCGTTGTGCGGAAGCGGCGGTGTCGGTTCAATGACGAGCATCTCGTCTTCCGATCGATCAACGATCAGCCTACTCGCGCAACTGTTTTGGTTATGCTCGATCCTGACCAGCAGCCTCGGCAACGTTCGAACGATACCTGCGCTATGGTTATCTAGGAGCATCGTACGTTTGACAGAGCCGTTGATGGATCGGTGGTGGTTGGCAGAGACGAGCAGCCGGCGATCGGTTAAGCTTGCCGGTTGGCTGCACGAAGCGAGCATGCGTCACGTAACCAAGTGGATGCTCGAAAAGTGGGTGACGGTCGAAGGTCGGTGCCGAGGTTGTTGGTGGTACCGGTGGTGTTGTTGGTGTTGGTGCTGGTGCTGGTGTTGGCGGTGGAGGTGGCGTAGAATATCGTCGAGCGGTCGCGTACGATGGAAATTCCGACCGCGGCTACCGCGTAGAAAAACTCGCGGACCGCCTCGACCCTTAACAATCGTTGCCCCCGCGCCGACCACCGCCACGTTAACGGGCAACGAAGAAACCGCCTCTCTTAATCGTCCACCTCATCCTCCTCCTCGTCGTCGTCGTCGTCGTCGTCGTCGTCGTCATCGTCGTTGTCGTCGTTGTTGTTGTTGTCGCGTCTCGTCGACGCGGACAGGGGATTTCGGCTCGTTCGCTGTCAAGTGTCACTGGCGGCGATGGAATTGGTGGTGGTGGTGGTTGTATCGATGGTGGAGATCGCGGGCCACGATCGAGGACGCGATGCGACGCGCAACCGGAAGAATCGAACGAAATGGGATGAAGCGAAGAAGAAGAAGAAGGAGGAGAAGGTGGAAGGGAAGAAGCAAAGGCAGTTTCGACGTTTTCGGCAATGACGTTTGGCATTGTTCGGCCACGCGACGATACTTTAGATTGTCCTCGAGGAAGGATCCGCCATAGAGGAGATCGAGGGGAACGCAACATGCGTGAAATACAGGTATTTTCAGTCGGTAACCAGAGCTCCGTCGTAAAGGACTTTGGATCTACGATTCCGTCGGACCTTCGAGAAACGGACGAAGGGTTTAAAGGGCTTCGCCCCGATGGAGGAAGATCCGTGTGAACAAGAGGGCGCGTGGCGAACGTAGATAAAAAAGCTGGAAAGAGGAACGATGGCGCGAGTCGGAACGAAAGGCGGGATAAAAGGAATTTTTGAAGAAGGTACTTCGAGAGTAGAGAGGAATTACGATATCGAACGGGAAAAATAAGAAAAACGATAGGGAACGAGCATACACGGTGAACGTGTACGAGACAGTTTCAAAGGAAGCTAAAGGTAATTTCGACGTTGAAGAAAGAAAGAAAGAGAGACAGGAAGACGAAACAAAATAAAAAAGGGACGAAGAGACCGGCAACGTCTATCGCTAATAATAACGATAACAATAATACAATAATAATTAATTAATTAATTAAATAACAAAAAAAAAAAAAAATTAACGACGATTACGATGACGGGGGTGATGATACGACGATGCCCATGATGAAATTACGATAACGACGGTGATCGAAGAATAATGAATTAAAATACTAGTTAACGAATAATAATAATGCTGATGATACTGATGAATAATGAGATAAAATAATAACGATTAAATACTTAAAAGAAAAGAAAAAAAAAAAAATGAAGAAACCATGAAGTAACGTTAACGTTTACGATAGAATGATTACGATACAGTTATTATTACACGTTCGATGCGTTCCACATAAAACACGCCCACACACGCGCGCACACATATACACGACACGTCATATACACACGTACACAAGGAATATTAATTATTTCGAAGAAAAAAAGAAAAAAAATGGAGAAGATGAAGAAGAATAAGAAAAAAAAAAATAAAATAAAATAAAATAAAAAAGTTAAAAGTGCGAACGAGCGAACGAAGAAGCGAGAGTACATGGACGACAGCGTGATAGAAATCAAGAGCGAAAGAGAGAACGAATGCAAGAAATGATATGATAAAGAGAGAAAGTGAGTGAGAATGAAGATAAAAAAAGAGATGAATCGAAAAATGGTACACACAAGAAGCAAAGCACACCTTCGCGTATTAAGGCATTAAACGATTAAACGAGACATTTAAAGAATAAACAAAAAAAAATGACGTAGATAGATAGTATTTCGGTCGTGAAAGGAAAACCAAAAAAAGAAAAAAAAGAAAGAAAGAAAGAAAGAAAGAAAAGAGGAAACGAAGGAACGCGACGAAATACGGAGTCGACCACGTTCTTGTATCGACGTTTCGTAAGGAATTGTAGAAATGGCAACAGAGAATAAAACATGACGTTATCGAGGTATAATATGTGTTCGTTTAGACATTACAATAAATAACTACTATGTTAACATAGACACGTAACGGTACGAATCGAGAGAGAAAGAACGAGGGAGTAAAGAGGATAAATGAATGAATGAAACGAAAGAGGAACTTGTAGTAGGGTGCATGATCAGTAGAGAGTGCGTGGGAGAAAAATAAAACGAGAATACGAAAAGCACACGTGGAAAAATAAAGAAGACGAAATAGGGAAACATTGAGTAGATGAAGAAAACTCGTAGGAAACCGATGAATTTTTTTATAGAAAAATATTCTGACGAAGTTACGAAAATAGGTGTACGAAAAAAGCCAGAAAAAAAAAAAAAATAATAAGTAAATTAATAATAACACTGTTTTTGATACTCTTCTCTGCGCAGTGCATCCGAATTAGACTTTCTTCCCTATGATATTCATCTACTTTCTCTCTCTCGCGATCGTGCGCGTCGATTTTTCATTTCTTTCAAAGAAATTCAGATTTCATCGACGAGAACGCTGCGCAGAGGCAGAGTCGGAGAATACAGAGAGAAAGAAACGTAGAGAATCGTCGTCGTCGTCGATGTGTCGTAATTGCAAACGAAAAATAAAAAGGAAAAAAAAAAAATGAAGAAAAAAAAACGAAATTTGCGGAATGATGGGAGCGTACACGCATACACACGTGACACGTGCACGCATACAGGTACACGACCTGTGTTTGTGATCGAGGAGAACAGAGGTATAAGGAGCTGGTCGCCGCATGTGCGTTAATTATGTTGTTAAACATTGTCCAATACATAATTGTTACTAATTTACATTTGTAAGAGGAACACGAGGGGATGGACAGCAAGCGAAAGAGAAACGAGAACGCATGTGGTACGAGTGCGACTGACGTCGGTACGAATGACATGGGACGAGTGAAAATGATGGTGAATAATTGATGTGAATAATCGAGAAAGCGTGATTAGTGAGACGAGGAGAATATATAAATATTATAAATAACAAAAGTGACAAGGAGAGACGAAACGAATAATGAACAAGGACCGGATGAACGGACTTGAAAACGCGTTTACGCGATCGCGTGTAGAAAATGCTTGAAAAAGCTGTGAATTAATCTCCTTTTTAAAAGACAACCAACTATTATGTTTCTTTAATGAAAAATTCATTAACCCTTTAGATGCTATGCACCGCTATAGTGGCTTTATTCTTTACTTGACAGCAAGTTAGATAGAACGCAAGTTCCCTTTCTAGAAACGCACAGATTTATTAAACGGTGGCTGGAGCAATAATATAAAGAATAATAATTATTTTTTTTTTTTTTCAAAAAGTCGCGTCTAACGGGTGTCTCCTTTGTCGTTAGAACTCGAACGCGGTAAAGGAAGGCGGAAAGCGAAGCAATGAAAGATGTGATTACGATAAAGTCTCTATTATTTGAATGAAAGCTAAGCGTTGGTAACAATTTATCTTTGAAAAGATGCCTTTGGTCTTCTCGCTACGTGTCAAGCATTTTTATTTAAGAGTAAAAATTGATTTTAAATCAGAAATGAAATTCATTAAGTTAACCAGGCTCGGAGCACACACGACGGAAACGTTTCGTCGTCGACGATGTCCCTCGACTTCCGGTCGATTTTTTACCGGTCCATGCTTGGAATCCTTGAATAGAGGTATAAATTGATCGAATGGCACATCGAAGAGATCGTTCTCGCTCGTTCGTTCGTTCGTTCGACTAGAAAATTATAAGCAATGTTCTTGGACCAGTAACGAAGAAACAAAAGAAACTAAAAAAACAATCTTCGGGACGTTGATTTCGTGCGAGGATCGATGCGAAAATCACGTAAGATTCGCAAAATCATTTCTCTAAAGCCTGTTCTGCACTTACGTACAAACGTTTACGAAACAAACATTTGTTCAGGTAGAGAAACAACAAGAAAATAGAAAGCTTCCGTATAAATTAACTTGCCTTCTCGCACAGAGGGATGCGACCTCTTCAGGCAAATTAAACGCGAAAAACTGACAAAGTTTATTTTCTTTCTAACGTTTCTCAAACAGAAAACTTATCATTTACAAAAGCAATCTATAAAGCTTCTCATGCAAACGTTCAATTAAGAAAAGTGTTATTTCAAATATTTTCGAAGCATACATTCCCAATGGAAATGGAATACGGTTCCTCCGAACAAATGTAGCTGTAGATTAGGCTTTAGATCGAACGTGTCGTTTCGAGTTTTCCTTCGGTAAGACGAGCTATTTAACAAACGTCCACGTTTTCTTCCGATCGATCCCGAAATCCTACTCTTTTTTTCCATCTCCGTGTCTACCATTTCTTCTTTTTCTCCACCAACTGTCCTTTGTTCGAGAGGAAACGATCGATGAGGCGCACCTCGGTGTCTAGATAAGTTTTCACGCGGTATCCTGACATTCCTTATAGATATCAAAGTTCCGAGTTCTTTTCGAGAAGCAACGAGGATCGCGAAGGATTTTGTAAAAATAGAAAAAGAAACGAAAGAAAATCACACCGATTGGCGAGGCTCGATGTCGTTCCAGAGATATTCACCGAATGCCTGGAATTTCTGTGTCAAAGAAGAATTAATTGGTCGCGAATATTGTATCCAGGGTAGAAAAGAAAATAATAAGCCCTGGATATGGGTTAAAACGCGATAATATCTCGTTGCGCTTAAAGAGGCCGTTAAAAGCACGGCTACCTCGAAAGCAGAGCCTGTTCCTTTGATCTCCTACACTTTTTATGATTCTCGTTTAAAATTAATCTTGGCCCCCTGCCCTTCAGTCCTTTCGTTTTCTTTACCCTCCTCCCTGTTTTCCCTCCTATCAACGCGAAACGCGACAGAGTAGAAATCTCTGGCCGCGATTCGAGCAGACTGCTCGTAAAAGGGAATTAAGGAATCCTACGATACACGGGCAACCTTCCCAACGAATCCGTACCGACCTAAAGATATCGCCGTCTCTGAACCAAACCAAGATAATGGCGAAAAAAAAAAGAAAGAAAAAGAAAAGAAAAACGCTTCCAACGTAACCATAATCTAAAGTCCAGTTCACGATTATTGTACGATGAACTTCCTTCCTAACGGCGAGTAATCTATAAAACATTTCCGTGCCATTCTTTTTGTTGGTCCGTTTCTCTCGTTACTCGTCGAAAGCGTCGAATTTAACGAGATCCTATTGGTGTGTAAAGAGTCGGGCTCGGTGGACGCGCGAATCGTTCGAAGCTCGATAAAACAAGCCTGACTGCGATAAAGCCCCGGAGGAAGGTCGTGAAAGAGAGAGCGGTTTGTACGAGAGAAAGAGAGAATGCTCGATAGATTCGAAAGAGAAAGGAGAGAGAAAAGAGAGGAAAAAAGAAAGAAAAAAGGAAAAGAAGGGTGCTGAGACAAGAAGAGGGGTGTAGTAGACCCCGGTAAGTGGGGAAATCCCGAGGAGACGAGCTGCTTGGGGTTTCGGGTTCGAACCAGCCACCAGAACACACCGAAAGTATTGAAACGATGAGAGGGTGTACGTGGGTGCGTATACGTGCAGGTGTGTGTGTGTGTGTGTGTGTGCAAGAGGGTGAGAGAGAGAGAGAGAGAGAGAGAGAGAGAGGAGAGAGGACCCAGGCTACGTATTGATCTCACGAGTCTCCCAACGTACAGCGTCCGCATAAAACAGGCCAACGTCGACGACGTTGACGTTGATGTCGACACAACCGTCTTCTTCGTCGTCTTCCTGCTGATCTACGACGTCCACCTATTTTTTTCTTTTTCAACTATTCTTTTTTACCTACACGAAACTATGAAATCGATGACGAAGGCGAGTTTAAACGCTCGCACCATCGTCGTACAGCGAGGGTGAACACTGCAACGGATTTACGGCTCTACCTTTTTCAATTATTTTCTTAGCTTTAATTACCTTTCGTTCAGCTCAATGGCGACTTCCGTCTTTTCGTTTCCCTTCCTGTTAATCGAAGCATTGCAGGCTTCCAAGATATATCGGGTCGTTCCATAAATAATGTCGCTTTCTTAATCGCTGAACGGGGCTGAAAATAATTAACACAGTGCGTTATTTTTAATCGTTCATACGTTGAGCATTGTTCTTCGTAACTAATTCGTTGGGTCGAATGTGACCCAGCAACGAGCGGTGCGAGCGTTAAGCCAGCCGTAGCAAACTACCCCCGTTCGATCGCTGTAATCCCCGGACCCCTTTACTTTCCACCAATTCATCGCGCGATAATTCTCTCGTACGCTTCGATCGATCGTTGAGAAAAATAATTCGTTGACTCGCGTTGATGATAAATCGACCGGAAGTCTGTCGCGATTCGTCGTGGAACGAAGAAAACACACGACAGAGACCAGGCACCGTATGTACCGTAGGGTAGGAACGATTGAGATACGTGTGAAAGGGAAGAGAGAGAATGTGTAAGCGAGTGTGTTAAAAGAGCCACTGCCTTAGCGACAGCAGGATCCGTGCTAGAAACAAGGCCTTAGAAAGTAACAAACCAGAAACATAATTAGAGTTAAGTAAGTCTGTTGTTGTTAACCGAAAAAAAAAGTGAAAGAAAAAAGATAACGGTACTTAGAGGAATCAGGAGGACAAATGATGTTGACGTATTGTAAAACTAATTAGCTACTCTATTTAAGCGCGTAACGTAAATATATATATATACAGGATGACAGAAAAGTAGGTGGTCAAACAGTGGTAAAATTAGTCATTTTCTAACATAGGGAAACCGAAATTGTAAAATATACAACAGGATTAATAATTTCTCGTTAAGTAAGAAAAGAAACTTAAAAGTAAATTCTAATCATTCCCACGAAATTCGATCGTTTACACCAATTTATTTTCTTTCATCCTTAGAAAAATTATAATACGCTATTACAGTTTGCCCACCTATTTCCCTGTCGCTCTTTATACATACATACGTATGTATGTATGTATGTATATAATAATTAACCCCTCGTGCCCGCAAACTAAGTAGGCGTACTAACGCATAGCTCTACTAACAAGTAGGATTATTAAACGTCGCTTGTCGCAAACGAAAACGAAAAAGTCGAACGAGATAGTAAAACAAAATGAAAGCAAAACGAGATCACGGAATTAAAGGGGGGGGGGGGGGGACATAAAAGATTCCGCGACAACTAAAGCAAGAAAAAAAAAAAAAGAATACCAGAAACGGTGGAAAGGAAAAAAAGAGAAAGAGAGGAAAAGCAAGCGGTGAAAAAGAGTGCGTCGCCGCTTTTTGCCACGGGAATAAACACTGCACTCTCGAGATTTTTTATCTTTCTCCTTGTCTTTGTTTTCTGCTGTTCTGCCTTACGAGAACGATGAAAGAAACGGGGAAATTTAAACGAGAGATGGAAATACCGAAGGGAAGCGTAGAAAAAGCCAGAAAAAAAAGAGAGAGAAAAAAAAAAAAATTGAAAACAGGGACGAACGCGTTCGATCGAGGAACAATTGTTGAGGAACACCGATGGCGCGCCAAACTCGAAACCCACCACTTTGAATCCGATGTTTTAGCGTAGCGTTTACGTATCGTAAGCTGTCGACATTTATACTATGAACTATGAGTAAAGGAAAACAAAAAAAAATTGTAGCGATCATTGTGGACATAGTTAATAGTATAGATTAGTTAACCGCACTAATTGTACCGAAGAAGAAGAAAAAAAAAAAAAAAAAAAGGTGAAGTACATTTTAATTCCGACAACTAATTATTATTATCGAGGTCTACTTCTGTCACGCGTACGTCTACACGAGCTAAACCGAGTGGAGAACCGACTAAACGAGGAAAAATGAAATAAAAGAAAAATAATCGCGTGCTTGTGCGTGTATGTGTGTGTGAGGGGGTGAGAAAGATAACGAAATTCGACGATTCTTACTCTCGAATTCGTAGTTATTCTCGAAAAAAAAAAAAAAAAAAAAAATATATATATATAGGGAAGAAAAAGGGTTGAACGCGTTGAGTGAACGGTGTTAACTTACTCGAAACGATACGCGTGAAATTTGAAATTTTGCCCGGGCGAGGGGCGCGTTCGATCGAGCACGCATTTCTCCGAACTTCGTAGCGGGAAGAACCGAATCTGTTTCCTTTTCTTCTTGCGTCTGCGTCGAGCTCGGTGATAGTTAAAAATCTGAAAATTAATACGGTTCGAGTCAGCTTTGTATTCTGCCGAAAATTCGTTCCGGCTTAGAGTGAAGAGGGTAAGCAATAACGCAGGTAGTAGAAAGGCGTAGAAATCGATGTAATCTGCAGCCTATGACAGTGGCTGTTTCTCTCGGACCGCGACTAACACGTACTTACTTCTCTGAACTTACAAACGCGGCCGGTGGTCGGTCGTTAATTAATTAGGTTATCGATCCGATCAAGCCTTTCCAGGACGTACGTACAGCCAGCCACGACGGTTCCTCCTCGGTACACGTGACACCTTACACGCGACACGCGACCTTACACGCGTACACGTGCTTCCCACTCTCGTCGAATAGCTTTGACTTCAACAAATTTGCTTAACTTACGTTCATTGAAATTTCACAAAAATTCGTTGCTAGAACGCGCCTATCATTTTTCTAGCTACCGTGCTCTTTGCGAAGCTGCCGTATTTCCAGATCTAGAAAATGTTATACATATTTATCTGAAACGTTTCTACTTAATTGACTTTACATTTGGAACGTTGTTCCCTTGGAACGTCGTAGCAACTTTCATAGCGCGAAACTGACAAAAAGATCGTTGACTCAGCAAATCCGTCGACGACGGTTCAAGCGTTCGCTCCTTTTCACCTCCGATCAATCGACTCTTCAAAATTCTTCTCTCGACCTAGAAAGACCGTTCTCGGCCAAGTGTTAATATTCCTTCAGACTGGTCAACCCCGTGTACTCTATCGAACAACAAAGTATCCCGAGTGGATCTCGTTTATCCCCTCTCAATGGGATGCAATTTCACCTAGGTCAACGTAAACCTCTATAACGTGTTTGTCTCGACGTGTACCGAAACAACAGTCTTGCTTTTCCACCACTTTCCATCGTGGTCCCTTTTAAACTATAAGAAAAGTACTCGCCGTTAGTTTTCTCAAACGAGATTACTTTCTACGTAACGTTATTAATAACAAATGCTACTGCCTCTTTGCAAATACCTTATAGATACGATGAAAGTTGACTCGAACCTGGAAAATTATACATTTTCTTCGGTATACTCGCTGCGTATTTTGGAGAACTGTAACGCAAATACACCGCGATCACCAACCGTAGCTCGAAAAATCGTTTTTTTTTTTTTTTTTTTTTTCATGATTCACCCAACGGTGAACATACTTACGAGACACATAACGTTTATAAAGGCACACGTGAAACGGATGGCGAAGATAAACGAAGAAATCGTCTATGATTCCAGTAGTAAACCTACGAACGAAAGAGCGAGTGAAAACAGAGGTGAAAAGAACAGAATTAAAAAAAGAAGAACGAATAAAAAAAATATATATATATAACGATTACGTACATTGTATGCGTGCGCGTGTGTATGAATATGCGAGCGCTAGAATGAGAAAGAAAGAGTGAGAACGAGTGAGAGAGGTAGCTTGCAAAAGAGAAACATTTAGAGTTCCGTCTTTGAGTGTTGGAGAATGTTCATTTGTAATTGTTTAAATCTAACGAGAAATGTACTGTAAAACTATAAGTACTATAGGCACTAAAAATATATCATTTGTTGACATGAAAAAATAAAAAAAAAAGGACCCAGTGACGTAAGTTCTCCCTGAGAAATACGAGTACGCACAATTGACGAGAGTTTACGTGCGAGTTGAAAATATATAAAAATGGTTTAACGCTTTGACTGGCACGCTAAATAAATTAACACCATTGTTTTTATCGAGCAATAATCTTATCCCGATGATATTCAAGTATTTCTGTTATGTTACAGAATATCCGTGTTAATGAAATGGTAAACGTTGCGGCGGCAGTCAACGCGTTAGAACGCGATTTCGTACTTTGCAGATAAAACGTACGTCAATTAGATGCCACGACGAACTTTAAACAGCCTTCTTTTGATTGTTGTTTGTCGTAGGAAAATGAAAATACACTTTTACCGATAAGCGATGATCTAGCTCGAACTTCGAAGAAAAATATCAAACTATAATGAGAAGTATAATGATGATTGGTACTCATAATCGTGTCTCTTCTCTTTCTTTGTATCGAAATATCCAACGTAATCGTTTTATTAATCGGCATTAATTAATCAGATTAGAAGGAGAAAGAATATAATCATACCTTTATTTTCGACGATGCTTTTAGCTAATTTAATGGTCGATAAAACAGGGAAACTGTTATTAAGGTGAGTATATTCACACGATAAATCATTAGGGAGCGGAGACGATAGTGGTCAGAAAAATCTCTTTATGATGCACATGTATTATGTACAGCAATAAGAATATAAAATTCCCATCGTTTTTACTCTTTCGTCACGTAGCTGACACAAGTATCTTGCTACGACACGTGCTTATGCGAAAATATCCAAAGTTCATCGTATAAATTGCAAGATGATTGTAACCAGTAACAACACAGAAAAGTCTCTATCCGCGTGATAATCCGTAGCGGTTTCGTAAAGAGGAGAAGAAAAAATAAATAACGATAAATAAAACCAATTGTCTCTCCAGTTTATCGCGTGATCATCGGCACAACGTGGTCGTAGTTGCCACTATTGATGCTGATGGTGATGCTGTTGGGTCGTATTGGCAAGAGTTTCCATTTTCAGTTGATTCTCGGCAGGTGGAGGAGACTGCACCTGTTTCTTCTTTTCTTCCTCGTTCTCCTTCATCGCTGGCGGTGGCAACGTGTTCAATAAACCTAGCGCAAATGCTTCTCGTTATACTTTCGTTACGCTAATTCATCGCCCCTATATTTTACTTACCAACTGTCTCCCCCTTGATGGAAGCTCCTGCAACAACAAAAGTAGAGATGACGATCCGACCAATTTATTGATTCCAAAACGTGCTTACCATTCCCCCGATACTTGTTCAACTGCTGATAGACTTGCTTCATTCTCTCGATGTTGATCCTAGAGCTCTTGCTATGATTTACCATCGGTAACGAGTAATCCTTACCGATAATACATTTCGCCGTTCGTTGCACGCTGAGCGGTGCGTTCCATGGTTCATGAATGTATCTCGTTGGAAAATTTTTCAAGACTGGCAGGTATCGCCTGATACAGGATCAGAGAAAAGAAAATTATCCATATTTATTGAACGTCAAGTTACAAGATTATTCCATTCGAGAGAGTTAAAATCACCTGATGTAATCGCCGTTTGGATCGGCTTTCCTGCCAAACCTTACCGGACAATAACAATGGAAGAATTGTTGAAAAAACGAGCTGCACGATAACCACATCCACATTCCTGCATTGACCGACCAATCAGCGTCCAGCAAAAGTTCGTCGAATACCTAGATAATAATGTTGATGTCTCGTCAACGTTGCACCTTAATCTATTCTAACGTTGAATCGAAATGCCAGTACGCGAGAGATGACATTTCACCTTCATTCCTTCTTCCCAGGAGATCCAAAGGTCACCTCTGGTCAGGAAACAAGCGACAGCATGTCTAGCCAAGTGATGGATCCAACCTTCTTCCCTCAGCTGAGTCATGATCGCATCGATCCATGGAAAACCTGTTTGACCCTGTTCAACGAATATCATATCCATCTGTGATCTTTTCCAATCCATCTCGAACGATAATAGTAATTTCAAAGAAACTGTCAAAGTTTACGCACGTTCGCCCATTTGGCAAGGGCTTCAACGTTCTTGTCCCAGGGTATCTGAACGCAAATCGAATTTCCTTGCATCCGATCGAAGTTTGGATTCTTCGTCGCAGCGCAGTAGAAGAATTCTCGCCACAAAAGCTGACCGTGTAACGAAAGCGGTGGTACAGCTTTCTTAATCTGAAAGGGGAAACAATGAACGTTGAAATTACAATGCTGATTGGTATTTAAAAACGAAACACGAAGCATAGAGCACAACACCGTGCCTTTTTATACAAGTCGGTGAGCTGATAGTAAAAAAGTCTGGTGCTGAGACAACCGAATCGTAAGTAAGGCGAAAGACCCGTTTGACTGGGTAATAAAGATTGCGGGGTCATTTTCGGTCTTCCAAAACTAGCCACCCAAGCCTTCCTCTCCAGATGACGTTCCAAACGCGCCAATGCTTCGCTCTCGCCCCCGACCCATACAGGTGGTAACAATCCTTCCGTGTCGAATCCTGTAAACTCATTCCTCGTTTTCTTTTCTCACCTTCAAAATCTCTATTATTATATGTACTATCGTCAAAATCTGAACAGAGCTCTGAACTGTTCGTTCCTTGGGGACTGGGATTAATGATTCCATCCCTTCAGCTAGAAAGCGTAAAGATTTACCAAGTTCTTCGAGGGTCGGAACACCGTAATGATCGTCGTGATCCTCCTTCAGCGGAGTATAGGCGGAGCCTACGCAGACGGAAGTGACCGTCGGTACTGGCGGTTCAGGTGAATCCATACTGGCGACAACATTTTGAAACTGATGATACGTCAACGGTGGCTTTCCTCCGTTCTTCTCGATGATCCTGAAATATGATCCAGCAACGTGTCAATGATAAATGATCGAAAAATAGGTATATAGAAATCGTTAGGGTCAGGAGTGCAAGTAGAAGAATACGAATCGAAGACTCGGGGAACATTGATCGGACTTACTCGTCCAACTTGTAGAGAGTATGCGATACCCTTTGGACCACCGTGATACCGAGTTCCTTGCATAGCGCCGATATGTTGTGATCTCGAACACGTCCGTATGGTTCTGGATCCTCCTCGAAGGTCAAGTTCGTCGTGCCCCATTCCTTGAACAATTTCGGCAGAGCATCAGCTGGTTGTCCTCGTATCACGAACAGTCTAGAATTCAATTTTCTCAGCGAGCAATCCAGATCCTCCAAACATTGCAGCAAAAACCTGTGCAGGGAACAAAGGAAAAAGATATATTGTTTCAGAAATAACAATCCTTTCGCTACCAACGACTTCCAGTTCACCGATTCGTCGAAAGGTAATTGATACGTATCATAGAAAAATGATGTTAACTCGCCTCCATTTATTAATGCCAACGTTGGTACTGCCGGCGAACCATGGGTCCAAAACGAAGACGCACCGAAAGGTGGAGGCACCGGCAAGACCCTCCCTCAACGAAGGGTTGTCGTGAAGTCTCAGACCTTTTCGAAACCAATGAACCGTATGCTTTCCACCCTCCCCGTGTACCGTCACTTCCGGATCTATTTCGCTATTGCGACTGCCTGTCATCTTCCGTTTCTATTTTCCCAATCTTCCGCCACCCGTCTCTCACCCTTCGCCGCTCTTCTATTTCCGACTTCTCTTCCAACCCTCTATCACCGGTTTACGATCCTTTCGCCTCGCACTGCTTTATTTATATCGTGTTTGTTTGTTTACTCTCAAACTGAAACTTCCTTCCTTCCTTCCTTCCTTCTCTCCCGAAGGAGAAACAATTGAGAAGATTCACCCCTAGGTAGACGGTTCTGTTCAAATCACCAGCTTGAACGAACAACGTGTACCCCTTAGCCACCGAGTACCGTCATCCTGACGAATCGATTTTGCCGAACGAAGAGCCGCTTTTTAGGTCATCAAGGTCGGCACCGAGCTCGATCGATCTACTATTCTCTCGATTGAAACTTCTCGCTGTTTATAGAAAAGAAAAAACTCGTGTCTCTCGAGGATCGTCTGTCGTCGATTCATATCGCACCACCGCCACCATCTCCTCGCGGCGAGTACCGATTCTTCCACCCTTTCTATTTTCACGATTCTTCCTCACCCTCAACTTCCATTACTCAGTTTCCTTTTCTCTTTCTATTTCCCTTTAAACGTCATCAACAATTGTCACGCCTGAAAGATACCCGGCTGCTTGACGCGTAATCACATCCGTAGGCTGACTTATTACTCGTAATTCTACTGTGCCAACGCGCGCCAACGATTTTCACAACCTGACGCGATGAAAAAACTGAAATTATAATTAGTAGAAAAAACAAGACACAACAATTTCCCTATCTTTCATCTATTCATCGTCTACTTTGCTAATTACTTCGAGAGGCTGTTAGAGTTATGTACATACGAATGGCGTGATATAAAGCATGTCTATAGAATGTAACATAAAGGAAACAAACCGTCCGATTCTGACTGAGATCTTTATTTTTGTCCAACTTCGTTAGCTACTAATTAATTCCAGATCGATTCACGTAACTACCATTCACTCCCCTCCGTGCCCGAATATAGATACGTGTTATATAATTATAATACCTGTTTCTCGAAACTTGAAGTTTTGTTAATGGTTTAACTTTTTTAGACTCCCTTCGAGTTATTACATACTTTTACAAAATTTCAACGATCGATCGATATCCTTTGTTTAACCGTCTATAAAAATAAATTTGAATTACAAAGATTTTCATATAAACGTTCAAAGTAAGTTAATCGTTCGACGTTAAATCTACCTTTATTCTTGACGAATCGCATACGCTTATTAAAAGAGAAAAAAAAGCAATCTTTGAATTTCCCGCCCATATCAGCTGATGCAGCGTTTATTTAGCTGCGCCATCGAAATCGTAACTCGGCAAAGCTGCTACGAAAAGAAAAAGGTAGAAAAGAGTTGAACCGTGTTCGATCTTTCGATCGAATCTACATTACTACTTTCCCGATCGTGACTTCCTTTCCCTAAATCTCGCTACGATTTTCTCTTCTCTTTAGCTTCCGATCAGCAAGTGTAGAAAACGCAATCGGTGAAATTTGCGTCGCTTGCCACAAGCTTTTAGCTTGTTTACTTAACCTACTATCCACACTCGACCGGGCCTGAACGTCAAGGATAATTCACAGTGACAGCGATTATCGTTATTCAGAGAAAACGAGCGAACATCAAAGCCGGTAAGTATAGAAAAGCAACCTGTACCCCCAACAAGACATAAGGAATCGAATGCACTAGCGAAGTTGGAGGATGTTAATTGCTTGTCGACAAAAATAATTTCAACGTACAGTAAATGCACTCGGTAAACTAATCGATAACCTGGCTCTTTAACGTATCTGTTATGCGATTTACATTTATATATGTGATCCACGTAACACACAATTATGACGTAAATCGATATTACTATACAACGACGCGTTATGGTATTCCTTCATATTATGTCTTGAATAGTTTGTAGTTTATAATAATGCGATAAAAACTAACGGAATCGACAATATTTCATGCTTGAAAATGGACACGAACTTGACATGCTGACCCGCTGACATAATCGCTTTCCTTTCGATAGATCGTGAAGCAAACAATTACTACTCTACCTTTCGATCGTCAGCGTGTCGATAAAACAGTGTCGATATATGTTCTATGATTTGATTTCATACGTGTCAAATAAACTTTCTTATTGATTATTATTTCTTTCAGTCGATGATTCGTATGATTGTTTTTTTATTTAACATTATTCAATGACACAATAGATAAAATATTTTCGATCTTTTAACTACGTAATACGCGTAAAAGGTACTAGTTTATTGTGCGCATGTCATATCGCAAATAGTTTTCGATATATCGATAGAGTGAAGGATGCGAGATAAATGCGTAATTCGATTTCTGCTATCAGGTGAATTCTATGAGGAAAATAAATAGGAACGAACCTCGAATTTAACGTTTTATCTTTAAATAAGATAAAATGCACCATGTTTGTCGAGACGATATTAATGCGGTTGCACTTTGAAATTACTAACCGAGTAGAACGGGGCACGTTGACCGAACCAACTAGATGCGTATTTGCTCTAATACTTACAATCTTCTGTAAACACGCACATTCTATATTTGAATGCAATAATTGTTTCTTCTTAACCATTCGCGATTTGCACTGAATTAATTATCACGATTTAAATAGACACTTTCGACTAGGCGTTTCGCAAACCAGTTCCGCACTCACGTTGTATTTGTTGTGCAAAGATTACGATATAGGTCGCATTGTTATGCACTATCCTATTTCGTTGCGAGCTGTCACACGAGATTCGAGTTTTTGAAAGAAAAGTTAAAATGCTAGACAAGCAATCACACTACGACTCGGACAGAGAACAGAGTTCTTCGCATATGCCAACGTACAACTTGGAGAGAAGTATAGAAAAGGAGAGGCAGTTTGCAAGAGCAAGGGGGCACTGAGCCACGCCGAGTGCAACGTGACCGCGGCACCGCGAACCTTCCAATTGGCCAATTCGATCACGTGGTCCCTTGGTCACGTTGCACCCGCCGTGGTCTGTTCCTCTTTATGCGTCTCTCCCTTACTCCGTTTATCTGTTACTCTTTGCTTTCACCCTCGCTACTTACTCGCTCTATTTACAGGTGTTTTTCTTCTTTTATTTTTTTAGTTGTACGTTCTCCTTAAACTTTACGCGCTATTCCAAAAAAAATTATACCAAAATTTAATGAGATATATTACAGTCGAACTTTTCTTCCAAGTTTCGCGAACTCTGGATGGACAATATGTAGCAAACAACTTTTTACTTATTTTTGATAAGTATTACATTCTTTGATCACATAGGTCTAAATGCTTTGACCGTATTTTAGAAGCGTGCATTGTGAAATTCATGAACGTAGGAGTTGGAATTACGGTGTAACTGACAGCAGAGAAAGAGAGACGGCGTATTGTCCTATTATCTTACCGTTTCACGTGTTTAGTGCAACAAATTACTTGAAGATGTCGCAACTATTCTAGCAAACTTTTACAGTCGTTACAGTCGAAATTTACACCAATACCCTTGACCGAATTGTGGCGCGCATAATCGTTAATACTTTTTTTTTAGCAGTACAGTATGGATCGATGATGTAACTAACCGAACGCTAACATATCGATCAGAAACTAGATTCCACGATCGAACGAACTAGACTTTTTTCCAATTACTCTTTTCCATTGCGGACAACGTATACAAGTGTATACACATTGATTCCGTAATCAATTCGATAGAGTCAATGACTTTCAAGCTCGAATCGATTTAAAGCTCTTTGTACTCTTTCACTGCATATGACGTGTACATATATGAGTTTTAGCGAGCAATTTGCAATTACACAACATACGTACGTCGCAGTGAAACGGTTAACCGGACAACCGAGGTAGGATCGTTCGGCGATATAAACACGCATAACGATAAATACTTTGCAGAACAGTTACACTCGTTTATTCGTTATTCATACATAAAACGTATCAAGGAAAATTAACGTTTCTTCACGTTACCTCCGATACATTCTTTTTTTTTTGTCTTCGCAGTAATCGTGTGCGATGCATATAAAAATGACTCTTTAAAATCCATACCGGTGCATCTTCGTTATCTTTTTTATTTTATTTTATTTTTTCGCTTATTCTTCGTTCTCTTATTTAAACTATACAGCAGCTTGCCATTGTTTGATAATATATTGTTCGACAATGTATCGTATAGGAAATCTATACGCAAATATTTTTTTTTTTTTCTCTATACATTTTTCGTAAGTCTTACGGCTTATTTTTATATTAATGTCATATATATTCTTTTTTCGTATCCATAGTTCCATCTATGCGAATTGTTTAGATTAAGATTACATGAATTAATCGATTCGACTTCTTCATGACTTATTTCAAATTATTACAAATATACGTTTCCTTTAAACGTACGTATCAATTAGTATATATATTTATATATACGATTTTTAATTGTATTTATAATTAGTATTTATATAAAAAAAGTGAAAGACTATTACTATTGACTGAGCAAGAAAGAAGTCTAACGAGTCACGAAATCTGACGGATAGTCATAGACATGCGCATGCGCGCGCACACACACACATATACAATTTAACTCACGATTCTTTTCAAATTTTAAACAATCAAAAAAACTATCTGTCACATCGTTGCCTGGATTTTCGTCATTCGTCAGAGACCATCTGTACTCGGTCAACGCTATTAACTTGTTTCGCAACTATAAATGTATAATCTGTATTTATATAAATAACAATTAATAGACTACGCATGTTCGAAGTTACCGTTCGAACAAAGTATAGTTTATGGCTGTGGCGTTTCGTTCTATTTTGTGTGATTTTTTTTTTTTTTTTTTTTTTTTTGGCTTTTCTTTATTTTTATATTGCTAATGAAGCCTGCAAATAACGAGATCGAAAAATTTCGTTCAGATTAACGAGAAACATAATGCAGGAAAGAATGAAGAAAAATTAAAGACAAATACACAGAAACGAAGAGAAAAATAGAATGATAATTGTCCAAGTACTGCATTTAAAATATTCTCTTAATTGTTTGAAATCGAACAATAAACTAACACCAATTAGGAATGAATTATGTTTTACGAATAATCGTGTGTGTGTGTGTGTGTTAGATTGCTGAATACTGTGATATTATCACAAAACAAAACAAAACAAAGATATATCATAGAATACCTTGGATGGAAGTCAAGAGTAAAAGATAAAAAAGATAAATAGTAGTGGAAATACATACATACATACATACTTCTTCAATCGTATCAATGTTTTCACGAATATGTTTAAAATCTCTTGTTTCTATTTTCGCATACTTAAAGGTTTAAATATAAAGAAGATTACAAATATGATAGGTCTATGATGCGAGGCTGTTCTATAAAAATATATACTTGTTTGCAATGTTCAATTATAGTCCGTCCAAGGAGGCAGGTCAGCAAATGGAATACAAATTTCACGTGTTCGACGCAGGTCCGTCTCACAGTACACACACGCCGAACGAAGGGGTTTGAAGAATTGAAAGCACCTGTGCGCCGGCCCTGAGTCGAGCAAGATTTGTTTACATTTACGAACTCGTCTCGTTTGATGGATTATCGAAACCCAACGTATAATGAGTTTCTAAGGGAAAATAGAAAGCAGGCTCGGTCGATTTTCTATTGATATTTCTCTGATACATGCTAAAGCTTGCAGCTTTTGATTTATCTATAATCCTCGAATTTATGTAATCGATATACAGTAATTATGCTTGCTATAAACAGTATTAAATTAAAAAAAAAAAATTTATTAATGTTATAAAACATATTTTTTTTTACTTTTCTGTTTATAGTTTGCATAGCACTATGTTATACCAAACTTTCCCTATTTTTATTATCTAAAGTAAAGAAGTGGTAGTCCAAAGCGATACTAATCTGTTAATAACCATTTCTCTGTTCAATAGAATTGTTTTAGTCATAGACGCATGTTTCATAGGAGACGCGTTAGGAAAGTACTACTGTATTTTTCAAGTCGTATTTAAACGGTAGCATCATTTTAAAGCTATAATTTTTAATCTCAGGAATTCTATCTCTTATATATCAGTCAAATCTGTCTTCCATTGATTAGCATACAACTGAAAAAGACGAAAACGATCAAAATGTTTAAGAAAAGTTTTCTCTTCACGATAGTTTAACACGGCACATGCGTGTTATAATAATTGCTAAAATTGAGTGTAAATAAAAAAATATTACAAAACATGATTATATATATATATATATATATATATATATATATATATATATATGTTTCAAGAAACATAGCTACCTATATAAATGTATTGAAATGTTTCTTTGTTATTTTTTCTCTTTTCATGATCGCACTAATATGTCCCAGGTACGCATTTCAAGCCATGTAAACAATTCGATTGAGATAGATAAAATATTCTACAGGATGAAATTCAAACCTTTCATTTACAATTTATAGGAACATCCATTTGGAAGGTTCACAGTTCAGACGCAACGATCAGCGTATATATGTGTTGCTTTATTTTATACGCTTCGGAGGCCTACCACGTTTCTTAGCTTCAGTGGTGACAGTGTGATTGAGGATCGATGGTTTGGCAGTATGCGAATTAATTGCTTTTTGTACATTTCTCCCAGCATCAATTTTATACAAATCTAATTCAATTGTTTCACTTTCGATCGCCTTTTTCGATCGTCTTGTTCGACCGGCTATTCTTTCCATTTCGTCGAACTTTGCTTGCAATCTCAGTGCTAATTCGAAATCTTCTTTTTCTTGTATAACTAACCTCTCCATTCGTTCCTGTTCTTTAATAATTTCTTCGTCCGAAAGAATACTTTTATCTTCAACTGTATGCACCTCGGTAGTATTATTATTTTCCGACATACATTCGTGCAATTCGCTGCAAGATTCGGATGAATCATAATTGTTACTGTCCATATTCTCATCGCTTACATTTACGTGTTGTTCACTATTGATAGAATTATTGTGTTTGCCATTTCGCGCTGTTTTTCTTAAAGGAAAATTATTCATTTGACAGCTCAATCCTATCGAGCCATCACTTTTCTCGGAACTTTCTGTACTAGACTGCTTTGCTCGACGTGCCCTTTGCTGTTTCGTTTTCGGCAAGGCAGTCTTCGTATGCTTAGTTTTATTTCGTTTTTGTACTGTAACAGGAACATTGTCTGTTACTTTGTATTCAAGGTTCTGTTTTCTATATAATCTTTTCCTTGTGTTCTTTTTCATAATTACTTCTGATTCTGAATTTAATGAACACATGCTATCAGAATTCTTCTTATCCATATTTATTTTTCTCTTTTTTATTCTCTCCGCAATATTTTCTACTGTCCTCTCATCTTCCCTTTGTACTTCGATCTCTTCGCCGTATGATGAATTTATTTTTACAGATATAGACGAAGATGTTGAATTCCTCATTTCAATGTCATCTACATATTTCGTACCCGTTACACTCCTTGTGTCTTTTTTAATCCATAAATTTTTCTGTCGTTTAGATTTACACACCATCCCGTTCCTAATATCTGATTTCCAAGACTTCTCCACCTTTTTAATATCCCTATGGTCGTCTGATATTAGTTTTTTACCAATTCTAGTGCCATTTATCACTTTGTTCGTACTTTTAGCATAATTTTTATTGGAGTCAAATGAGGTTTCTGAAGCGAAATCAAGTTTTCGAATGCTCTCATGTATTTGAGATTTTACTATTTTATTAGAGATAACTTGAGATTGATTGTAAGATGTTGATGGTTTCTGTTCAATCTCTTCCTGATATATCTCTTTCTCTTTAATATGTTGTTTGGTTTTACCTGCAACAAATAAAAATATTATTACATTTTTTCTTTTCCGTTGAATTAAACACTTGAAACTTTTATGAAATTAATTTACCTCGAAATGCGCTCCAGGAACAACCAATAATTCGTTTAAAATGTGTCTGAGATGGAGGTTTAGGTATAACATTAGATATCCTTTTAAGAATAGGAACAACTCTAATTAATTTTGGATCTATTTGTCTTCCATCTGAAATACAATATTCTATAATTGTGTAAATAATATCAAGTATTTGGATACAAAAATGACAAAGAATATAGAGCTTACTCAACCTGTAGAAATTTTTAGCGGTGTTCTTGGCATAGCCTTTATTGGCTTAAAATGATGAATTTCTTGATTAATACTATCATGACTACCGGCACTTTCTGCACTTCCCATTCTTTCATCGTCGTCTCCGGAAGATATGCACACCTCTACTCCTAAACTTTTCTTTTTACTGTTTACAACATCATCTGGTACATGTAATTCTTCTTTGCTTTGAGTACCATATATTTTTGAGGAAGATGTTCCAGATTCTATAGGGTAGTTTGACATACAAGATTCTATCATTTTTGTTGTTGCTTGATGTTTCAAAGTCCGTGCAGTAGCATTATATATAGGCATTGGTTTCTGACAACAAAATTTACCCATAGAATCATTACATACATTAGAAGAATCATTACTTTTTATACTAAAAGCATATCTTTCTGCACGAATTTTAGATATTAATGATCTCCTTAATTGATTTGATCTCCTTAATCCAGAGTTATCTTGGGGCTCTAAAACAATTTCTTTCTCGCATTTTGAACTATGGGGTTCCATTTTACATGAATTTGTTTCAGTCATAGTAGAAACATTAAACTTTGAGGTATGGAACAAATTATTAGCTGCATAAGGATAAGTATTATAATATTTAGATGCTTCTTTATGCTTTTCTGCAATTTGCTTTTTGACTAAAGACTTTGCAAGTAATTGATCTTGAGTCAATTGTGCCAACTGTTGCTGTTCTTCTTCTTGAATCTTACGAATTAATGCTTCACTAGCTATCTGTTCAGCCTTTCTTTGACATTGTATTTCTTCTTCAGCCATTTGAAGTTGCACTTCATATTCCCGACGAATTTCTCCTGCTGCACTGAGTGTTTTATTAACACTATTAAATTCTGTATAAAAAAAAATAATGTATTAGGTAAATGTTAATTTACCTTCTTTTCAGTAATAAGAACATTATTAATCAAAAAGAATTTAAAAATTAAAGTAAACGGATTAAATAACAATTAAAACAAAAGAACATTGCAATATATAAACAAGTACAAATAAAAATAACAAAAAGAGATATTTTATTAAAACATTTTCAAATCATATAAATTGAAAAATTATACACCAACTTGCAACTACAGATTATCGTTAACTGTTATACACAGACATATATGCATTTCTTATTCCTATATTTATATTTTTATACTTTTTAGAGAGGTTATGTTACGTTTGTTTACTTGCCCGTAAGGAACTTACCAACATCCAATTCAATGTTTTTGTCGTCACCGTTGTATTTGTTTTCAACCTCTTTTGGAAATTTAGTACGAATTAATTCCCAAAGGCTATTGTTAACTAATGTTTCGGTTCTTGTTGCTGTACGCAACCAAGAACCGACTCGTATTCTACAGAGGGGACAGCTTAAACTATTATGTTCAAAAGTACCTTTCAAACATTTTAAACAAAGATTATGAGTGCACGGCAATGTCACTGGTTCAATCAAAATACTACGGCACACAGGACATATTAAGTCTCGAAGAGAAATGTCCACTGATGATTGTAATAACGAAATATTAAACAATTTTGACGTTCGCTTTAAACATGTCGCCATCTTGCCATATTCCTTGAAGAAGCATAACAGCTACTATGACCGCTACAAGTTGATATACCATGGTGTTCTTGTTTATAACAGAGAGGAACAGAGAGGATGCTCATGGCCGGGGTTTTACTTTGAAAGACTTGGCCGCGTGGTGCAGCACCATGCCAGATGCAAGGAAAACCTTAGGAGAAGACCCTCTATTTCCCTCAATTTCTCTCTGCTTAGAATGATAGATCGTTCACATATTGTCATATATGTAATAGAGATACATACCCTATTTTGAGCTGGTAATATATACTTTTCCCGACCATTCTGTATTGAAGTATAATCTTTAGCTATAAAATTTCAAAATTAAGAAATTGAACAGGTCATCATTTTTCTAATAATTCAACCACAAAATATTGCTTCTTTTTAATTATATATATAAGATGCAGTTTCCGCTAACGAGTACTCTGCTTTAGTGCTAATTTTTAGAAGATTGGTGAGCCTGTGAATGAGTAATCAATATTAAACCGGTAATGCCCTCAATTGTATGTCTTGGAAAGGTGACTCATAACGAAGTGAAAAAATTGCGATAAGTGATCAAAGTAAAACGTATATAAGTAACGGAAATATTGTCTCCTGTGAAAGTTAGAAACTCAAACTGTTACTTAACGTTTGTACAACACTGAATTGATTGTTGTTTTACAGGTCAAACAATAGCGCAGCAAGATGACAAAGAAAGGTATTTGATTACATTTGCATACATATATCGTATTATGTGTAATTTTTAATATTAAAAAGTAATTCTTTTAAACTTCCTTTTGTGTAAGAATAAATGTAAAATAAATTTGTATTTGATGTATAGGAAAAAAGAAAGGGCAGAAACGGCAACCCTCTGAACAAGACCCTCAAGCCTCTGGTTCACAGCAACAGGGAGCACCTGATGCACAGCAACAGCAGCAGGCTCGGGGTTCACAGCAACAACAGAGGCCACCTGCTGCACAACAACAGAGACCGCCTGGTCCACAACAGCAGCAGCAACAGAGACCACCTGGTCCACAACAGCAGCATCAACAGAGACCACCTGGTCCACAACAGCAGCAGCAACAGAGACCACCAGTTCCACAGCAGCAGCAGCAGCAACCAGCTGGTCCATGGCAACAACAAAGACCGCCTATTCCACAACAGCAGCAGCAACAGAGACCACCTGGTCCACAACAGCAGCAGCAACAGAGACCACCAGTTCCACAGCAGCAGCAGCAGCAACCAGCTGGTCCATGGCAACAACAAAGACTGCCTATTCCACAACAGCAGCAGCAACAGAGACCACCTGGTCCACAACAGCAGCAGCAACAGAGACCACCAGTTCCACAGCAGCAGCAGCAACAGAGACAACCTGGTCCACAACAGCAGCAACAGAGACCACCAGTTCCACAGCAGCAGCAACCAGCTGGTCCATGGCAACAACAAAGACCGCCTATTCCACAACAGCAGCAGCAACAGAGACCACCTGGTCCACAGCAGCAGCAGCAACAGAAACCACCTGGTCCACAACAGCAGCAACAGAGACCACCAGTTCCACAGCAGCAGCAGCAACAGAGACCACCTGGTCCACAACAGCAGCAACAGAGACCACCAGTTCCACAGCAGCAGCAGCAACCAGCTGGTCCATGGCAACAACAAAGACTGCCTATTCCACAACAGCAGCAGCAACAGAGACCACCTGGTCCGCAACAGCAGCAGCAACAGAGACCACCTACTTCGGAGCAGCAACCATCATTTCCTGCTCAACAGCAAAAACCATCACCCTCTACTTCTCAACAACCACAGGTATAATTTTTACATCAAAGCAAGTCATGTCAAATTGTTATTTTAGCAGATTGTTAATATTTAATCCAATTTCACTGTATTGTTTAATTAGGAAACTGCTGTTAGTTTAAAGAGGAGAAATGGAAAAGTAGTATTACCAACTGCTCTGAAAGAAGCATATATAGAACAAATTCCACGCAAAAAAAATGCTGGAACACAGGGTAGAAAGATTCAGGTGGAAACGAACATGTTAAAAATCGTGCTTAAACCAAATTTTAAAACAAATATTATACATTATGACGTCGTTATTACTCCAGATAAACCAAAATTTATGTTCAGAACAATTTTTGAATTATATAGGAGAAAACATTTTCCAAACAGATATCCAGCATTTGATGGAAGAAAAAATGCTTATAGTGGAAACGATCTTCCATTTGATAGTACAAGTGTAAGTGTTTAAACCAACTATTTGTTTCTAGTCGAAATCTTTTTTTTTTTTTTTTAATATGTATATAATATTATATTTTATACTACAGGTAGAAGATGAAATAAAAGTTCTAGACCCTGAACGACAACAAGAACGTGTATGGAAAATATACTTACGAAAAGTTGCAATTCTTGATTTATCATGGTTAAGAGGTATAGAGATGGGTTATAATGAAGGTGAAAAAGAGGAGAAAGGACTACAAGCGTTGGACGTTATTTTCCGCCACGGTCCTGCATATACATTTACACCAGTAAATTATTTCATAATATTAAATTTTCGAAGAATTATATTTAACTTTGTGTCATTAAATGTATATTAATTTTAGTATAGCTATTTAGGTACATAGTATGGTAAATATATAGTACTTAACTTAATATAATAACGTTTAAATAGGTGGGAAAATCACTTTTTCCAAGACCAGAACCGGGTAGAGTTATATCTTTGTCAGATGGTATGGATTTATGGATTGGCGTATTTCAATCTGTAGCAATTGGAAAAAGAGCTTACTTAAATATTGATGGTAATCTATTGATACAGTTATATTTACTTACATAATTATCTTATATGATTTACGTTTAATACAAAATGTTACTGGCTTTCTCGTGATGTCTATACATACTTGATATGATTTACATGCAGTGGCACATAAAGGATTCCCTAAAGACCAATCTATTATTGATTTGATGAGAGAGTTGTGTAGACCTCCTAGACAGGCTCAACCTTTGGCAACTGTACAACCACGAGACGTAGAAAGGAATAAAGAAAAAATAACTAAATTTTTAAAGGGATTAAAAATACAATATGAATTGCCTGGTCAACCTACAACTCGAAGAACTTATCGTGTAAATGAATTAGTCAGGTGTCCAAGAGAAAACAAATTTCGTTTAGAAAATAATACGATGTGTACAGTGGAACAATATTATTTAGAAAAAAAGAATTATAGAATACAATTTCCTGACTTACCTTGTCTTTGGGTAGGATCCCGAAATAATAATATTCACTTGCCTGTGGAGGTATATAAACGATTTTTAATATTAAATTATAATTATAAAAACAGTCATTAATTATTTATTAATACTTTGCAGTTGTGTACAATTGTGGGTGGACAAGTCACACAAAAGAAACTAAATGAAGATCAAACTACTAATTTAATTCGACATGCTGCAACTGATACTCGAACACGTAAAGCAAAAATTATGGCTGGTGTAAGTATTTTTAGTATTTATACATTCACAAAATTATAATTTTTAATTTCAGCACCACATTAATATGTTTACAGTTTGCTAGTATGAATTTGAATCAACAACCGACCTTAATGAATGAATTTCACCTTTCTGTACAAGGAGAATTTGAAAAAGTACCAGCTAGAATTCTTCAAGCTCCCGTGTTGCAATACAATAAAAATCAAGTTAATGTAGTTAAAGGTGTATGGCGAGCGGATAAATTTATCAAACCGTGCGAATTGCCAGATCTGACGTGGACTATTTTGAATTTAGACGGAAGAACGCAAGATCGTGACTTATATCGTTTACAAGATAGTTTACAAAACGGCGGTTAGTATGTTACTATATACATAAAACTTTTCTATTATAATGCTTAAAACATTGAAATTTACGTGTTAGTACATTATTTCAAGATCATACTGGTTTTGTGTTTCTTTCTTTAGCTGTATCTGTCAATATGAGCATTGGCAAGGCATTAACTCCATTTGGAAATCTAATGTTAGGAAGAAATATTAGCAACATTATGGAATATTTTCAAGATAAAAAGAAGCAAAATTTAAGATTGGTGGTAGTAGTAATCCCAGTTTTTGATAATGCATCATACAGTAAGTAACATACTACATAATAGTTTACATAATATCATAGAAATATTATAATAAACTTTATGATACTTTAAGGTGTGGTAAAACAAATTTCTGAATTGAAAGTAACTGGTGGTGTAGTAACTCAGTGTTTAAAGAGTAAAACTTTAATGAAACTGAGTCCTTCAACAGTCACGAATATTTTACTGAAGATAAATTCGAAACTTAACGGAGTTAATCATAAACTTGCTCCTACCTATTTGTAATATTACATTCTTTTAATAAATATTTTGTGTTATTTATTTAAGGTTTTAGTTATACATACATATATCAAATATTTAATTTTTTAGACCACCTTGCTTATCAGTACCGTGCATGTTAATTGGTGCAGATGTGACTCATCCTTCGCCTGATGCTGTAGACATACCTTCGATTGCTGCTGTAAGAACTACTTTTAATTTTATTTTTGAGCAATTTTGAATCTTTTGTTCAGCAAATACATTTAGAAATCAATGTTATTTCAATATAGGTCGCCGCAAGTCACGATCCGAGTGCTTTTCAATATAATGTACAAATAAGAATCCAATCACCAAGGGAAGAAATGATTCAAAGTTTGGAAGAAATTATGCGTAAACAGTTGATATATTTTTTTCAAAAGACGAGCTATAAACCTAGAAAAATAATTTTTTATCGGTAAATATTGTTCAATAAATGTTCCTATTGGTTGAAAGAAAGTATATTTAACTATCCAAAATTCATTTAACAAACGGTTTCTTTTTATTTATTTACAGAGATGGTGTAAGTGAAGGCCAACTTCCACAAGTTATGCATTTCGAATTATCTGCAATAAAGAGAGCCATTGCAAAGTTAGAAGGATCTACTGAACATAAGATTCCAATTACATTTCTTGTAGTTCAGAAGAGGCATCATATACGTCTTTTTCCAACTGATAACAATTGTGATCAAAAGAATTTTAACGTGTTAGCAGGCACTATTGTTGACACAGAAATTACACATCCTACACAAGTGGATTTTTATCTTGTATCACATGCTAGTATTCAGGTACGTTCTATTTATACTTTTCATTACGTGGTGTAAGTATTCAAGCATTGCCTAGGACGTATCTGTGACAAATTTGTATAACAGGGTACTGCGAGACCAACCAAGTACAGATGTATATGCAATGAAAATGATTTATCAGAAGACGAAATTGAACAACTAACATATTATCTTTGTCATATGTTCGCACGGTGTACAAGATCTGTTAGTTATCCTGCTCCTACTTATTATGCTCATTTAGCAGCTGCTAGAGCCAGAGCATTGATACACGGGTAAAATATATACATACATATATTATATATGAAATGTTACTATTTCAGTTACTATTTACTTATTATACAATTACGATTTATGTTTTTACAGGGTTCCTTTAGATATAAATAACTTGGAAGAAGCACAGCGAGTTAACATGACGTTACAGATGAACGAGAACTCTCCTATGTTTTTTGTTTAAGAATTATGTACGTATTTTCATTTTTTCTTTCACTTACATTAAATAATGCTTTTTATTATTAAATATAATCAACATATAATCATTGTCACATTAAAAAAAAAATGTACTGTATCCTAAATTCTGTATCTCATATAAAAATATAATTATGTTCATTAAAAACAATGTTATTTTGATTGTAGCATACAGTATCTAGCATTCCATTTTTCTTGTATGTACGATAAAATAATAACTATAGCAAATATATTTGTTCAAATGGTATTTCCTAAATTAATCATCTTTTTCGAAAGACCTATTTTAGGACTACGATTTTACGTTGTGGAATTTAAAATTTAAAACCACCGACAGTGAGTCGTTGCAGTAATCGATTCTTTTTAAACGTGAAGTATACGACTAATATGGCGCGTCCTGCTTTAGTGTCGGTATGTTAATACGAGAGTCGTCCTCAAATAATTTGTTTATATCTCTTAAACTGAATCGTGAAATAATTAATAAACAAGTGTTTAATAAAAAATTATACTTCCTGAAAAATTATTCTTATTTTATGTTTATGTGTTTTATATACGCGGTGAGCATAAACATTTTAGTCGATCGATAAACGGTATACTTTCTACGCTTTCTGTTCATTTTATGTAGTTTCTGGCGAAACATTCATTCTTGGTAACAGAGATTAAGTTTACTATAATTATTTATGAATGTCGAGTGTTTTTAGAAATTTCGAAGAAAACAGAAATTATTTCGTAGGCGAAATACAACGAAATATATTGACAGTAAGGTACGTTGACACAAACTCAATTAAAGTATGCTTTCTAGATCGAATACTGTGCATGTTTATATTTTATACATTATTTTTTTTTTTTTTTATCATGTAGGTGATTTAAATGTTGTATTAAATGCTTCTTATATTTGAAACAGCAAGAATGTACCCCCTATAAAAATCTAAATTTTTTGATATAAACGGAACGTTTAATTGTAACATTGAAACTTAACTGATATTAATAAGATATTTGATCACTAAAATGACAAACGCGTGTATTTTTTTATAAAGTTAATTGAATTAATAAGAAAACGAATTATGAACATTCGGTAGTCATATCTACATAGCTGCGAGGGGTCATTGAACGCACATGATCTATTCCTGTTGATATAGCAAATACTAACAAAGATGTCTCACATTATGTTACCTCGTAGTTAATGCGATACTCATTCGAAGATTGTGTTGTTATGAATTATAATACTTTACACGTATCGAATGTACAAAAATCGATGTATAATTACTTTTAAACAACGTCGTAATTCCATTCATAGAGTTTCTTGGTTCAATGAGGTTTCGAGGGCATGCATGATACAAAGAACGATTTGAAGGTCACGTATCGCGACTTGAGAAGGGGGCAGATCCACTAAATCTAGTTTCTAACATAATTCATACTCATATTTTCGTCTAATAAGAATATTATTGTATTTTTGTGCATTACGTATAGTATTTTTAACGAGGTGGGCCAAGCAGTCTGCATCCTGAAGAAACTAGGCCCACCTTGGCCCCTAGTTACGTCAATATCTATCTAGATACTTTTTCGTTTCCTACCCTTTCGCTATTTTCATATTCACTTATCCCTATTCTATCTATCTGATCTTTTATCCTTCTTTTACTACCCATCGTGTTTCCTGTTTTTATAATAAATCCCTGCCTTCGTCCTTTCTTTTTCTCTTTCCTCTATCTCTTACTCTCTCTTGTTTTCTTTTCCCCTCTCTACGTAAAGCTCTATCTTCGTTCAAGTTCTGTCTTCGTTTTCGCGACTGGCTTCACGTGACCGGAACGGTCTATTGATTCTTGGAGGCAGTGCATGCGCCCTCGTCCTCGCGATATCTGGTGGTAAAGGGGTACGTAACGTTGCTCGGGTTCTGTTCGTCAACGCTAGAGATACAAAGGGGCTGTCAGATGTAGAAAGTGAAGGGGTGAAACGAGGGGAAGAATACGGAGAGGAGGTTGGAGAGAATAGCGGAGGTTGGTGAAAACAGTATCGTTTCGTATGGCGCTGGTGTACGATAGTTGGTCTTGTACGTTATGATTTTCGTACTTTTCTTCAGGTACATCTATTTTATTCCTTTTTCTCGTCAATCGTATATTGTAGTTTAAAAACAAATATTTTTATCCTCTGTATCTGTCTCATAATTGTCCGCAAAATCTTGTAAAAATTATGTATATACTATCGAAAGCATTACCTTAGTGAAGTGTATAAAATATATTATAGATACTGTTTGTGTTTACCCACGGACGCAACTACCCCTTCTGTGAACACGACTGTCTGTTATCGCGCGACAATCGACTTAACCAATATATATATATGTAATAATGGTGTTTTTGCGCGTTCTCCAAGAACGAAATGCGTCGCGTTCCTGTCATCCCTATCGTTTCAAAGGAAAGTAAACAACTTCACGACGCGTCGCGTTACACGTTGCTAATCGTGTATCATTTACAGTGAAACTTTCGCGAAGTAAAATTATTCTCTCATCAATGATTACCGTGAGTGCAAAATCGAATGTATGCTTTCTCATTACATTCTCGTATAATATCGATCGTTTGCAATATCGATTCATATTAGCGAATTTTTAGCGACGTTAAATTATTTTTTAAACCTTTATTCTTATTAACGAATTAATGTACACGGTGGTGGGAAGTGTCTCCTAGTTGCATGTATGGTTGAGGGTAGTTTCTCAAACACTCGAAATTTAAAAAACATTTATTTTTGCATTAAATAAATTGCATTCGTTGGAAAATTGTTTACCATATAGAATAAACGAACTGCAAGGGGTTGGGATTTCTATACGTTCACGTGGTTTTGCGCGTCGAAGAAAGTTCTGGAGCAGGAAACGTGCGCGTTTGTTACTGTTGCCTGACAACAGCGAGCACTTCCGATTTTCGTCGAATCGATTACGACCAAACGAGAGTTTGAAATATCCGTGTCGATGAATCGAATACATATGTGCATGGAAGTTTTTATTAAAATAAATTAAATTTTTACTTAAATAATATTTTAAAAATTAAAATGAAAGTCGTTTTTCATACGAATATTTCGTGACTATAGATTGAAAAATGTGGATAGAATATTGAGAAAGGGTATAATTTTCTTTCAACATGCATACTTTTCACCACTGGTACAGGTGCTGAATAGCTAGGGAAAGTTTTCCGTGGGTATTTTCTACGGTAAGATCATCACATTTGCTTCGATATCTCGAATACTAGAAAATCGTATAATTTTCAGCGATAAGGTTAGCGTTAAGAGTAAATGTGGTCTGTGGAAAACAAATCTGTCGAATAGGACGTGTGATTCAATCCTTTCTCTCAGCTAGAAGAAACCATTCACTGACGCCTGTCACTTGCGAGTCTTTCTTTTACATAACCTCAAACACGCAAAAAGTGTTGTAAGGACGCGATGTGTTGTAACGTGTTAGTACAAGGCTGTCTTACGTAGTTCGTGACAGTGTAGTAGTTAGAATTTCATTTTTTTTTTTTCATAGAGTACATTTTAAATTTGATTACAGAAGGCAGTCGTTGATGCAGTAAAAAAGCTCGAGGAGGAGGGAAACGCGGACCATGCCAGGACAAGGAGCGAAGTGGTGACCTAAAACTCATCCTCGGCACCGACCCTCGATGCTCACGCTACGGCTGGTGTCGACTCACTTCTTGAAGCAGCCATAGGCAGTGCCCTTCGCCTCAGAGAAAGGGCTCGATGCGATGTGCCGTGATAGGGACATGAACCCAAAACTAGTCGAGTCAAACGATCTCTGTTTAACGTCGTATCGGTTCTCAATATCGGCTTGAAGGAATCCGCGTTTGGACAATTCAATATACGCGACCGTACCTCCTCGACGAAGGACTATTTACTTAGCCGTATCTCGCTGTGTTCACCGTGGAGAATAACATATTTTTCTCCTTCGATTTTCTTCCACCTCCTTACAACTCCTGTGATCCCAATATTTACCTCACATTATCGTTCCTTACCCGTACGTTTCATGTTTGAAGAAAATACGCTAGACGCGTGACGAACAACGAAAGTGAACACGAGGAAGTTTCTTGTGGCCAGTTCGATCAACCGGAAGGTTCGAGAATTCCTCTTCTGTTTGTAAGACGATCTATTCGTCGATCGCGAAGTCGAAACGAGGACAAGCTGTTAAAAAAAAAAAAGAAAAAAAGAGGTGCAGCTTCGAAGTAGCTTCCAGACTGTACTCCATTTATTTCAATCTGTGGAGGGTCGCGAGGGAGTGCATTGTGAGTCTCTTCCTCTCTCTAATATGCTTCCTTTCAACAATCTCGATAAACGTTCGCGGCACCGGACACAATGGGTGCTGGGTTTGGTTTAATCGTTCGATGCGCGTGCTTTATTTACACGGGCTATCAAAGTCCTGTATTATGAAATTTTATCGATCGTGACGGTCTTGGGAAGGTATTCGATCGTAACACCCATTGTCCGATCGTGCTTCGAATTATCCTTTAAAGAAAACGTATGTAAAGTATGTAGAAGAACGCGAGTAGATAAGAAATTTCAAACGTCTGCTTTCGTAGCTTTCGTTAAAGTTAGTTGAACCGTGAAAGTAGAGTTTATGCGTTTGCTAATCTATTTCTAACGGTAATAGAAAAGGACTGGTATTTATCAATTTAATGATCCCAGTGCGGCGACGGCGGCGGTTCACGGTGTAGACAAAGTGGGATGAGACGTCCTCAGCAGGAACATCACCACCATCTCCACAACAACCAACATAATCACCTTCATCACCACCACCTTCACCACAATCACCATCATCATCATGGATCTTCGACGAGTCCTACACGCGTACGACAAGTTCACGAGAAGGTAATTTTCCCTCGATTATGCTTCAGGTATACATTTCCCATTGGCAAAATGTTGTTTCTAGCTTCGTTTTTGAATTATTAAGGAAAAACGCTGACCAATCAGAGCGCGTATAGCGCGCGGGCTCAGGGACGGCAGTGTCGACTACGAAAACCGAGCCTGATAAAATTATTCGCTCATCGTTTAAAACAGAATACCTCGTTTAAAATTCGACCAAATGACTTGAGGCTTTTTGAGATGCTGTAAAGATATGTACTTTTGTTGTTTTAAAAAATTTTTCGCAAGCGAATAATTTTATGGCCCGCTGTAGGTTGCGAACGAACGGCTCGTCACCTCGTTGGCATAGCGCAATAAAAAATTCTCTAACATTCTATCTATGTATGTCTAACATTAACATATGTATCTCTCTTATGTTTTTGCATATCGTACGGCCGACTCTGAAACATAGAAAGTCTGAGCCTTTCCTAGGGGAAAAAAAAAAAAAAAAGAAAGAAACCCCGCTACTCGTCTAAATATATTCTAGAGTGATGTACTTCGCATTGTCCTTTTCTCTAGGAAAGGCTAACGTGCTCACCACTGTAGATTCTAACAGCTGAATTTTGATGATTACCAAGGACGAGTCTCGTTTAGCGAAAGTGAAACGCGTCTTGGCTGTCTCGTTGTTGGGACGTAACGGAGGATCCACGAGGGTCTTTGGTAGCCGGTTGGACACGATCGAGCCGTATCTCGACACCGGGGTACCTTTCGTTGTGCATCGACTGTGCAGCTACATCGAAGCTCATGGATTTCAAAGTGCTGCCGTGTTTCGCCTGTCTGGTGGAAGTCCTAGGCTGGCGGAGAGACTGAGAGCGGCTTTCGAGCGAAGAGGTGACGCCGATTTGGAAGCTGCAGCCTGCCCTCCTACTGCGGCCACGCTTCTTCGACAGTATTTGAAAGAATTACCTCAACCAGTTGTACCATCCACTCTTGTCGCCAGACTATTGGCTATTCATGCTCGTAGGTTACTTTCCGTTAGAAAATTAATAGACGATAAACTTAATAACGATAGTATTTTGAAAGTATCATTCATTTCCAGAGAATTATTCCAACGATCACGACTGCTGGATCAATTCGACGAAGGAGGTTCTATCGTCTCTGCCAGCTTCTCACTATCGACTACTCGGTTACCTGTCCCTTTATCTGAGCAAATACGAAGCCCATCATGGACGTAGCGCCGGCGTTTGCGGTGTATTCGCGCCTGTGATTCTACCTCACGTTCCACCCGCTACCACGCTCCTTCGCGATATTTTGGCCGACGCCTCTCTAGTTTTTCATGATTGGTAAGTAACACTCACGTAATTTGCCGTTTTAACTCTTCCCGGTCTCTTTCTCACCAATGTATGCATCAGTAAACTAAACAATTCTACCAACCAACTTGAACAAATAAATTCAGTTTATTTAGAGATATTTAGATGGTAAAACCGGAACGGCCGTAAGAACTTTCTGGTAGAATATATAATGTTACAATTACGAGACAATTAGGGGAGGAGCGATTTAAACGGCGTTAGTCATAGAAGAGGTTGAATCGATCAGTCTTGCTTCTTATGCGTATAAGAAGCGGTGGTAGCGCTACCGTTGAAAACGATAGCCTCGAGATTGTTCGCGTGCATCGTTCGATTCGGTTCGCTTTGGTTCCACGTACGAACAGGTACGATTTCAACATATCCCTTTAATCCTCTAAACACGCAAAAATCGCGTTAAATTGGCCTTTCGTCTTAATAAGTTTGATTTTATTATGGATATCGTTCAATCATTCCCTTCGTCGTGATTATTCCTCGCGTTTGTTATCTTATTTTTCTATTTCGATCCTTCAATTTGTTAATTGTTCGGGATCGTTTCTTTTCTTTCGCCGTCTTTTAATTATCCGGCTAAATCGAAGCAACCCCGATAACAGCCGGTGCATTAATGAAATCTACTTTAATCGTACGATTATTATTCAACGACCTTCCAAGCCCGAAGTCGGTACTTATTCGTATCGTTCGTCTTCCTGTTGGGATTACGCGTCTCGGTCCTTGGCCTTGTTGTGAATAGTTCGACGCCGAGGAACGTTCTTGAAACCATTCTCGATGCTTCCTTACCTTTCGTGTTTACTTTTCGATCGACGTTCAAGGAGTACGCCACGCGTTCTCGCATACCAAAATAAAGTACGCGTTTCCTTTCGCTTGAAACCTTCTCATATTCGTATCATTAATTACAGATAATTATTGTGTTAAAAGGATCAGTGCGGTAGGAGTTCTGGATATCAAAGATTCGATTAGCTGTATCAGATTCTTGCGTAAATTTTAAATAGCCCCAAGAGAAGATCGAAAGGTAATCGACGTCTGTGCCAAGAATTTTGTCTGCGAAAATGATACTGCGTCTCTCTCGAACGACAAGGTACAACGAATCAATTTTTGGCACGCCATTGGCACCTATCGTTTGTATTTAAAAAAAAAAAAGTAAATTGCATAATCCACTCGCCGCTTATATTTAATCGAAATAATTTATCTCAGAGCTATAGTTAGAATCGCGAAACGTGTATTATATTATTATATTGAAACATACATTATGAAGATTACAATACACCCAATGCCGTGTCTCGGCTCTGATTTCTGACTATTCGATCGACAATACCGTTGACACGCAATACGATCAGAGATAAAGTTAACGATTAAAAGCAGAAACCTGACTGGTATTCATTACACTCACTCGATCGATACAACAAAATTATAATCAGTAATGCGTGTCGGTGGTTAATGAAATTGGTAGCTCGAAATACAAAGGATACGATGATGTCACACGCGATTGTATAAGTAATGGGGGAAAATTACATTATTTTGAAAAGAAATTGCCAAAATAGAATAATGGAAATCATTGATAGAAGGGCACGGTATAATCGGATGCAAGAGCACGCGCTTCGAAGGATCGAAATAAATCATCGACGTGTTTCGACTGACGAGTTTTTTTTTTTTTTTTTTTTTTTTTTCGGTTTCGTTCGGTTGCCAAAAGTTTAGGTGTAAGAAACCCGCTTACGTTGCCGGTCGCGACAGAATTACGAGCCACGATGGAAAATAACCGCGCGAAAGGTATAAGCCCGTTTCGGTGAACGGTAAAAGTCATAGATAAACAACGTGGCTGCGATGGTTTTACATTTTTATTATTTTGCGGATAGCAACGATGAATGATATATTACCCGGCTATGTAAAATGTAAATTAATGTCACGTGCAGTATTCGAGAAACAACCTTGCATCGTTTATCACTCCACCGATAAATCAAATGTTATTCGAACGAAATTTGGCCGGCTGTTCGCACATGCAATCGGTGATTTTATTAACGCCTCGATTCCCACCGTAGCCAATTACAATGTGTAATACGACACGTGATGATACGAATTATCTAAGGTATTAGCTATTAATCTTCAATTTCGTAACGGTATTACTAATCAAGCGTATTAATAGCATACGAAATATTTGCAATTTTAATTATACTTTTGTTCGATTAATCGAATTGGAGAAAACCGGTTACCGGTAACTATCTCCTGCTCTTCTTGTTATAAATTTTCCATTGACCTTGACGGAAGAAGATTTATATTATTTTTAACGCAACATCGTAGGTTTCTATAAAAAAAAAAAAAAAGTTGTGATAGGTATAGGAAAGCAGGAATGTTTAGAAAACTTTGAGTCGCGTAAAGAAGTTCTGCTCTAAAAAGACGATCCTCCGTTATTTAACATTCCAGTTATTCTTAGCACACGTTATTTATAAAAATGTTCTTTCGTTCGGCTCTAAAACTATCGGCAAATATATTTGAACAGCATCCGGCGTGTTTTTATTTTTGTTGCCCGGGACATTTGTAGCCTTAGCCGAGAGTGTTAAATAGTATGTATTTTGTATTTCGTCAAAATTATGATAATATGAATGATGACACGGATGATCAAATAACGTTGTGTCACGATTTTCTGCCGTAACGTCTGTGTCTAGGATATATTCTCGTTGAAATTATTTTCGTTTTACCGTCAAACTGCGCAGATTTCTTGATTTAGCTTGAAAATTCGAACGAAAATATTGAGATGACACGTGCCGCTCTGTTGGATGCTTGCGTTTTAACACCACGCGCGTTTACATCGTTCGGTTGCCTGTTAAAAAATTTTTAAACGTATTATAATATTTATTTTTTTTTTTTGTAAACGAAAGAAACCTTTTGAAAAAAGCCGCTCGAAGTTGAAAAGAAAATTGTAGGAAATTAACGATTATCGTCGACTGATTCGTTCATTGAAAATGCTTGAACGTTAATAAAGCAAAGAAAATATCATAAGAACTCGTGGCCTTTGTACGGTCATCGATTCGTCGTACCACTTACATAATACCGACAGATTATTAATGCTTCTTTCGTTGGCTTCTGACCTCACGTTGCAACGTGACATCTTTTTTTCTATTTATCTATTATAGATTACATACTCGGTTTAAAGGTCAGCTTTTGGCAAAAAGTACCGTTGTCGGAGACTAAACAAACTCATTATCGTATTTAATAATTAAAGCTAAAGATTCGATCGTGTAGCTTTTCAATCGAAGCCTTCGATTTCTCGTCTTCCTGTTTATCGAAATGGACGATTGAAAGATCGAATCCTTGATTGACTTTTGCAAAGAGGGAACGGAACGCACGGCTCTTAGATTATTTTCCTTGGCAATTGGAGAGGATGGCCGTGTCGAAAATTTCCTCTTTACAAATCAACCTGTTCTTTCGACCAGAAATACAGATAACAGATTGTAACGATTCGAGGTGTTTATTCATACGTACGGTGTAAATGCGTTCGAGATCGAGGAAATTTATTAGGAAGGATTACGTCAGTGTTGCCGCATCACCGCGTCGAACAGACTGGTTGTGCACCAGAGTCGTGAACGACCCACGAGACGCTATTAGATCCGACTATTAGTCTCGTGACTGCCTTTCAACGCGTAAACACGCGCATCACGGGGTTAACCCTTTCGTTCTGGATTACGTATCTAGAGAATCCTTCAGAAATGATTAGATCCTATTTTCAAGATTGGACGTCCGACTTCCGGGGTGACCATGGGTGCGTCGTTGATGAAAGTCTGGCGTCCAATCTTGAGAGGATATGTAACAACGGATAAAGTAATCATTTTCGTTCAGCTCCGTTAGACGTTTCCGTTTACATAATACCGGTAGCGAACGGTTTCGAAATCTGCCGTATAAAAAATGAATCAACACCGAGTTGATTTGTTCAGGCACGAAGTTACAACAGAAAGTGCAACCACGTTCGTTGCACGATGCTACTGTATCTTATTGCCAGCTGATTTTACGATCTAGATTCGAGCTAAATGTACATCCACCGACCGAAAATAACGCGGTTTGACGTCACTATGCGAAATGTGTGATCGCGAGGTAGCTTAAGTATCGAGCAACCAGCACTATTCTGCTTCGTTGTAATCTTGCAAAGATATTAAGGAATTAGAATGATTCCTCTTGATTCCTATTGAAACAAAAGTCACTGTGAAATCTTGGAAACGTATTCGACTAGACGAGGCACCACCTCGTGCCGATAAGATGTCTACCTCGAAACAGAGCAAGTTCTGTTTGAAAGATTTCTTGAAAAAACGAATAATCGCGTGAGTAAATTGAAATGGAATTTCGTTTTAAAAGATTTGCCTAAAAATAGAGTCTTCAAATGTCTGGTATCTTTAGGTTTAACAGAAAAAATCATCATAAATGTTTGAACAAAGTTTAAAATTGTATCTGGTAAGCTTCGGTTAACGAAGAAACAGAATCACGTGCACGCGGACTTTGCCTCGAGTTGAATGAAACGATTGCGTTAATTAGCAGATACGATCATTGGGTTCATTTGAAGAATCTTGGAAGAAGATTATGTCCATAGTACACTCGTGATCGAGTCAGACTTCCCGTGGAAAAATTATGATAATATTTATATTTCATCCCTTTCGTCATAATTGAAACATTCCTGATTATTTTATCAGCACTTCGCTTAATTGCCTTTCATATTTATCACCAGAACAGCCACGTTTCGTTTCGTTTCGTTTTTGTTGAAATGAGAAATGATTCTACCCCGCTAAATTTATTTTTCATCCACCGTTCATTTATTTTCATAATTTATTTTAGGTTTAAGGATAGCGTTAAATCTTTCTAAGATCGACGACAAATTATAACGTTAATAAGCTACCAAAACATATTACACGCGCGTACGTGGTGAAAGGACGGATATTAATTCAGAATCGCGATATTAACCAATTCGCTGGCATTGTCGCATACATATGTATGGGTGACGTTCCAATTTCTCGTGGGAGACCACCGTTACACGTGTCCTACGACCATGAATTCGCATTTTATACGCGTCGAAATGAAAGAAAAGAAATCGAACAACGATGTTAAATCGGCGTTATCTTATATTTCCTAAGAAAAGCCTGGCTCCATTCATATTTGCTCAACAATTTTCAAAATGAATTCCAAAAGGAAATCTTGTTCGTTCAATCTCTTTTTAAACACTCGCATCGGTGAATGCGTTAACCACGAAACTTGTTGGTAGTTGGAACAAGTTCCGAACCGGTTCTGAGATATTTGTTTCTTCCGATGCGGCAATATATAGAAAATCAAGGATGATTCCTGTGCCTCTTATCAGCCAATTGTAAATCTGCATATTCTACATGCTTCCTTTCTTTCACCCATCGATTCTCTTTCTCTATTGATTCAAGATACAGAGAACGTAACATGTAGCCAGGTGAATTTTGCAATCTCATGTCGATTGAAGTCGACGAAATTCACACGCGGTTGCGTGAATTTCCATAGGTGTCTCGAGAATAGGGGATTGGATTCTTGAAGCCTGCCACGTGGATGCAGCTCTCGGCAATCCTCGGGATGATTACGCTGTTAGCGTAGCTCTGTGAAATTCCATAGTTGTCTCTAGAATGAGAGAAAGGCTTATGTTCGTTCGGTTCGAGGTTTTTCGTTAGGAAACGATTAGAAACGTAAGTAATTGCATGGAAGCCGGTTTCAATTTATTACTAAGCGATTTTCGAACGAATTATCGAAACGATTGCGAACGTTTGTGGCATGGAAGTGCATAGGTCCGGGGAATGGTAGAACGGGAGAGAACGGGAGAGAACGGTGGAACGAGAGAAAGGGTTCTTGGGCTCCGTTCCATCGTGATCATTTCTTTGGGTTTGTCACGTGCTGCAGTCGGCTGGTACGGAGGAGTAGCAGCAGTAGAGTGTCGTGACGGGAAGATCGGTGTCAGTTGCAGCGACGGAATATAGACCGGGCTCGAACCGGCAACCAGCGTAGTCTGATTTCTGCCTTGGTCCGTGCTTGTGCGTGCCTTTTAATCACGAATACGTGGAACGGCCCAGCTCCACGTAATTCCTCCACCTTTGGCCCTGGCCGAACGATATCGTATACGAATCAACGTTCTTCAGCCAAAGTTTTCCACGTATCCTACGCGTCCGTTGGCCGAGTATATCCAAAAGCCTGTGTATCTTCCTCGTGAACAAGAACGGCTTCTTATCGAACTTTATCCGACTCGAACGAAGCGTGAGAGGCGCGGCGTTTCTTCGGTGACCAGTCGGATCAGAGAACTGTCGTGTCTCGTCTAGGCTTTAGAACTTAAAGCTGACCATAAATGTTCCATCGAATCACCGAAAGGCTCGTGTTCGCGCCGGTGGTCCGCCATTGGAAAAGAAAGTTGGTGTTCGTGATTACATGAGCCACCTCTATGACTAAAGGGATTCTCTCCTAGTAAGTTCGTAATGATTCTTCGATGAAAAATATTTTTATTACCATAAGATCCGTTCCAATGTCGCAAGAAGTATTTGAAGCTGTTCGGTCGAAATTTTAAGGCTTTTTTTCATCTGCTTAGCCGGCAAATTATGCAACCGAATCTTGTTACTATGTTTTTTCCAGCAAAGTCTGCGTGATACTAATGTTTCAAGTAATTCGATTTACCGGAAATGCCCGAAAATAAGAAAAACAAGTTATGTAATGATAGAGTAATCGATTTACCGCATTTCATTTCTTTTATACCGTAGCGATAAAAATTTCAAGTATTTAGAATATTTATCATTTTTATAGAGAATCTATTATCGATGATCAGTCGTTGAACGTTCTTGATCAACATTAATCGAATCATTTAAATGGAGTTATACTCGTGTGTTGCACCGTGTATTGATTCGATTACTAATCGATGGAACAACTGCAAAGCATATCAGCGATTCGATGCAAATTACGATTTTTAAGAACAATGCTATGCTTTGTATTTTAATTGCATTTCAGTTATTAATAACAGTATCAACTGGATCCGAGAATAATTTAATAATATTATGAAGCTTATAAAGTTAAATTTATCTTTTTATTTTAATTACGTTCAAGTTATTATTAATAATAATATTAAGAATATTAATAGCCATAGCGTAAAGAAAATAGAATAAAAAGAAATTTTTTTTCTAACACTTGCGATATTTTCAGTTTCACGGAGTTCCACTATCGATGCCTTTTTTCTTGTTTTATTCAATGTAATTTCTTTGTAAGGGATTTGAAAATGATATACAAATAAGATGCGTAATATCTACGTGACCTACCTCACGTTCAGTGTTCTCAAAGGCATTTCCATTAAACGTCGATCGATTAAACCCGGCTACCCTTTTCTTCATCCTGTTGGAAACGCATTTCGCTCGACTTCAACACGGACATTTTTCCAACGAGCATTTTTACGATAAATTTAGCCGGATTAAAAGATACGAACATTCGGAATGTTTGCACAGAGCGTTCTTAAACGCGTGTAAAGTAACGCGTGGACAAATTTCAGATACGAATAATTGATAAACTTTAATGTCCTTTCTCTGTCATTAAAGCGATTGAAACAAGTTTTTCTTTTAAATTCTATATTCACGGGAACTTTTTCTACGTTTACCTTGAACGTATCGTAGGAACCGGTAAAGAAAAAAATATTCTTCGTAATTTGCAAATAAATTATAGCTTGCGAAAGGAGTTTGTTGCAACAATGTTGCGTTCGTAACCTTCACCTTTAAACGCATCGTTTATAAAATTTTGTCTATGTTACTCCTTCATAAAAAAAAAGAAATGATTCACAGAAAATTTTTGCAATCGAAACGCTTATTGTATCATTTTATATAATCGAAAGGCGATAAAGTAACTCGGCAATTACACAATCGTCATTTAGTCAAGTTCAATTTGATTCCACGTATCGACACGTTAATATGTTTGCATTCGCTTTTCGTGTTCATTGACTCTCATCGAGTGACAAATATTTCATCTGTAATTAATATTGTCGGAACTTCCATCCAATTAACATTCCATCATTTTTGAACGTTCCTTTCGTTGCCGTATCTGTGGAATTGTTACAATCGCTCGACAGAAAAAAAGAGTGTAAGATACAGGAATAACGTTATGATTCATTCATAAAACAAATACGTCATCGGTACATTAGGAAGCGCAATATCATTGAAATCAATTCGAATGTACGTCGAATTGACTCTCGTTTACATTTTCAAACAAATGGTCTTCGTGTATTGGAAAAACGATAATTCAAAAAATGGATTAAAATTTTTGGTCAATCGCCATCGGTGAACCTTTGATTACGTTGGTGTAAAAAAGAAAAAAAGGAGAAAGGTGTATACAGGGCCGGCCTTGGGCCTAGGCAGACTAGGCAGCCACCTAGGGCCCCCATAAGACGATTTTGCATCAAAGAATGCAAAAAGAGTAATGTTTATTTGAATATTGGAAATCTAAATTAATTATACAAGCTTTAATGTTAATTTTCTAAATTTTATTTCAGGATCCCAGAAATCTCAGGGCCGGCCCTGGGTTTATAGGAAAATTCCTGGGTGAATTGAAATAGAACGAGGGTAGAAAATTAGTACATCTGTACATAGCATGCGGGTGGCTTCGTTTCGATAGTATCTTTCTTACGGAAAGAAATAGTATCACGAGGACCGATGACTCACTGCGAAAGTATTTACGCTCTGCAGTTTCTTCACTAGACCGCACGTAGATCGTGTTCCTTGATACGAAAACGTGTATTGGGTTGATCCTTCCGTGTACATTCCAACGCAATGTTTATTCAAATTTTCGTCATACGAAAAATAAAAGTAAACCATGACTCTTTCAAAATATATATTTATTCCTTTTCCATTTGATTGCAGCATCCGTGATAACGTGGTGAACGGCGTGATCCCTGCTAGTGACTGTAAAATCTGCAAGGACGAAAAAGACGAGCAGCCGAAAGACTCTGAAGCATCTTCTCTGCTTTGCGCGCTGAAACCGCGTAAACGTAAGGAACGTCGCGAGTCCTGTTGTCAAGAACGAAAGCTAATAAGGTGCCACGAATAAACGAAAGAAAATAAGAAACGTATAAGTGTGTGTTCCTAATTAGAAATGAAATTCTATTGTAGAAGCAACAGCGAAGAACGCGTTCTTGAAAGTCCAACCGAGACTGCGGACACGATTAGACGGGTGAGCAGTCACGAGGATTTCAACAGCGAAGAACATTTGCTCGTTTTGTCTCAAATTGGGCAAGAAATGGGTCACGGAGTGGTGAGTATCGTCTACGTAACACTATCGATTCAAAGTATCTTGTATCGTGATAGATTTGTGATTTTCCTTTACAGAGATGCGGAGGACTTCCTCTGCACGAAAGAACAAACGTCTCGCCTGTATCTAAGAAAATTCCACCGATTCCATCGCCTTGCGAAACCGCTCTAGAAACCGAGAAATTCGAATGCGATGCCGAGAAACTGAGAAGCAGCGAACGTTTCAGTCGAAGTATCACGCCGAGAGGAAGAAGGCAAGCTCGAAGAAGAAGAGTTCACAAGACCGTCGATGCCGAGAGTTCGAGCAAGGAAAACGAGGAAGAACCTGATAACATTTATAACATTTCGTCGAGTCCGAGTAGTCGCAATGGTTCTCCAGGTCAAAGTTTTTTGGAAATGCTCAGCAGTGGACCCAGTCGATCACCATCGCCCGCTCGTCCGCCAACAGTTGATCACGAAGATTTAAATAATCCTAGTTTAACGAATTGGACTTTCCAAAGACAAGAAAGTGTAAGAAACAAATGGTGTATTAAAAAGTCTTCTCTTATTGCTCATTTTTCTGAGAACAATCATTGAACGTATTGCGTGTTAATTGCTCTTTTATAGGAAGAAGCTGATGCCCGAGTAGAAGCTATGCTCTCCCCACGAAATTCTTTATTGTTACCTAGGCGCTTTTATTCTGAAGATGAAATACAACCAAATACTCCAAACGTAGCGGAGCTTGGATTGAAAAACTTAACAAAACATATAAACGGCTTGAAGAAAAAGATAAAAAAGTACGAAGATGAATTCGAAGAAAACTTTGGTTATCGTCCAAGTCATTCTGATAAGATGAGCAACAGGGACATAAAGAGGTTGTGTACAGAGTTGAATAAGTTGCGAAAGGAGCATAAGTTGTTAAAGGAAGATCCAGTTAGCGCGTTATTAGCTAACGCAAATAACAGATTAAGTAACGGTAGTCCAACGAATAATAATAATAGTCAAGAAAAGTCTAGAGCTACGTCGATGGAGGAAATGGTTAAAGAAGTAGAAAAGAAACTTAGCGAAAAGAGATTAAAATGCAACAGACCCGATAACATGGAAGAACTTACTTACGAACAACTAATGGATGAAAAAACTGCCGTTCAGAAGTCTTTGCTTCATATCGAGAATACATTCGGCAGACCGGTTTCGAAAGAAGATAGAACTGTTGTGCGACCTTTATACGATAGATATAGAACTTTAAAAAGATTACTCATTAGGGCAGGAGTGGTAAGCCTTATAACGTTTTAATCTGAATATAAAAATTTATCTATTTACTTATGTTTATTAATTATGTTTTTAAAGAATAAAAATAAGGATAGTATCTCAGAATTAGCGACTATTTTGGAACACGAAGCAATGGACTTCACGTCGTCCAACTTACCTAGTAATCAGTCTGATGCAGAAAGAAGAGCGAGTGAACCGGATATGTCGCATAGAGGTATTTTGGATTGTATAGATTCGGTTGATCAATTACCAACTGACAGTGATAGTCAGCACAGCAGTAGTGAAGGAAGCCGCAGCAACAATGAAAGTCTTCACGCGCTTCCACAGTAAGTTTCTTTAATACATCAACGATCCATATGTGTATCTATCACGCATATATGAAAATGTATTATTGAATAATTGAATTTAATTGCAGAGAAGAATTATTGGTGCAACAAAAATTAACCAGGGAAGAGAAAAAACGTTTGAGACGAGCTTTGAAAGAATTAGAAGCACAATTTGAAGCTCGAGCTGGTCGTAGAATGCAAAGAGAAGATCGTGGACCGCAGGTTAACACAGTTTATGAATCGTATAAACAGGCTAAAGCAAAGCTTAGACTGATTGATGCTCTTGTGGCTAAAAACGCTTGACGCAGTATCTAATTGGTGTTGTAAATTTTAACACGCAACCACGGTAACGATACAAAGAATCTTCAACATCCTGAAATGTGTGAAATATGCACAGTGATTATATTATACAATCGATAAATTATATTGTATTCTTACAATTGTAACTGATACCATTGTGCAATAAGGAAGAATGTTTGAGCAAAAGCGTGAAGGCAAAACAGCATCTGTTGAAACAGGAAATGTAATATAATACATATGACAATGTGAATTTATTCAAGAATCAAAACGTTTTAAGAGAAGGAGCAAACGAATACTTGTAGCTAAAATCGTTCCTGTGTCGTTGATAATGGTTCAATGGTCAACCTTATTCAATTAATAGAAAAATATTTGAGATATTCAATTTTCTTACAATGCCAATGAAAATAATTATTGTACGCGATAAAACATGATTACATACAACATTTCAAGGAACGATTTCGATTATTATAATTAACGACGTCATTTTGATAAGATCTAATCATTTCGATGACTCTTACGGACACACCAGAATTTCATCACGTGATATCATGCGATAATAAAGGATAAGGTTACTACCAAAGTAGCATTTCGAACTCTAAGCACTATTAGAAAATAACAGTGGCTATGGCATTACAAATATGAAAGCAATCTGTCGATTTGCACTTTACTTTCTTCAAGATACTCGATGACAGCTTTATGATACAACAAAGAAGCATTGATTTCATAGGAGTTATTGCAAATGTTTGCCTGTTTGTACGAGAAACTTTGTCTAACAAAATGTTGAAAAAAAAAAAATCAACACAGTGAATAAGTAATACCACTGATTTGCTCCATCGAATTTTGTACGTATTTTTACGGATATCATCTAACATTTTGTCATTTTATAATAGAAATTTTGAAAATTCATTTCTTCCTACTTAACGGTAATTGTATATTTAGATTGCGTTGTATTATAAGCGCATCATTTTTTTACATTTTTCTACGTTTGTGTGTTTATCTGTGTTTAACGAAGCGTTAAACAGATAGCAACATAATAATCGAAGAAAAATGTTACTTAAAAAGTTATATCTACATTTCTTCCTATGAATCAAATGAATAGAAGATAAAAGAAAAAGAATACAACACCCGTGAATAAGGAACAGACAAGGGTAATAAACGCGTTGTATATGTCCTTTTATGAACAGAGATTAGTATACTGATGTGTACATTTACATTGCTCTAATTACATCAATATCATATTTTCCTTTTTACAATACTATGACGCGATAAATCATTATTTTAGAAATTGATTTGTCAATGGATCGTTAATAGAAGAAGCAAGTATTCTAGATCGTATATTATTTAAAATAAAATTAATACATCTTATTATTTAGGAATTATCACCAAATTGAATGTTGAGAGTAAAGAACGAATCTGTGGGGTTATATTTGTAATGTAAGTAAGTACCTTGTAAGAGATATCACATGTTATAATTGTAGAGTACTATAAACTGTTACAGTCTTATAGCGTATTAAACATATTCATTAAAAGCTCGTTAATTTTTGCGTTTAGTACTTGACAAGTAAAATTTTAAGGCAATTAGTCTGACGTAATGTAAGTTTAAAGTATATGTATAAATGATAGCCTTAAAATTTAACTTGATGAAGTATTTCAATTGAGGGTGCTACAGTTTTGAGTTTAAAGCATAAATGGAATAAATGCTTGGCAAATTTTATTATCATGAAAGTGCACCGAGGTGGGGGGTCAGATTATTCTTTTTTCTTTCATTTAATAATTTCACAAAGTTTAAACTTTGATATAGATCAAGGATCAAGAATTTAAAAAAAAAAAAAAAAAAAAACACCATGTGACATGCGTTGTAAATTATGTATCATTCAAAAGTATATCGTAAATTATATCGACCAATGTTAACGTTAAAATTTTTTATGAAATTATGTCAGAAACCATATTTTGATTCCTTGTTTACATATTGTGCTTAATTGTTCGTTCTGTTGATTAAAAATAATAACGACCCCGGAATCTACCGTGCTAATTCATTTCGCACACACGTATGAAGAAATCAGTTTATTTGAATATTTTAATCTTACATTGATATATTTGAGATTCATTATAAATGATATCTACTAAATTACGCAAAACAAAAAAGTGTACGATTTTTTAGACCAAAGCATTTTTTAGTCTGTGATATAATATGAAAGATATATACTGCTTGCGTTAATATGGGAGAGTGTGTGTGAGAAGTATTTAATTTCTAATCTTTTATTTTCCGCTTTATAGAAAGCAATGACGATGAATGATCCCAAAACAAAAATGGTAGCTCAAGTAATATATACATTTTCTTAATAATAAAAAGAAAGAAAGAAAGCTAAAGTAATTAATCAGTCACAGAAAATCTGGCATTTATTCAAATATTAAATCTGATACGAATCTATCAATTCTTAGTAAGAAGTGTTATCAATTTCCCAACGCGAAATCGATTAGTCCAACTAATTGTATTTTTACAAAACTATTATTAGAAGAGAATTCATTTTATATTTAATATCAGAAGTATTTTTATTTCAGCGAATTTTGTATGTACGGATAATGATCTTTATGGTAAAAGAAAAAATGGGTACTGGCTTAGAATTAAGATAACAATTTATATTAACGTTATTCAAGATACATTTTGTAGATTGTAGAAGAAACGTATCTTTGCGAGTATAAAAGTGAAACGCGTGATTCTGTGTAGTTGCTTGAGAGAAAAATATTTCTGCCACTATATTTTAAAGTCCGTATATATTTGAGAATGAGCTAACCATTACGAGTAACCAGGTTTTGATTCATTAAAGAAGACGTTGACCTTCGCTATACATATACATATTAAATCGATCATGATTTCTTACGATTTATCTAGACATAACTGTTGAAATTAAAAAAGAAACGAGTAATATTAAATTAATAAGTTACGGTAAGTTTTTGTTCGTATATGTATGAAAAATAGATGCATACAAAACTAACAAAGTTAAGAAAAGAAGACAGAAAGTGATTTATGTAGAGTAAAATTTTAATTGTTTCCGGCGATTATAAATGTGTGATTATGTGCATACATATACCCAGTATGTATAGGTACCACCAGTTGCATACTTAAATACACAAAACCATACATACATACATGCAAATTACTATTATAAGAAGTAGCACGCAGAATCGAATAAAAAAAAGAGAGTATGATCGATTAAAAGTATTGCGTTTATTATAGAAAATAATCCTAATGAAATTCCTCAGATATCTGTAATCTAAGTTCTGATAATAAGTTTTTATCAAAATTTTGAACTACACTTATGACGATTACAGTATTTTACTTATTGCCTTACAATTGTTTTATTGTAAAATGTATATTCATTGTCTTAAATTATTGTCCATTTGAAGTTCCGTTTATTTCTGCAGAAGTAAATATGGAAAATAATTCAATAATTAAAGATGATAATATGTTCAACTTAGATTCAAAACATGATACCTTATTACGACGATAATTTCAATTGTTTTTGAAACGTTTGAATTTGCCGTAAAAGTCCAGCTAATCGAATAGAAGTAGGTTCTCTTGTTGAAATAACACTAGTCCCTCGCCTATGATATAATTTATGTTGGCCATTTGTTCCATCAGATTTAGTTAACGTGAACGGCGTGGTGGAATACGCTTTATTTGATTGCAGTGGTATTTCAGTTGATATACAAACGTAACTATTCTTTTCTTGCAATAGTTTCATTTGACGTTTTAATGCCATTACCTAATAACAACAAAGATTGAAACATAAGTAGATATTTTCGAGTATTATAATTTAATTTGAAGAATTAAGGTCATTTTACTTCTTTATATAAATTGATAACAGCATTTATCTCATCCTCTTTGGCATTCAATTCTTTTTCAAGGCTTATGATCTCTTCTTCCAAATCTTTATCAGTACATTTTTTTGCCTTTGCTTGCAATTTTTCGTATTTTCTACAATTGTTAAAAAAATAGTAAATAATTGTAATTTAAAAGTTTCGAAGGTTGATATAACTCACATATTCATTTCTTCAAACTGATCATGAAGATGAACTAGAACCTCTCGTATTCCTTTTGAATTTTTACAATCCTCAATTGATGAAGTGTTATAAAGGTGTTTATCATTTACATTATCCTATAAATTTTGAAGCAATTTAATTATTTACATGATTTTTCGTTATATATATGGAATACTTACTCCTAACTTTAAATTTTGTTGAGAAGCAAATAGCTTCAATACTTTAGTATTGTCTGTACTTTGCAGCACTTGTGTGCTACTAAGTGTATTTAATTGATTTTCTGATTTAGTATCCTGTAGGTAATAAATTTTAATTACTCGTCAAAGCTGAACACACATTTTTAGTAATATGCCTTTTTTTTTGTAAAACAAACCTTTTCCGTATGATAATTTTCGTATGTGTACGCACTCCCTTTAACCATTTCTTGTATATCCTGATAACGTTTTATGGTTGACTTCAAATTTATATTTAAATCATTTAATCTTTTTTTATTATATTTTAAAGATGCGTTTTCATTTTCTAGTAAGTTGTCATTTTGATTTACGAATGAATTTTCCTTTTGCATATGCATACCATTCATACGGGTATTTACATAAGATAATTTACTACATTGATCATTCATTTGCTCCATCAGAAGAGATACAGGTTTCATACCTCGACTAACTTTACGAATGAGAAGTGGAGTGATTCCACTTATCGTAGGTTGCTTCGTTTTCATAATGCTTAAAACCTTTTAAATAGGAAAAAAAAAGTCTATAGCAATGTATCTTTCATTCTTGTATCATGTAACATACTTGCTGAATATTTAAACCTAAATTATGACTTGGTGTCACAGAAGTACCAACTACAAAGGGTATATTTCTAAAGTTGAATCTACCAAAGTATGAACGATTTGCTCTTTTTAATTTTGAAGCCAGTGTAGGCATTTCATAATTATGGGTAATCAATGGATCACAATATGATGTTTGCAGAATTGAATGCTCATACTGGTGTGAATTACATTTCTCCATGGTACATGCAGGGGACACTGGAACTTCCAAATCACAATTTCTATTTGAAGTATTCGTTCTACTTCTAAAAGCAAAAATATTTCTAAAATACATACAATTATTATTCTTACAATTATCATTCCAGAAACTTACTCTATTTCATCTTTAGATACATATTGTTTCTGAGAATTATTTTGTTGACTACTTTCATCAATGTCACACTTGTGTTGGAAGTCATCATCTTCACATTTCGGCTTTATATTTAGAAATTGTTTTTTATTTTTAGCCGAGGATAATACATTCGTGTTGTTTGTGTGACGATCAAGTTTCGAACGTTTGCTCGAAATAACACAAGTGCTACCACTTGTTGCTGCTTTGTTATGATAAATTTCTACTACTTCATTCGAAGTCTGTTGAGGCTTGCCAGGATGACTAGTAATTGTACTATCTAAAATATCAACAAAAATCAGTAGAAAATTCTTAAACGAATGTTACAATTTCGTACTTTTTGGTTTTCGCTTTTTTGTATCCTTTCTTCCTAAAAGATTTGTATCTTTCGTGGTCACGGTACTTTTCGAATTAGAACAATGTAATTTTCTTCTGCGTCTTTTAAGTTTTGTCGAAACAATATTGTCTAACTTACTCGAGGAACCTTTTTTACTCGATAATGTGGAAGAACCTGCTTTATCATTCTTCTCAGTTTTTGTGTAAATTTTGTTTTTACCTGGTGACTCATTTTTTATACTTCCAATAGTATTTAATTTAATATTATCTCTTGCAGAAGACAATTCTTGAAGCAAATATTCATTTTGATTATCCAAAACTAATTGCTCAAATAACTTGTTTGGTTTCCCAGCATCTTCCACCAGTTCTGCAGAATATTGTGCTAAATCCTTTTGATATGGATATTGCAAATAATGATTTTGCTCACTACACTGTCAATAATATTTTTGCAAGTATGATTATGAAGAATAGTGTTTTTGCAACATACATTAAACATATTCAACATATGGATACAATGTTTACTACCATATTTTCTTTGTAAATTGGTGATAATGGTCTTGATTGAATTCGTGTACTTTGTGGAACACTGTATGTTCTAGGTGTATCTGTAGATAATTCAACTTCTGTTTCTTTTTGTACATTTGAGCTTTCCATTTTTTCATCTTCTTTATATTGCATATTAATTTTTGATATTATATTTTCTAAGTTGGAACTTATACACAATTCGTGCTGTTGATAATTACCTAGAACAAAACATACTCTTAGATTTATTTTCAACATCTTGCAACAAAGAATATGGAATAATAAAACATATTAAATAGGTGATTGTACCATCATCATTTATAGATGTACATGGAATATCAAGAAAATCTTCTGAAATATTATTAGGGTTTATCTGTTTTGAAATTGTAATTTCATTATCAGAGATCTCTGTTTTTGAATTCTCAGAGCTCAGATCATTCGCGCTTCCATCAGATTTTTGTATTTGTGGTATGTCATGATATAACATTTTCATATATTCCATGTGGGATTTCAAAGATTCACATCTTGTTTTTGTTGAATGCAACCATTGTCTTACATTTTTCACGTCTAACCAAATTTCAACATAATATATATATATGTATATATATATATATAATTAAATTGCTATTAGATTTATTAGAAATAAGATCAGAGTGAAGATCAGAATTAGAATGCTATAGGTAAATTATTTCAATACATTTAAGGTAGGAACCTGAAAAGCTATCTTATTGCAACACCTGTCAAAATAAAATATTGAAAATGAGTAAATATACAAGTTAGTACCTGCACAATATTTTCTTGTGTGATTAATATCCATGTTTCTGTTTCCATTGATCGATATGCATAACTGAATTTCAAATAATCGTCATAAAAAAAATAATAAAAACTGAAAATTATGAAACAAGTAAAAGAATTTGTAATAATATAAAAGTAAAAGAAATCTATAAAAATTCAGAAAATAAGAATTCACAGGTTATACATTTATTATTTATCGATTACATTTTGACTCGTAATTCTTTTGTTTTTTAATCCGTTTTTCTTTCATTAAAAGAAGAAAGAATATTCAAAAATTTCAAAAGTCAGTCATGAAGTGTTTTACATTAGATGGAAATAGAAACTACTTCTGAACAGGCCGGAAGTAAGAGCTCTTTCGAAAAAAAAAAAGAAAAAAATGTAAAATTCGACATTATGAACAGGGTTAATTTAATAATAGGATAAATTCATATCAGTTGAGCAAGAATCACATATATTTGCGAGTTGGTAACAAATTTAAAATCAATTCAAAAATAATTTAACACCCGTTAAATTTTTAAATTGAACTGTTATGTCATTGATTTGTAGTATTTGGACGTTAGGAGCGCTGGGGTCTGTTTCTTGGATATATGTATTTTAAAGAAGACGTAGTTCAGTCTACTCGCATCTACTTGTGAGTTGCAAATGGTGGACGGCCTGTCATCGTCGTGTTAACATCAGGTAAGTGAATTTCTTATTCGTTTGCACTTGATTTTTATTCATGCCGTTATGAAAAAACAGTTAATATTCCTATGAATAATTATTAGTCGTTGTGTAAGAAAACTAGTTTTAATGAGAAGTATTATTTTTATTTCATAAAACACCTTCGATTACGTAAAATTGTTGCACCAGACAAAAATAGTCACCTGACTCAATAAATGCAATTATCTTTCCTGTATTTTTAGGAAATTAACATTACGTTGTAAATGAAAACACATTGATCGTATTTTTGCATTCTTTAAAAATATTGAAATATTAGTGATGTAATGAAATAACCTATAATTTGATTTTAGGTGAATAATAACCAACATTTTACGTCTATGTGCGATTAAATGTAATTATGAAATCGTTACAGATTTGATATTGTATAAATAATTCTGCTTATTTTTAAGATTTGCTACATTTTGTATATACAAGTAAATACATTAGAATTGACGTTTAACCGCGATTTTAGGACAAATGTCACATGATTCTGACACTGTCTCGTTGACAAAGTGCAATTTCTTATTACTTATTCTATTATTCTAGAAATTTGAGATCTATTTCAATCAGTTTTATCACTTATTTCCTCGTGCAAAGTCTTTCAAGAAATAATTTCATGTACACGTTCGAAAGTGCAAGTTTAAACGAATTCATGTTTCCGTCATTATAAAATCCGTAATGCGGAAAAGGTTAGTGAAAATTAGGTCATCTATTTCACACGTGTAATCATTACTGTCTATCATTTAAGGTTGAATAAAAATTTGTGTTGGTTTCTAACAGACATATGAGTACTTGAAACATGTTGTAATAATTGATAATTCGTTATCATATATATATATCGTAATTAACACGAACGTTTTTGTGTTGCTTTCAAATTAAATTGCACAATACCATATCGCAATTATTCCGTGTATTGTAAATTAAAACGACTTTGATACTGTAAATTATGATGTAACTTAATATTTTATAATGACAATGAAACTGAGCATTGAAAATTTGTTATGAATTTCATTTATGTGTTTTGACTGTCTGCGTTACTTATCAGTCATACATTAGTCATTCATTACAGTAGACTAAGTTATTTGTGCAGACTAGTTTGCATTATAATGATATTACAGGTCATTTCTTATTTGTACATGCATATGCATTTACTTTGATAATACCATGTGTTTTAATTTCTGTCAACCAGTATCTGAATTCTTTATATTTTGTAAAGAATATATCTTTTCTAACAAATCTCTAAACCTTCAATGCGTTTTTTATACATATTGATATTGGTATATGTACTTTGGATGTTTGCCAACTTCTTGAGTAATCCTCTGATATTCTGATGTTTTAAATATTGAAGCATTTAAAGCATTACTTTATTATTATTTAATTTAACTAGTTTCTACTGGATTAATATTTTAATGAAATATTATTTTGAAAAAATTCACAACTTTGTAATTGATGGTTTATAAAATATTTGATTTCCATATTTACACGTAGTGTGTATATAGATTGATTGATTTCATCATCTATTATGTTTTAGAGCTGGCACATTTTATATGATTGTGCAACTTAAATCCACAATTAAAATTAAAAGTAAATTTAAAAATATTTTTTTAAAAATAGATTGGCTAGATTTCTACAAAGATTTCGTAAGAATATCATCTTGCAAAAGCAGCAAAAAATGTTTCAGATATCTAATGATTAATGTCTTTTGTCTTTGGAGAGAGCAATAAATTTTGAAGGTATAAAATATGTATATTGTTCATATAAATAATTATGGTTTTCCAGTTATAGTTATCTATGAAACTGATAAATTGATGGAAATCAGATTGATAAAACTGAAAGATTTATCTACATTGTTAAAACAAAAGTATCTGTTTTCTGCATGAATAATGTGCAGTAAACTTTGTATGGTATAATCTTAAAGATAAGAAACATTTACTTATGATAATAAAGAGAAAGAACATGTACTTTTGTGTTATGTTTATACTATAATGTACAATGAAATTAATGAGATATTTTTAAAGCAAATATGTGATATAATATAATATTGTATTTTTTGTTTTAGGTAAAAATGTATAAGGCAAGGACAGTATTTAGTACACTGGCCCCCCTAGCACCACGTATGTGCGGGCCACAAAGGTTTGCATCATGGTTGGTGAGGAGCCATCCCCTGACAAGGACCACACAGAAAATGGTTACTGATTCAATTAGAAAATATAACAGCCGTGTAGCCACAGAACCTTTTCTAAATGGCAGTTCCAGTTCTTATGTAGAAGAAATGTATAATGCGTGGTTACAAGATCCCAATAGTGTACATGTGGTTAGTAATAAATTACATTTTTATAAATTATATGAACGTGTAAAGTACATTTTTAATACATCTATTTATTTTTGGTAGTCTTGGGATGCGTTTTTTCGTAGTAGCACTGCTGGAGCTCCACCAGGTGCTGCATATCAGGCTCCTCCTTCTCTTGCCCCAAGTCATAACCAGATACCATTAGGAGCATTATTACCTCTTGGGGGTGGATCCCAGTTGAGCCAAGTACCTATTAATGAAAAAATAATCGACGATCATCTTGCTGTGCAAGCTATTATTCGATCTTATCAGGTATGTTTTCATGTATTTTAGGAAATATTATGTTTTCTTTTTTATTTTACAAACAATGTTAAGATTAAATAATTCCTTATGGTTGTTCCATATATTATTATTCTTTCTATTTGAACGTTTAATGAACTTTATTTTAAATAATTATTTCATATTTAAACTTTATAGCATGTGTTCTAGAAACAGTGTATGTATGTTTTATGTTGAAGGAAGGGTTTCATTTCATATTGCATGTGGCATTAAATATGGGTTTTTTTTTCAATAACTGTGTCCTAAATTTCGTTTAACTTAGAATTATATTTGTGTGTTAACTTCATGTTTTGTGAATAAGAGAAAACAGTATATAAAATTTAGGACACTGGAAATTGATGCTGAAACGGTTTCACCAAGGACTATCAAGTGTATCATGAAATAATCATTTATCCTTTATTTTTCACCCTGTACCATTGTTTAAAAAATAAATATTTAAACCTAAATTGATCATGTCAGATCATGTTTAAGAATTTTATGTATCTTTGTACATTCTTGTACACATTGCATAGGTTGCCTTAAGCATGTTTTGCAATTATATGTTAGAGTTTTGTAATTTGTATTGTGAACTATGTATTTGTTTCTTGTTCATATGTTGTTTCAATAAGAAAAGTATCGAAATATCATGCAATAATTTTTCAGTTCGGTTAATGGAAACATAAGTTCATCTTGGGGATACAATTTTTTATGTGAAAATAAATTTTGTGAGTCTTTAATATAGAAAAAAAGCTTATGGTTGGGTATAAAAATGTTGTTGTATGTTTGTGAATAATCATATACATATCTTTGTAATGTAGTGATAGATGGTAGTTTTTGGTAAAAAAGTTTATATACATTGGGGTCCTTTTGGGATTATTCATTGGCATATAGGCTCGAGGTCATTTAGTTGCTGATCTGGACCCACTGGGTATCATGCAAACAGACCTGATACATACACATTACGCAGCCCGCAAGGGGTCTCCAGAACAGGTTCTGCGGCAATACATGCTTGGTAAGGCTTTTTCCCAAATTAATTCCTTAAACTATTTTAGTTAATTTTCATATGTATCATGGGGTAAAGGTATAGAAAAAGCCGTGTTGAAAACATACGATATTCAAGTATAATAATACCCAATATTTACATCGTGTCATGTTCTCTTATGGTACTTTTACTTGATACATATGTTACATTTCATCTCGTGTACATAAATATCATGGTCTCTATCATACACATTAACTCCTTCTCATATTTTTTCATGTCTTTCTTCGTGTCTGTTACATAAGTAAATTTCAATTCTTAACACCTTTCTACACTCAATCTTTAAAAAAATTATTATATCATTATAGAAAATCATTCGTAATTGTTAATTTTACATTGTGTGAAATGGTATTTAAATAACTGAGATAACTTTTATTTTCCATAAAAAATTGAACAAATACAATTTCTCACATTGTTTTATGCATTCAAAGTATTGAGAGGGTGTTATGTGGATATGACTCCATGATAATTTTTACTGATACTGAAAATGTTTTCTTTAGGAAAGAATGGAATGTTTATTGGTTTATATGTTGTAATTTGTATTATGATATATCTTCAAATAATGTGTATAAATAAATATATCTAAGGTAAGAAAATATATTTTAGAAGTTTTGCTTTGCATGTTGGAAATAGTGTCTTCACCCTTGCTTCTATATGTTTGTAGTTTTATTTGGAATGTTTGTTTCTGGAACAACCTATCATTCAACTTATTTATATCATATTATGTTTATACGATGTTATCTGTTGGAGGGTATTTTTATTTGTATTTGTTTCATTTGATATTTGAAAAAAAAAAATAGAAAAATGGTAAAATAACAAATAATTAAAGATTTTTAACTTTAACCATATAAAAGACTTAATAACGAAAAGCATGTATGCAACCTCAACATGTTTTAACTATGAAACTTCTAATATTAACAAGTGTTAATTTTTATGATATATTTGCTTTCAATTACTGTGATGTATGTAGTGTGATGTTCTATTACTATTATTGCTTTTTTTTTTTTCTTTTTCTACAAGCATTAGTATATTCATAAATAGATATACATCCATCACAGTAACATATCTTTATATATGTATTCAATTAATAAGTTTGATAAACTAAAACTATTTGGCTCGTATGAATGTGGCATTAAATTGACAGATCCGTGGTCATCATATTGCTAAATTGGATCCACTCGGCATCAACAGCGCTGATCTTGATGATAGACATCCACAAGAGTTGCTCTATAATTATTATTCATTCGGTAAGCTTAAATTGAACGTGTCTCTGTATCAGTTCAAAATTTAAAGATTCTGTGTGACACATTTTAAATTAAATTTTTAAATACATTGAACTAATTATTTATGAATCATGTTGCTAGAAACAAACAATACATATTTTTCTTGTTTATTTTTTATATTTTTGTAGATATCATCTATGTAAACCATTATTCATCAGTTACAATTTTTATTGTAGTATTACATTTGCTATTACTGTTATCATTTTTGTCACTAATATTTATAATCCTGGACACAAAGTATTTTAAGTACAGAAAAAATAACACTTTAGGTTCCAATAAAATTGTGAAAAGAAGGTTTCATTTTGATATGCAAATGAAAGATTTTGGTTATTAAATTAAATATTTAGTTCAAGTCTGATGTCCACAGGAAACAGAGCGCGTACTACTTACTCACAGGAACTACAATATCGAGTAGCTGCACTTATGAAAAGTATGTAAAAAATTACGATTCAAATGGAGATCCCATTTAAAGTTCCTTGCAAATTGTTAGTATCTTAGGGAGGTGCTGGATAAATGAGGGATTACTTAAAAGTTGGTATTGTAGGAAAATTATAGAGGTGCTTGGGTCTTTTGCATAAATATTGATTAAAGAGTGCTATATTTTGCTGTAAATATGTTTGTGCCAGGAATAATTTTTAAGCATCTTTTGGAAGAATTGGAGGAGGTATAGTAAGCAAATATGTATCATTGTCATTGCAGTTCATAGATATCATAAGAATAGTTGTAAATTTCTAAGGCATATATTTCTTCTATTTTCCTTTCCAGCTTTTTAACTATTTAATATATCTTTGTTTAAATATTTAAGTTTTTGTATGTTTCTGTATTTCGTTTTGTACTGTACTATGCGTTAAACAGTTTTATTATTAATGGTTGATTTTATTTGAGCTTTGTTCTTGAAATAATTTTGTTCTGTTTTCCGTTTGTTTCTATTCTTTCAAATAGTATGGAGGAGGTTTATTTACATGTATGTAACAATTTTTTAAGATACCATGCATGTATATGCAATGTGCTAATAACGTAATTAAAAAAACATACATCAAAAAATGTATGTATGAAGTATTATGGTGTAGTTAATTACATATGAAAGATATAGATATGATTCTACACCATGCTAAATCCAATTTTTATTTTTTTTTGCTATATAAACAGTTTACATTTTCAGTATCAGTTTAAAAAATAAAATACATGCTAATGAAAATGAGATTAATACAAACAAAGGTGTGTTATATGTAATATATTTTACTTAATAAATCAAACATTTGGTATCATTATGTACAGTATCAAACAACGTAGATTTCCCGAGGGAAAGCTGAGAAAACCTCCGGGGTTTGGGACGTAGGGAATATCCATGACATCGCTATTTTCCCCGGGGAAGCTTATTGTGCACAATACTGTACTTGCAATACAATTTGATGCTGTAGTTGATTTATCTGTTTTGATACATTTGAAACAGAATTTTTAACTTTTATAATTTCATTATGTGCTTCTGTTCGAAATGAGCAAATATTTTATTGTTCAATCTCTGCAGAGGAGTCGGACATGGATCGTATTTTTAAGCTGCCGTCCACCACTTTTATCGGGGGTAAAGAAAAGGCATTGCCACTCCGTGAAATCTTGAGAAGATTGGAAGCTGCTTACTGCGGTCATATTGGAGTGGAATTTATGTTTATCAATTCCTTGGAACAGTGCAATTGGATCCGACAAAAAATGGAGACCCCAGGAGTTATGGAGATGACGAACGACGAAAGAAGACTTATCTTGGCTAGATTAACTCGTGCAACTGGGTACGCAAAATATAAAATATTAATTTGATAAGCAATAACGTTATTCCATATTTATTAATTACATTATCGTTTCAGATTTGAAGCATTCCTTGCACGTAAATGGTCATCCGAGAAAAGATTTGGATTAGAAGGATGCGAAATTTTGATTCCTGCCATGAAGCAGGTGATCGATAAATCTACTGAACTAGGTGTCGAATCTGTTGTCATGGGTATGCCTCATCGCGGGCGTTTGAATGTACTTGCTAACGTTTGTCGCAAACCCTTAAGTCAAATATTCACTCAGTTTGCCGCTCTTGAAGCAGCTGATGATGTAAGCATCTTGTTTTCCATCGGTGAACTCTTTTCTTTTTAATCCGTAAATTGTGTGTAACCGATTTGTAATTTTATTTATAACGATTCAGGGTTCTGGTGATGTTAAATATCATTTGGGAACTTACATTGAGCGTCTAAATCGAGTAACAAACAAGAACATTCGTTTAGCCGTCGTTGCAAATCCATCTCATTTGGAAGCTGTTGATCCGGTAGTACAAGGAAAAACTCGTGCAGAACAATTCTACCGTGGTGATGGCGAAGGCAAGAAGGTACGTAATTAACAAAACATTATTATGTATTTGAAATTTGAATTGTCAAATTTGTATAAATAGGTCATGTCTATTCTTCTGCACGGTGATGCCGCGTTTTGTGGACAAGGTATTGTTTTTGAAACAATGCACTTGTCAGATTTACCTGATTATACAACTCACGGTACTATCCATATTGTGGTGAACAATCAAATTGGATTTACCACCGATCCAAGACATTCACGATCATCGCCCTATTGCACTGGTAAGTTTATTCGTCACAGGTATTGAGATATTTTGATCTTTGCTGTGCCTAAATTTAACGTTTTTATGTATAAAGACGTCGCAAGGGTAGTGAACGCACCCATTTTCCACGTTAATTCGGATGATCCTGAGGCGGTGATGCACGTTTGCAAAGTCGCTGCTGAATGGAGAGCAACTTTCCACAAGGATGTTGTCATTGACATTGTGTCGTATAGACGTAATGGTCACAATGAAATTGACGAACCTATGTTTACACAGCCTTTAATGTATCGTAAAATCAAAAATACTCCACCAGCTTTGGATAAATATGCTCAAAACCTTACCAACGATGGTGTCGTCACTCCGGAGGAAGTTAAGGTATTAAAGCGAATGGAAGTTTTAACAAATTTATGTAACTGATTTCTTATAGCGATATTATATTTAAGGATGTCAAAGACAAATATGAAAAAATCTGTGAAGAAGCGTACGTTAATGCTAGACAAGAAACACACATTAAGTATAAGGATTGGCTAGATTCTCCATGGTCTGGTTTCTTTGAGGGAAAAGATCCACTGAAAGTATCTCCTACTGGCATTAAGGAAGATACACTTATTCACATTGGAAAGAAATTCTCGTCACCTCCTCCTAATGCGGCTGAGTTCGTCATTCATAAAGGTAAAGGTTTCTTTTCTTAATTAACTAATCCAGTGTTTAAAATGTATGTAATGTGTAATTTTATAGGTATTGAACGTATTCTGAAATCGCGTATGGAAATGATTGAGGCTAGAACAGTGGACTGGGCTCTTGGAGAAGCAATGGCTTTCGGTTCTCTGCTTAAAGAAGGCATTCACGTTAGATTGTCGGGTCAGGATGTAGAGAGAGGAACTTTCTCTCACAGACATCATGTTCTTCATCATCAAACCGTAGACAAGGCTACGTACAGGCCATTGTGCTACCTTTATCCAGATCAAGCTCCATACACCGTGTGCAATAGTTCTCTATCAGAATTTGGTGTACTTGGTACTGTAGCATAAAATTTTTAATAGTTTGGCACTTACATTTAAGCAAAAGTAAATAACGAAAAATGTTTCTTTTAAATTCGTAGGATTTGAATTAGGTTATTCTATGACAAATCCAAATGCGTTGGTATGTTGGGAAGCACAATTTGGCGATTTTAACAATACAGCACAATGTATAATTGATCAGTTTATTAGCAGTGGCCAAGCTAAATGGGTGCGTCAATCTGGTCTTGTTATGTTGCAACCTCATGGACTCGAGGGAATGGTAAGTGAATTTTAAATATTATATAATTGTTTGCTAGTATATGATTAACTAAAGAGTGGTTCTTTGTAGGGTCCGGAACATTCGAGTGCTCGTTTAGAGCGCTTCTTGCAAATGTCTGCGGATGACCCAGATTATTTCCCCCCGGAAAGCGAAGAATTCGCTGTACGTCAGTTGCACGATATTAACTGGATTGTTGCTAATTGCAGTACACCAGCAAATTATTTCCACATTCTAAGAAGGCAGATTGCATTGCCATTCAGAAAACCATTGATTTTGATGACACCAAAGTCACTGCTCCGTCATCCGGAAGCAAAATCCAGTTTCGATCTAATGTTGGAGAATACGGAGTTCCTTAGAGTGATACCAGAAGAAGGTCCAGCTACTCAAAATCCTAACAATGTTAAAAGAGTGCTGTTCTGTTCCGGCAAAGTTTTCTATGATTTGAAGAAATCACGCGCGGAAAGACAATTGGAGGATAAAATCGCTATTGCAAGAGTTGAACAGGTAGATGAAAATTTTCAGGAAAATTTCATCCCATTTGTGTACTTTCATCTTATTAATTAAACTTCTATTTAATTTAATCCTTTCCTCCCTCAGATTTCACCTTTCCCATACGATTTAGTTAAGAAAGAAGCTGCTAAATATCCAAATGCAGAATTAATATGGGCCCAAGAAGAACCTAAAAATCAGGGTGGCTGGACATACGTTCAACCCAGATTCAATACAGCTCTTAACGGAACCCGCCCTGTATCGTAAGTATTGAGTATAGCATAATTTATTGTGAATTGAAAATTTAAAAAATCAGATGATTTTAATAACCTTAGCATATTTTTTGTTGCTCAATTTGTTTTCCATATATTTAATTTGTGTATTTAGCTGTTCACATGGCCCACTTTTTTCACTTTGTCGTCACATTTATTTTTGTAACAGACTTGAACGTATCACAAATGTATAGTATATTTAAGCACTAACTGTATCAATATTTGGATACGGATAATTACTTTATGAGCGTCTTTTATGCTAAACAAAGTAAAAACATTGGGCCATGTTGCAGCGGTGGAAATACGTCAAGTGAAAGTAGCGGAGGGTGGTTTAGTGGTTGGTTTTCATCATCTAAACCAACAACAACAACCGCATCCAACTCCGAATCAGTAGAATCTGACAAACCCAAACAGAGAACAGTGAGGTAATGCCAACTACAGTAATGTTAATTGCTTCAATACTTAAGGTGTTCGTGATAGCTTTGGAAAAACCAGATTAGGTGTAATCGCAGGAAAGATATTACATATTACTATACCGTTCATGGTTAATTAATAAATATTCAATTTGTTTCAGATATGTTGGTCGCCCAACGGCAGCTTCGCCTGCAACAGGAAGCAAGATGCAGCACCTTAAGGAACTCAAACAGTTGTTCGACGATTCTTTTAATATTTAATTATCCTTCGTAGCGCTATGTAGAACACACATTTTATTTATTTTCTCACACTATATTTGTTATATATCTTTTGTCCTGCTCTACATGCACCCTTGCAGAGATTATCAGAACTTGGAATAGTTTCTCCATTACTGATTCATTTCTAGAATTATCGTACGCGCAAATGTTTTCATAATTGAGCTTAGTTAATGACTTTTTTTATCCTATATCTAGTAAAAATTACACGCTGCCATCTTATTTTAATCAATTTTAAATGGTTGACTTTTTATTTTTGAAATTGAAAGAAAAAGGAATATTTAAGTCGGATGCAAATTTGATTCGAAATGTGTAAACTAATGTAAGTAATTTTATATTAATGTTTAATTTTTCTTCGCAGCGCATATTCACATATTCGCAATGAGTAATTTATGTAAATGTATGCATTTCATTCTTATTTAATGTTTGAATGCGATTCTGTATTTTTTTTTTTTTTTTTAATACGTGATATATAATTTATGTTAGTATGCGAGTTGAATGTTGAGGCCAGTGTATGTTTGAGTTTACAAAAATCTTTTATTACTGTAAATATGCCAAAAAAAAAAATATGAAAATTACATTAATATAATACTTCCCAACATTCTTTACTCATTGCTCAGTTTGTAAATTTTGTAGAAAACAGATTTTACATGAAATGAAAATATTTGCGCGTAAACATTTGTACTTTATTTTGTTAATATGTCGATAAACTAATGTTATGGATCGAATAAGATTAAAAAAAGAAAGTATTATTTTTAATTTATGCAACATTTTACGCAGAGCGTAAATGTATTGATAGTTATATGACTAGAGATTCGAATAAAACCTTTTGAGGCTGGTAAAGAGAATTTACGACAATTTTTTTATTCGTTTACTTTTGTCGTAGAGAAGGACATCCAATCAATTTAATTTTTTATCGTCGCTCTATTTTATTTTTATAAAAAATTAAATGATTGGTAGGATGGCAGGAATAAACGAGAAAAATAAGTTGTAGCGTTAGACTCGGTTACGTAACGTACATAGATTTGCGTAAGTGTAATAAGAAAGAATGTTGACGAAATCGAGTCGTAATGTTACTCCTCGAAAGGTTTCGAAAAGCTCATCCTTTTGAAAAGAGTGATGGGAGTAGAAGACAAATTGCTAGTACTAGTGAATATTTAGAGCAAAAAGAAAAATTGTAATATTATTCTATTTGAGTCAGCTGTGAGCGTTGGTTGCTGCATAGTCTGCGAAGGCACAGTATTTATGTTCTTCTGTATACAACTCGTTTGAAAGATGGATTTTTGTGAATGGAATATTTATCGTACCGTGTAATTGATTGGAAAATGTTGTATCTATTTTGATTAGATACATTTGTGATTGGTAAATGTTTGTGTAAATGCTGGAACTGCAATTTTCTTCTGTTTAACATATGTACAAAACAAAATAGTATTATGATATATTAAAACTCGATAGAATATTATAGATGCAATGTGGTCCAATGCAAACTGCGGTACTATTATTCCACTCTTGTTATTATATGCATAATAACGATCACACATATGTGTATGCTTTAATAATAAAGATCGATAGATTGGAATTATTAGTGCAAATAAATTGAAATTTATTTAGTACGAATACGTTGATGTTGCGATAAAATATTGTAACACCTTATTATTAAATTAAATTATGTTAAAAATTAGTTATATGAAAAAAATTATCCCCTTCAGTAAGTTTGAATAAGGAACTTGATTTGAAAAATTTGAATTTTAGTTCTTCATTCTGCCACTAGATGCGTAATCCAAAGTAATTGGTAGAATAATAGTTTCAACTTCCGGTAGCAGATAAGGCAGCAACAGGTTGAACTTCCGCTAACGCGAGGGTTAAGATCTTACAGAGGTTTGTAAATCATCTAAGTATCAATATTAAATATTTTATTTATATTTCGAACACCGTAGTAAGTTGCATTAAATATTTTATTTCATTCTTAATACCTAGTTATTAATTTAATAGTTTCACCATTTATTTCGTCATACAATAAATAAAGGATATTTATATATATATAGAGAGAAAAGTACGTAATTATATATTATAAATAAAATATATTTATAATATCAGTTTAGAAATTAATAATCTGTTTGTCCCAGCACACTGTACATGATCCTCTTGAAGCTGTTACTTTGGTGGATCTTCTCACCGTCTTCCTCAAGGACATTTATCTAAAACGAAATTGCATACTTAAGAGAAACTAACAGTACGACCAGACTTCAAAAAAAGGTTAACACATTTCCGTTATTGCTTTCATTACTTTCATACAAAGTGCTATGGAATCGCATTAAGATTCATATAGAATTGTTTTGTTAGGTGGATTAATTTTACAAATTAATTGAAACATAGACGAATGATTTTCAGGGCCGGCCCTGGGCCTAAGCAGACTAGGCGGCCGCCTAGAGTCCCCATAAGACGATTTTGCGTCTAAGAATGCAAGAAGAGTAATGTTTATTTAAATATTAATCGATGTAAATGTAAATCTAAATTAGTTATACAAGCTTTAATGTTAATTTTATAAATTTTATTTCAGATACTTTTTTTTATGTCATATGTATATATGAAGGGGCCCTTTTTCGGAGCTCGCCTCGGACCCCCGAAACCTCAGGGGCGGCCCTAATGAATTTTTGTAATACAAGCAGGTATAGACGCGCGCATACACATAAATTACACGTACAAGTTGGTGAAAATTTTAGTAGTCGTTGATGCGATCCTTTATAAAAGGAAGAGGGAAGGGACGTCTTAAAAATCCACCCTTAATCAAATTAAACATCGATTATTAATTTGCCACAACTGTGATATGGAAAAATTAATAATCGCAATTCAAAGTACAGCAGAATCGTAGAAAGTATTCGAGTGTGTTCGGTGGAAAGTTAGATTCGTTGCGTGCAATTCATGCAATTACCCGCGACGATCCAAGATACCGTACACAAACAAACCACGTACACACTTTTCTATTCGTTTTATCATGATATCAAGTTCAAATACTTAAATTTTCACTTACGTATGATCCGGCAGGACTCTTCGGTCGAGCGTGATGTACCTAAAACGAGAAATCACGCTTTATCAATAGAGGCTTCCGGGTGTTTAAGGAAGATAAATATTCAGACGTTTCGTTAACATTGCAGACAGTTTTATCAAGGGGTCAAAAGGTTCGTATATACCTTCTGATAATACGGTGTCTCGTGACCCCGTTTGATACCAGAGTGTTTCCTTGACCCTCGGATAAAATTGTCTGCGATGTTGACAAAATGTTTGGATCTTTATCTTTTTGAACAAATGGCGCTACAAGATGCGACAATATGTTGTAATACAACTATTAACATTTTTAGGTGGAATGAAATAATAAGAAACAGAGCTGTCGAAGTCTCGAGAAGGAGTTTCAAACATACCCTATTTTGATTGACTTTCTGTGGCGAAAAGACACCGGTGCGCGCCGGTTGTTTCACTTCCTGCACTGTGTCACCAAGGACTTCCTCTTGCAGAGCCTTGTATGCCTCGCTCTTACTCGGGTCGTACTTCATCGGTTTCTTCGGGCTGTATCATTGTATCGCATGTGTACACAGGGGCTATTTTTAATCGATATTTGCTTCGCAATTTTTGTCAGATCGGTTAGCAGCAGCCAGTGTTATATCGCCAATAGTTTGTTCGAGAGCGACTTTCGGACCGCTTCCATGCCCTTTTTCATTAACCGTATCGCTAGTGTACGTTCTAACCAGATTATCGATGCTTTTTCTCGAAAATTACGTGTCCGTATTTAGTTTATACAGTAATGCTTTATAAATATTTTTAACTATATAATATCTATAGTATCTCTGAAGTTTCAACCACGGTCTGTAATTCTCGAGAATCGATCTTATTAAACGAGCATCAAAAATTAGTAAAACTACTTGTTTTCACGCACGATTACTACCGTTAATTATTGATTACTCTCTACTCTACAGCATGCAAAAGCATATTATTGTTATTTTACAAACTTTCTATGCAGTGAGCATTGTTTCCTAACTGTCCCGCCGACTGTATTCTTTTTTTATCAATTTTAACTGAAGAATCTACTACAACAAACTATGATTATGAATTGGTAAATAGTTTATCGCGCGCTTGTCGAGAGCTTAATCGCGTTTCGATGGTCACGTCCTTTTGTTTAATGGAGATAAAAAAAAAAATTCGTTACAGAGGGTGTTCCATTTAAAAAATTTGAAAAATGTTTTTGCGTAAATTGAAGTGTTATTCTTTAATTAAGAAAGATAAAATGTTTCAGGTATCGTTTGGAAGGCTGAAAAAATATTTACAGAATATGTATAATGGAGAATGAAGTTTCATTTGACAAAAGAATATTCTGTACACAACTGAAATAGTTTCGAGGACAAGGAACGTGACCAGATATAATTAACACGTAAGAATCGCAAGAATTTGGAAATCACAATTAAACGCGAGAAGCATCGAAAAACGTCTCGAACTGATTTATCATTAATTTGGCTTATTGAATTGCGGCCACACGTTCTTCGAGGAGGCGGCTTTCGCCTGCTCCTTCAACATTCTCGCTTGCTCCTCGATTTCCTGTTTCTGTTTCACGAAGGAAAAGTCTATGAAAATGCTGGAAAACAACAAACAAACTACACGTGAGTGTCATCTCAATCGCAGTTCAATGGAAGAAAGTAGGTAACTGTGTAAATGCCTGAGTCGCAATGTTCTCTTTTACGTCCGACATCCCATACTCCGATCGACAGCTCTTCGATACACGAATTCCGGATTGTAACAAGCCTTTATCGAAATTTTATAATGATGTGATAAAAATGTTAATCGTCTCAACGATGCATTATCGCGTTATTTGAGTTATGATTTAGAAATAATCCGTTAGTGAATGGCGTCAATATTACTGCTTAGAGTTAATTGTTTGATAAGTAGCAGCATTCAGCAAAAGTTCAACCGCATTAACCCCTTTATTGCTAACCACTGTATCGTATAATGTAACATCAAATTAAGTTTCATATTATCGTTGATAGTGTAATTCATCAGGAGAGCTTATAGATTGGTAGAAGTAAAAGGGTTAATGATACTAGTATCAACCAATTCGTTACTCTATTATAAGCTGTACGGCATATTAGTTGTTTTTCTTTTTTGTTAAACTTATCATTATTAAGTACTTACGGTATGGCGGATGCCTGGCACTTAATAGTATCGGCTATATTTTGTTCGGAGTAGAGACCAATCGGCGAGTTGAATTGTTTGTGCACCACCTAACAATCAAATGAAATAAGTTAATTTCACCGCTATTAAAAATGTAATTGTAGCATCGGTAATGATATTTTTATGCGATGAAATTCAGTTTGCGTAGAAATCCTCGAATCGAACGAGTCCAAAGCGTTCCTTTCTCAAGGCAGATGTCTCTTTAGAGTGTCTATCTGGTGTCTGAAATTGGTGTTTGATTTCTCAAATGATTTTTAGCTGGTTAATCGGTAAAGCGGAAATGTTTCACGGTTAGAACGATAATTATATCGCTGTTACAGCGAAAATGCGTGGATTCGTTTTGTCGTTGAAAGCGAAAAGCATCGATTCGTGGAAGCGAAAGCGATCTGAGAAATAAGTTGGTCCAAACCTTTGGAACTTCGTTCGGTCCCAAGACGCGTTGAAGTACCGATTCCGCCACCTAGTCAGACACCGAATCTTTAATCGCTTATACCAAGTCGCAAATTCCAAAAATGCCAAAGGATCTTTTTATCGTTTATCATTTTTCATTTTTCATTTTCGTAAAATTCATGCGTTAAATTTTCGAAAAATTGTTAAGTATTTACCTTTTGTTTCATAGCAACCTCAGGATGAGCCGGTTCGTAATGATGCGGTGCCGCCCTGATCATCGGATTCGGATGATGGCGAAGGTAGCACTCACCGAGTGGAGCATCCTTTTTGATCTTTGCACCTGGCAAGACCAGAGGAGTTGTGCGGTATGGCTAAAAATCGATTAATCGTGAGAATGTAGTCGAACAAAATTTTACATAGACTTTCAATTTTGTTTCATCGTCAGTTCATCGAAAGAGAGAAGAATTTCATCTATGAAGACTCTTGAAAACGAATAGTACGCAACAGGCGTGACAAGTTCTATCATCAGCTGGAATTATATTAATGAACGAACTGCGTGCGATCGAAAAGTTCTTAATAAGACAAGCAGGCGTGGAATGTTCTGCCAGAACGGTGTCAATTACCGGCTAACGAAATCTAAAATAAACCTTAATAGAGGCCGTGGTGATCGATGATACCTCATTAATTTTCGACACCGTTGCGATAATAGAGTACGAATTGCATCTATGAACTGGGCTAAAAATAAATCGGCGATCGTTTCGGTAATATATCGACACATTACTTTTCGTTACCTATTAATTAATTCAAATTCATTTATCAAAAATTCCAACACATTTTGATCAATTCGACGACTGATAAAGTTTCAATCTTCCACGAATAGAAAGACTGTACGTACAAGTTCTATTTGCGTGCCATTGTTTTCAACGATTCTTCCGTCGAGGATACTACGTTGATGGTATTTTTGGCAAAACTATTACGACCGGAAGCAAGCTCGTGGCATAAAATATATCTTCAATGTCTCCGAGTCACCGATGAAAGCTGTTAAACGGCTAAAATTTCAGATCCTTGGCTCGTATGTCCGCACAATGAGAAAATTGCATAAAACGCGATAGCGTTTTGAATAAAATGCTTGCCAAATGTTTCGCGACGATTCGTTATGTCACGTATCGTTTGTTTTGCATGACGTTACGAAATTATTACATGTACACGTATTTCCACAGGCGGAAGACGAGAGATGGATGGACACAGGGAAAGCTCTTTACGCTTGTCTACCAGCCGGTCGTCATTGTCGAAACTCGACAAAAATGAGAATGTCAAGTGGAACGATGTAAAAAGAACATGAACGTCAGGATAGAGTTACAAGTCGTATTTATAAGACCCGCCCAGCAAGAATAGAAGATCGGAATTGCATTCATCCACCGTGAACGTCGATTCGAAGAAACAGAACACGCACAATCCGAGTCGAAATTTCAATTTCACGGTTTTGTTCTGTCAATGGCAGACGTGTTTCTGTAAGTAAAAAATAAATTTTTAGATTTAAGAAACGTTAGCTCTCGATGTTAGAATTTATATTTCGAATCGGAGAGGCTGCGGCCAAACGAACGATAGGAGCATCGATTTTGTTAAATGGAACAAAACGATTATGACGATCCCATTATAAATGGGTCAGAAACGATATTTTACAGGATGAGCGAGTATCTCTCTCTCGAAATAGACGAAGGCCCGTAGCCGGCAAAAATAACGCGTGTACCCCGCGTGCGACACGAAATCTTTCTTCGTCTCTTCGATAAATACTTGTCAATTTCTTCTTCCATCTAGATTAATTTGTTTATCTCCGTTAAGTTTCGTCGAAGAAAAATAGACAATCGTAATTCGAAATAATATTTTTAATTCATAAAAGATGCTTTTGGAAGAAGGAAGCAGTTGTTTCTACGTCAGGTTGTAAAATGTCCCCGAACTAAATTCAGACACGTCGAAACGACGTTGTTTCAAACTGTTTATTGCTTGGCTCGCTACTGGGTATACTGAAACTTGAACTCTAAGAAAATCTTCAAAAAATTTTTGGCAAAGGGCAGATCTTTCGACATTACACGGTCGAGAATCCGGTGTAAAATACTTTCAGCATTCAATTTTTACTATTTTCTTTCAAACTTACGTAGGAAATTGAATTCGGATTAATATTTTCATAACTTTGGTATCAACAAGGACGTATCAAATAAGATTTTAAAAAGAGAGAGAGAGAGATACTTGTAACGAGTCCTTCGCTCAACATACGACGGTCTTTTTTTGTCGAAACGTTTTCAAAAAATCAAAAAGACAAGGGATGTGGGTGTACGTGGTTGTGCGACCCTCGTATTTGAGTAACCCAGATCTCGTTCACGAAAATAGAATAAGATAGCAATGAACAAGCCGCAACGTGCTTGCACGAGTTTCATTGCAACGCGTTATTAGTCAGTCATTTACTAGGGGCATGATTCTCCTTTCATCTTCAGAAACCGTATTCTTCCTTCCGTTGCGCTCTATCGTTCCTCTTCCGGTGACATTCAGTTAGAGATCTCCAAAAAGAACCCCTACGTTTTTGTCTTTTTTTTTTTTTTTTCAATGTCGTCGAATCAGACGTAAGACCTAGCCCTAGTTTCACGGATGGTGTCAAGGTTGGCACAAGGCGCAATTCGAAATTTAGATCGTCTTACGTTGCGTTCCATCTTGACGGCTCGAATTAATTAGGAATTCTAAGAGATGGTCAAATAATGTCCACAAAATTTTTTCGTGAAATCGCTTGAAAGTAATTAGATGTAATTAGATGTAATTTGAAACTTATTGACATGGTGGTCAATGCGTTAACAGACTTCCGTTGAAACACGATCTATTCATCGAACAGCTATTTTCGCTGTTGATGCGCGGTTGATGGAATCTGATACTGGAAAATCGTGCGAATCGAAACTAAATGAAATGTAATCGAATCGTAAAATAATGACTGCATCGAGAAACTATCAGCACTCCGCTGGTTTCATCTCGCAGTTAAAATCGTGCGCGTGTTTACTGGTCGTGTGACCTTTACGAAACGTCAAGAGTTCTCGAATGAAAATCGTCGAACATCGATCGTTCAAACGTTCAGAAAAATGTAAAATCTTAGATACAGTAGAATTGTTAGGTGACGAAGTTTGGGACGAAAAAAAAAAAAGACGAGATTGTCGATGGTATGGAATGATCGATGCTCAACGTGAGATTTCGTACCCAAAACACGGCAGCCTCTTCTTCTTTCGGGTGGTGTTCGACGGTGTGACGGTAAATAGTGGTGTAAGCCGGCATCGTGTTCTTAGTCGAACCGAGGTTCGTCTTTCTCGAACTGCGATACAGCCGTGCAAGGATCTCTCTTTTCTCTTCCTTCGGGAGTAGCTTAAGCACTGGATTTTTTTTTTCTCGTCGATCTCTCTCCTTCGAATATTCGCTAACGCACTGGTTCGTTGCGCGGGAGGCACTAACTCTGGTCTTTTCCTCGCGACTCCTCTCGCGCTCTTTCTTCACCTCTCCCGTAACACCGACACGTATCTTGATCACTCCTACGTTTTACTGCTCTTGATCGGTTCTATATTTCGCGAGATTCTTTGCAAATCGCTTCTCTTTACCCTCCATCCCTTGCAACATTCTTCGAGGTTCCTTCTTGAACGATGATGGTTCGTTTCGAATGATCGATAACTTTTTCGCGAACAAGGATTTTTCTTACAAACCGTTCGTTCATATTTTTAATCGATTGTGTCATATTTGGAGCTGGACCAAAACTCGCGAGGCTCGAGCTTCTTCGACTGAAATACGGATTATCGTTTCGCAGCGTTCTTCGTCGAAGTCGTTTCTCTTCTCTTCCGCTCTTTACCTTCCTCGAGTGGATTGTTTCGTTGTTGATGAGCACGGATCGCCTCGTAAAAAAGTCGAACAGTGTTTATTTTACTAGCCCCCTCTTTTTATTGTGAGATTAATGAATCAAACTGTTATTCCGGTAAGGTGCCGTTCTTTCCATTACTTAGTTGCAAATAGAATTTGAAACATGTATTGTAATTTTATTCTGAAATATATTCGTGGAGCTATGATACTTTGAAGAATCTGTTTCTTTCAGGAAATCACACGAGTGTAACGTAAGGTCTCCGGTCTTTGAAGAATCCAGGGAGAAGCTAGGAAAAGCCTCTGGAAGCATGTGAATTTCAGTTTCTGAAATTATTGCAAATAAGAATACAATGCCTGAGAGCAAAGAAGACTAGAAATAGTGTTCCGAAATCGTCCTGGATCGCGTAGTATTGAATCGGAGCGGTGGTTTCGATGCAAAAGCGATATTTATAGCGTGGCAACTGCCTCTACGTGGACTTTCCGGCATCGGTGGCGGGCCAACAAAAATATATTCACACTTCGAACGAGCCGCGGATAAAGGCGATTTCGTACGAAATCACGTTATTGACTTTTTCAGGGTAGAACTAATTGTAAGCGATTAATAAGTTCATCCTCGTGGGGAGCACTGGTAATAATTGGTAGCATTCGAGGCATAGCGTTGGTTACCAATCCTCCCCATGACAGTCAACGAGTTAACTAGGAATACGATATTACTTAGAGTATGGTCTAATAAATTCGAGAGACAAGCGTGCAAACGAACGGATTAACGGGCGAAATGAAAGCCAGACTTGAATGAGCAAATAGTCTCGACATTATGACAAACAGTTCAACTCGTAGTTAACGAGCGGGCTTACTGTTCCGTGCTAAATGCGATTTAAACGTGAGCTTGCAACCATCGAATAGATCTGCCTTTTTTTTTGTACCTATAATCATCATTGTCTGAAAACTTATCGCAGTGTGCTGGCATCTGAAAATAGTGTCCGGAAATAGCGAATTAAGTTCGACAAACATTTTGTCATACTACACCTTCACGGTAATTCAACTATGAGTTATCGAATTTCAAAGTGGCCGGGTAATTTCAGAATCTTGTTCAGCTTGCCAGATCTCTTTCACACTTTGATGCTTAATCATTTCTAGTTATTTGTGTATCAACAAGTCTAGTTACTGTTCTGAAGTTTGTTATAAACAATTTCGCTTGTTTCTCCTTATTGTAATGTTTTCGAGTTTAAAAAGAAACGAGCAAATTTTTTGCCTCATAGATAGATCGAGGCGAACGGCAAGCAAGCTGTGTCGTATCGGTCGAAATAGCAGTCTATACTTAGCGAATGGTTTTGGCGTTCTCCCGCACAATTTTCTTGGGAATTGTCAATTTCCTTTCGGCTACTGAACACGTTCGATTTTCCTTCGAGCCCCGGACACGTGAGCGTGTAGGATATCAAAGAACATTATTGAATGAAATTATAGACGGTATTATTTTTGACGTAAACGAGCGTCAGCGAGGATTTAACAAATAATTGCGGTAACGCCTGTTGCAACTTCCTGAGGTAAATCGAGATGTTGTATTTACAGGTCAACGGCTTCGTTGGAAGTTTAAATCAACTAGACCAAGTTTACAATTCGAATGTAGGAACCGTTAACGTAACAGTTCCTCCTAACTGCCTACAATCGAACCAATAATGGAGTGTAATCGAACTGTGTTCATTAGTATAACTCGAAAGTTTCTCAAGAATACATATAAATAAAACCAAATTAAAAGTGATCAACATCAGACAGATAATATAGGTTTCTTCTATTATTCAAATCGATGATCTTTATTTAAAGATTGTCCGAAGGGGACCTCAAATGTAATGATGAAAAATCAGCTGCCTCGATAAATCTTTGTCTATTTGTTTGATGTCGATCATTTTAACTTGTTTTTATTTTCATGCATCAAGAAAACAGAGACGAGCCAATATCCTGAACAAATGAAAAGAACAAACGCAAGCTCGTAACGCACCGTCTGAAAAGACAATTGTCCTCGGTTAGTCAGATTCTAAGCCAAGTCTCGAATACCTGCTGTATCAATTTATCATAGAATTAAGTTTTACAAGAGGCTGTTTACACGCTCGTTTCTATATGCGATCGTATCTCAAAGCATATTTATTATTTGTTTAATGTACCTGCGACAAATAGGCCTTCTCCTCGCGAATCTCGTCGAGATGTTCGTGCGGTAAATTAAAACCTTCCTGTGGTGTTGTCGGTCGACTGTAATCGTCGAGCAAAGGCGGCGGTAAAGGGCTCTTCGGCAATCCCGACGGTACTTTTGGTTGTCTTTGTCTACAGCGAAATGGGAAAGCGTTTTACTAACGAATCAACGTGAACAAGAGTTCCTCTCACGAGAGACTCGCTGGTACTCGACAACCACTCTCGCGTAATATTTTGCAGATATTCAAAGCGTGCATAACAGCAATTGCAATTTAAAGAAAAGATTCGACGCTGCTTTCATGATTAGAAGCTTAGCAACAATCATTTAGTCACAAGTTAATTTCTTTCAAACGTTGTTGCACAGCATATATTATTTAAAAACAACTAGCATCGTTCTTTCCTTCGATCTATTCTTTTCTGTGATTTGAAAATAACATTCAGATTGTGACTCGCGAAGAATTGAACAAGAAGAAAGTGGTTGTCGAGGTAAGAATGATGCGATGATTCTTGATGCGGTGAGCTATCAATCAGGCGCTGCGATTAAGGCTTGTATAGATAAAAGAAAAAAAAGAAAGAAAAATTTTTAATGTACGAAGCGTTAATAGAATCGTGTTACGAGTAGAGCGGGTAGCAGCGCGGCGGTAGTAATGCTAAAAAAATCGAGCGGATAATAATAAAGGTGGAATTGCTTTCTGACAGACTAGTGACCGCAGCCCTGTCGCCAAAGTTCGACTTGATAATCGGAGGTGACGTGGTAATGTTGATACGAGATGCACTCGACGGCTCAGACCTTTCGACTACAAGCTTTATAGATTCAGAGTTTTGAAGAAGATTCTGGGCGTCTACGTGCCTCACGTCTCGCGCGTCGTAATCGTCGATTTTCTTGATCACGTCACCCCTCTGGAGCGCCTCGTTCTCCGACTGCAATCAAAAATTCAATTTTCAATCTTTAATACTAATCAAAAGTATAGACTATCATTTTTACGAAACATTATTGTTTAAAAGTTTAAAAACTTCATTTCTGTTCGGACACCATTATATTCGTTTCGTAGGTCTGGATCACGATTAATCCGACTCCGCCGTATTAGTAGCGTACATCAGGAAACTGTTACCAGAAACAAAAATTTAGGTTTAAACACCCTAAATTCGGTGGAAAAATTAGATGTAAGATAAAGATAGTAAAGGTATCAGAAATTGTTAAGAAAATGCACGAGATTGGGTCACGCGTAACAGGTGGATAAGTCAGTGACATATTACACAGAGGATAGTTTATGAAACGAAATTAACCGTGGATGAAAAATGATTGTGAAGAAACTAACGATTGTTACAGCAACAAAATGATGATTCTTCGATTCAGTGAAACATCAACCAGTGGTGTGTTGCGTTTGGCATGTATACGTTAGAAAATAATCTCAATCTCCTGCTGTTCTGTTACAGCCGCTTTGCGGGTATATCCAATAATAACTTGTTAGCGGGCAACGTGTATATATCTATTTGATGGTGCATCGGTTACACGCGTACGCGTATCAGGCGAAGTATGTTCGATGAAAATTTGATGAAAAGAAAAACTCACGCGGGTGACGACGATCGGCGTACCCAAATCAGCGCCTCCAGCGATACGTATTCCCCAAGGTTTCCCAGCGCTGGATCTCTTAAGCTTCACGATCACCGTTTGTTTCCTCGTCATGCTCTACTCCGTCTGTCACAACAACGCGATCGCGTGTTTAGAACGGTCAGAAAACCAACGAATTGGGTCGAAACGAGAATTAGTATACCAGAAGAGCGAGAGTTCGTCGAACCGCAGGATCGTTTAAAAATTTGATCAGGAGAGATACGGTATCAGCGACGAGTCGAGGGAATATCGAACCACCGTGGTAACGCTCCTTACTGGCAAACGAGAACTACTGGCTGCACCACCACTTGATTTTGACAGGCTTTACTTCTGTGCGAGCTTAGTTACCCAACTACCGGACCGCCGCTTCTGCTATTCTGGCCCCATTTCGAATTGGCATACCGTGTGTATTGTTCTGGTCCGACCTGCACTCATTTCTCTGGCATTTCTGGCCTCCCTGACTTTTCTACGATCACCGATGGGACCAATAATCTCGCTTCTACCTCTTCGATATTGCCAAATCGTTAGCGTTTAACATTTTCGAAATTATACGAAGGAAATTGTTGTTATAAGTTAGTTAGCCCATGAACGGAAGACGATGCATAAATTGTTAACATGTCGATACACTTACTTTTATTTAATTGTATATGATGCGCGTCTACACGATGCTAGGATAATGTTGACGGACTAAAGAATCGAACACTGCACGTGGGTGGCTTATCAACACATTCACGGGTTACAGTGGGTTTCTTCTTCAAACCAACGTGGGAAAGATATGCCTGTGGATTACAGAAAACTGTAACGTTTTGCAAAAACGATGCAGGATGTGAGAAAGTAATACCATCAGAAGGAATGAAATCGAGGAGAATCCAAAACTTGTTCAACTCGCTACATATATTACTCACATAAGTTTCGTAATAACTGCTTATGGAGAACTTAAGGGACATCTTCGGTTCGCGAACCACCACTCGGCTGCCACTTTCTTCTCTCTTTTACGGACGTGCTTTCACTGAGAGTGACGTTTGCCGAGCAACCGAAAGCTTCTCTCCCCTATGTGGTTTCGATCTAATTAGTTTGCCTGCACTGTGATTAATGAGACTAAATCAAGGGAGAGAAAGAGAAAGAGCAAAAGAGAGTAGCTTGCAATGAACCGAGAGGAAGAGAGTGTACGTAAGTTTGACTTAAATTAGCAACCTATAGCGCGAAAGGTTAGTCAATCATAGTTTTAAGACTGCACCGTTCTAGTGACTCATTTATCTCGATTTACACGATCCTAAGAAAGTGTGTATACATCACACGCCATCTGACCAGTATGCAAATTGGCAATACAAGTGACCTATTAATTGCCAATTTGCGACCTGTTGATCCTTCGACTATACAATGTGAAAAGTTTTTTTATTTATGCTCAGTTTGAAAAAATAGTTATAAAAATTGATATCATAACAACTTGATGCATGTACGTCACTTTTAACAAGTTAACAAGTCGATTCACGAAGATCCTTGGAATGTGGAAAGATTTTTCTTCATGAATACTCCTCGGTAATCACTCTACTGATTACCATTCGACGAATCTCACTAGTGCCAGCACCAATTTCGTACAATTTAGCGTCTCTTAAAAGTCTTCCAGTAGGGTAATCATTTATAAAGCCATTTCCACCTGGAAAAATTGTATAAATTCGGGCAAGTATTTACAACTGATAATCTTGAGCTAAAAATAATTTACCTAGTATTTGAATTGCATCTAATGCAGCTTTTGTAGCACATTCGGCAATGTAGAGTATTACAGCGGCACAGTCCTTTCGATTGATATGACCAGCGTCGCAGGATCTTGCTACGGAGTATAAGTAACTCCTGCAAGCATTTAGATGCGTATACATATTTGCCATTTTCGCCTGAAACATTAATGGTACTTGAATATCTTGACTGTTAAAGCATCAAATAATAAGAAAATATTCGAAGCTTATACTTGTATCAATTGAAATTCTGCTATACGTTTCCCGAATTGTTTCCTGGTATGCGCGTAATCGAATGCCACGTCGCAACAAGCCTGAAGAATTCTAACATACAATGAATTGAAAACTTCTATAATTAAAAATGATAAAGTACGGTTTCTCTAATGTTACCAAACCTAATGTAAAGGATCTTACCCCAAAGGACCTGCCGATAATATCAATCGTTCCAAATCTAAACCACTAAAGAGCACATATATACCTTTGTTCACTTCTCCGAGAATATTTGTAACTGCAATTAATAATAATCTTTGTACAATATAGTTTGGTAATAAAAACCAACTAAACTAAATGGAACAGAAGATAAATTACCAGGAACTTTGCAGTCCTCAAATACAAGTTCAGCAGTATTGGAACCTCGCATACCAAGTTTATCTAATTTTTGAGCTGTACTAAAACCGTCGAAACCACGTTCAACAATGAATGCGGTAACACCATGCTGTAATTTGCTCGCATGCGGATCCGTTCTCGCATAAACGACAAGAACATCTGCATCAGGACCGTTCGTGATCCAAAATTTGTGTCCATTTAAAACGTAATAATCTCCCCTTTTCTCAGCTCTTAATTTCATAGAAACTACATCAGATCCGGATGTCGATTCCGACATAGCAAGCGCTCCAATATGATCTCCGCTGCATAGCTATGCGAAAATTAAATATACATATTACACATGTTATCACGTTTATGTATTATATAATTCATATATACCTTAGGTAAATACTTCTGCTTTTGTTCTTCTGTCCCATTTCTGTGAATTTGATTAACGCATAAATTCGAATGCGCGCCATAACTAAGCGCTATAGCCCCTGATGCTCTGCTTAATTCTTCCATTATAATAACGTGATCTAAATACGTACCACCTGTACCACCATATTCTGGTTTCACTGTTATTCCTAAGAAACCCAATTCTCCAAGTTTTTTCCAAAATGCCTAAAAATATACTCTTAAATATTTACACATAATTGAAGAAATATCTTATGCTTCTTTTGAATTTTTCGTTACTTACCCGAAGTTCGTCAAAATTGTTCTTTCTATCAATCTCGGCGGCATTTGGAGCAAGTTCTTTTTGTGAAAAGTTAAACACCAATTGCCGAAGCTAGTATAAAAAAAAATATATATTTTCATTATTATTATTATTTGTAATTAATTCGTGTAAAACCGCATTTTAACAGAAAAGATACAACTGTAAAAAGAAAGATAATTCATTCTTTATCATTCGATAATCTATTTTTAAAAATTAATATGTATCGATTATTGAATAATTAACTTTGATAATGTTCGTTCGATGATCCAGATATTTAAATTTACTAACCTGTTTTTGTTCATCGTTTAATCCGGAAATATTATCATCTATCTTGTAATATTGCGAAGCGTATCTTACATTCAGTTTGTTGCTTGATCTCAAGTAATTACAAAAAATTGCTGATGCACAATTACGAATAAAAAGTTTCATAGTTTCAAATTGTATTATTTCAGAATTGTACTCACGTATGTACAATATTCAGATTCCATGTATGTACAGTGAACTTTTGTGCACTTTTTTGTAAACATGATAATTATCTTTTCTTCAATCAGCGCTATCATACTACCAAACTATTTTCGTGTATATATATACACATAGATAATATTCAATTATTTATAAGTAGGTCTAAAATATGTATGCAAAATATATAAATATATAATACCTAATATCTATAAAGTACTTGTAACGTTTTATATATAATATAATTCATTATCAAAATATATACCATCTATTCCGTAGCGTATAAAATATAAACGTTGCCGCATCCAAAACAAAGTTGCATATTGTAATCGGTTTTGTATTAATCTTTTAAGTATATGTAAAGTAATTTTGTACTTGTATAGTTTAAATATCATGTTATTCGTTTCAATTTCATCACATTTATAAAATTAACACAAAGGTATTGTGTTAATACGACTTTAAGGTTAAGAAAATGTAAATAGTGAACTTTTGATCGGTTCTCATTTTTTGTATTATAATCTGACCAAAATGGGTGAAATGAAAATTAATATCCATGATGGTATTAAATCAGAACAAAAATATAATAAAGTAGTAAAACATATAAAGGTATGAAAAGGTTGAAATTGATATGTGCCTAATAAATTTGTAATCAGATCACAATATTAATCATAATATTGTTATTACAGGATAAATGGAAACTTGTACCTGCTTTCCTTAAAGGGAAAGGTTTAGTAAAGCAACATATTGATTCCTTTAATTATTTTATAAATATAGAAATAAAGAAAATTGTAAAAGCAAATGAGAAGGTACTTAGTGATGCTGATCCTTTATTTTATGTAAAGTAAGTATTCTTATTTTAAATGTTAGCATACTTTATCACTTTATTTTTAATATATATCATGTATTGTAGATACTTAAATGTTCATGTGGGTTCACCTGATGTTGAAGAAGGCTTTAATGTAACACGTCCAACTACTCCACACGAATGTCGTTTAAGAGATTTAAATTATTCTGCTCCAATTACAGTTGACATTGAATATATAAGAGGTCATCAGCCAATAATTAGAAATAATTTATTAATTGGAAGGTATAAGCCTTAAAAGATATATTTAAGTATCAAGTATTAAGAAATAGAAATTAATTTAATCTTATTTTGCAGAATGCCCATTATGTTGAGAAGTTCAAATTGTGTACTGACTGGTAAATCACATTTTGAATTAGCAAAAATGAATGAATGTCCACATGATCCTGGTGGTTATTTTGTAATAAATGGGCAGGAAAAAGTAATTCTAATACAGGAACAAATGCTTAGAAACAGAATCATTTTAGAAGAAGATAATAAAGGATGTATTGTTGCTTCTTGTAACAGTTCCACTCATGAAAGAAAAACGAAAACTAATATTATCGGCAAAGGTGGACGATATTATATGAGACATAATATTTTTCAAGATGTAAGTGATTTTTGTATATAAATAATTTTATGAAATATTCTTAAGTATATTTTTTTACTTCTTATGTTGTAAGGATATACCTGTAACAATAATATTTAAAGCAATGGGAATTGTAAGTGATCAGGAAATTATGCAACTTATTGGTACAGAAGAAGAATTTATGAAAAAATTCGCACCTAGTTTAGAGGAATGTCATGTATTAAATGTGTTTGCTCAAAATCAAGCATTAAGGTAATAATATATTAATTAACAATTGGCTAATATGAATTGGTATTAATTAAATATGCTGTTTCAGATTTCTGAGTAATAAAAGGAAACAGAAAAGGTTCTCAGTTATAAAATCTAGTGTTACAGATGAAATGAAAGATATATTAGCAACCAACGTTTTGTCACACGTTCCTGTTAGTAGCTTAGAAATATTTGCTACTATAGCATAATGTTAAACTAGATATTAATATATAATTATATGTTACAGGTTGTAGATTTTAATTTTAAAATGAAAGCAACTTACATTGCTTTAATGATTCGTAAAGTCATGAAAGCACAGTGTGATGGAAAACTGGTAGATGATAGAGATTATTATGGTAATAAACGTTTAGAACTGGCTGGTTCATTATTGTCTTTGATGTTTGAAGATTTATTTAAAAGATTTAACTGGGAGGTAAAGTAATATATAATAGTAACAGATAATTTCTATTAATAGGGTGATAATTTTAAATATTGTATTTGCAGTTAAAGCAAATTGCAGACAAAAATATACCAAAAATTAAAGCTGCACAGTTTGATATTGTAAAACACATGAGACAGGATCAAATTACCAATGGATTGGCTTTTGCTATATCGTCTGTAAGTAATGAATACAATTAATTATTTAAAATAAAATAAAAGTTTACGTAAACATTGTCCTATATCTATAGGGTAATTGGACTATTAAACGATTTAAAATGGAACGTCATGGAGTCACTCAAGTATTATCTAGACTTTCTTATATTTCGGCACTTGGTATGATGACGCGAGTTAATTCCCAATTTGAGAAAACAAGAAAAGTATCTGGTCCTCGATCGTTACAGCCATCACAATGGGGAATGTTATGCCCTAGTGATACTCCTGAAGGAGAAGTTAGTACTGTTGCAACTAAGTTATCTATACAGATTACCGCGTTATTTAAAGTAATTAACATTTCTATAAACATTTTGATAGGGTTGTGGTTTAGTAAAAAATTTGGCTCTTATGACACATATTACTACAGAAATTGATGAAGAGCCAATTATAAGATTAGCATTTAATTTGGGAGTAGAAAATGTTAATATCCTCGGTGGAGAAGAAATTAATAATAAAGACGTTTACATGGTTTTCCTAAATGGTAATATTTTGGGTATCGTAAAAAACTACCAGAGGTTGGTTAATGTGTTTAGACTACTGCGCAGAAAAGGTCTCATAAATGGCTTTGTTTCTATATACACCCAACATCAACATAGGTAATATTTGCATAAAAATTATATTGCATACAATATTATAATTCTGTATAATATTTTTGACATTTAATTTGTTTTTAGATGTATTCAAATTAGTTCTGATGGAGGACGATTGTGCAGACCATATATTATTGTACAAAATGGCGAACCGCTTATACAAGAGGAACATATAAAATTACTTGAACAAGGGGTAAGATGTTTCGAAGATTTTTTACACGATGGTTAGTACATTTGAAAATACGTTTAATTGAATTTTGTTCACGTGTATCTACCACTAGCATTGTACCATTAACAGGTTTAATTGAGTACTTGGATGTAAATGAAGAAAACGATAGCTCCATCGCATTTAATGAATCGCATATCAATGAAAAGACAACTCATTTAGAAATCGAACCATTTACGTTACTTGGAGTTTGTGCGGGATTAGTACCCTACCCACATCACAATCAAAGTCCAAGGAATACTTATCAATGCGCTATGGGGAAACAAGCAATGGGAACTATCGGTTACAATCAACGCAATCGTATCGATACATTGATGTATAATCTAGTATATCCTCAAGCACCTATGGTGAAATCTAGAACAATAGAGCTGACCAATTTCGATAAATTACCTGCCGGTCAAAATGCAATAGTAGCTGTTATGTCTTATAGCGGCTACGATATTGAAGATGCTCTCATTTTAAATAAAGCCTCGATTGATAGAGGATACGGACGATGTTTAATTTATCGAAATGCAAAATGTACATTAAAAAGATATGCTAATCAAACGTATGATCGAATAATGGGTCCTTTGATTGATTCAAATACGAAAAAATCTGTTTGGAAACACGATGTTATCGATAGCGATGGAATTGCTGCACCTGGAGAAATGGTGGAAAACCGAAAGGTGATGGTAAATAAATCATCACCTTCTGCAAATATTGGACCAGTGAATTCTGGCAATGTTCAGACGCAAACAGAATATAAAGATGTTCCAGTTGTTTTTAAAGGTCCTGTTCCTGCATACGTTGAAAAAGTTATGATTTCTAGTAACGCGGAAGATGCATTTTTAATTAAATTATTATTAAGACAAACTCGAAGGCCTGAGATAGGCGACAAATTTAGCAGTCGTCACGGACAAAAGGGTGTGACCGGTATGTATTTTAATTTTTCGTTACTTAATCTCATAAACATGTTTCATCATTTCTCCATCTATGTATATAGGATTAATCGTGGAACAAGAAGATATGCCATTTAACGATTATGGGATCTGTCCTGACATGATCATGAATCCGCACGGCTTTCCTTCACGTATGACAGTTGGAAAACTGATAGAATTACTTGCAGGAAAAGCTGGCGTTATAAAAGGAGAATTTCACTATGGCACAGGTATATTTATACATTCATTTTTTTTTCTTCATAATATTTGGCGTAACAACACTTCATAAAAATGACTTTTATTTAGCATTTGGAGGTTCGAAAGTGGAAGACGTTTGCGAAGAATTGATAAAGCATGGTTATAATTATTTGGGCAAAGATTTATTTTATTCCGGTATTACTGGAGAACCATTACAAGCATATATTTACTCTGGTCCGGTAAGTCAGAGTATTTTTATATTCGTATATCAATTCCATTTTACGTTATTCTACTGATATATTTAATTATATAACCATAGGTATATTATCAAAAATTAAAACACATGGTGCAAGATAAAATGCATGCCCGTTCTCGAGGGCCAAGAGCTGTATTAACACGTCAACCAACGGAAGGTCGTGCCAAAGAAGGAGGTTTACGATTAGGTGAAATGGAACGAGATTGTTTAATCGGATACGGTGCTAGTATGATGTTGATAGAAAGACTTATGATATCCAGTGATGCATTTGATATTGATATATGCAACAAATGTGGTTTGATGGCGTATAGCGGTTGGTGTCATAGTTGTCGGTCTAGTTCATGTGTTTCTACGATTTCTATGCCTTATGCTTGCAAATTACTTTTTCAAGAACTCCAGTCTATGAATATCGTACCTCGTCTAACTTTGAAAAATTATTGTGAGTAATTTTATACAATGTGATAATATTCTTTTAACGCTTTTCTAACATAAAGGAAAGGAAACGTCAAAAGTAGTCTACATATATCTCTGATATGTCCCATTATTTATTAAAACATATTTAGTAACTTTTTGTATTGGAAGACATGAAAATAGTGGTCCTTAAAATGAATTAATTATCAGCTATACGTACATACATATATACACACATATATGAATTGGAGTATCAGTTAAACAAGTTATTTTATATTTTAATCTACAACAATCATTTATAGTTATCATTCTGTTGTCAGTTTCGCTTATTTATGAAAGAGGTTCGGCAAGTAATTTAATCTTTGGATTTTCAATGAAATGTTTGCTTTGTATTAAACGCAATTCGATCCTTCTTGCAGGCTGTGACTCCTTGTCTTGACATGCTAATAAATGTTGATAAGTGTTATTTTTTTAAATATTTTTTTTTATAAAATATTAAAATACCAAAAACTAGTACCTTGAGAATAGTTATAAGTTTCAAGTAGAACATTATATAGAGAATTTACAGTCTTTTCAATGGCAGTTTTCATGTCATCCTGCAAATATGTGTGAGCTAAAAATAAGGCAGCAAAGAGATCTCCAGAACCAGTGAAACTAATTGGTATTTTCGGAATGTCTATTTTTATTAACTTCTTATCTGAAATGATAATGAATTTTGATATACTGTGTTTATTTTGAGAAGCAGTATTATTTTTTTATTACCTTTAATTGTACTAAATATTGCTGTCAATTTATCACCAAGTTCTGTTGATGAAACAGCTACTGTTTTAGGACCAATTTCATGTAATTTTTTTACAGCATTTTGTAAGTCAGACATTGTATTAATCTTTGTGTTACTTAAAAGTCTAAAAGAATTAGTTTTCCAAAAATTAGACATAAGTCAAGCATATTTGTGCCTAAAATAAGAGTACTAACTTACTCTAATTCAAATTGATTTGGAATTACAATATCTGCCAATGGTACTATCTCTTCTATATAAATTTTCTTTAGTGCTTCAGGAACATACATTTTCCCATTATCTCCCATAACAGGATCGCATACTTGCATTTAAAAATCGATGTTTAATATTAAATTATTTTGTCTAATTAATATATTTCGAATTTTATATATTTATTTACCATATATAAGTTCAGGATTTTTTCGTTTTAATGTATGGACAACTTCTGCTACTTTTTTCAAAAATGAAGCAGATCCAACATATCCTGTGAGTAAATATGTATAATTCTCTAAGTTATTTTGTACTAATCCATCTATTATATCCTCTGAAACATAATCACAGGTATTAAGCAAGTTTATAATTAACTTCCATGAAAAAAATTTGATATATGTTTTTAAAAACATCTCATCTTACCTAAATCTTTATCATTTAATACTTGACCTTTAAAAACCTTATATCCAGTATGATTGGATAATTGAACAGAATTAATTGCATCTACCTCAAAGCCCAGTAACTAAAAAAATGATGTTCTTTTATGTACTGTAATACTTGTGACTTGAGGTAATTATAAAATACAATAGTGACTAGTAAAGATAAGAAAGTTTAATCAGTGATATCATAAGCAGCATACCATTATGCATAGAGAATAATTCATTTCATATTATTAACATGTTATATACCTGTAAAGGAAATGTTGCACTTTTATTACCAACATAACCAGACACTACATGACTTTGTAACGAAAGAATTCGTGGTGTCCTTTTGGAGTACATATTCATTAGCTGATGCGTACACACAGACACATGCAAAATACACGATTTATAAAATACTATATGGTGCACCCCCTTCAAGCATTCTTATATACTACTTTGTACAGGTTACATCAAAAGCAAACGGTGTTTTCTATTATCTCTCTCATCAACAAAAGCGGTATCATAGAACTTCGTTAGTAATGCATTTTTTATCTAGACTGTCAAGTGATAAGAAATCTTTTTTTATATACCGCAGTTCACCACAGTCCATAACTGCGAAAAGACCAGTTTTCGTTCTTCGCGCTTCTCTAGTACGCATCTTCGCTCTGATTGGCGATACTTCCAAACGAAGTGGAAAGCGATTAGCAGAGAGCTCGCTGCGTTCCCCCACCATCTTCCAACCTGCGCGTCGCAGTTATGGACTCTGGTGATCTGCGGTATTTTTTCACCGGAGAAATGTTTTCCAATTAATTAATGAGATTGTTAATTACAATACAAGTGCAGCGCGTATGAATATTAGGGTTTGACAAATATCTGTAAAGCAAGTTTTCGCCAGTAGGTAATGCGATTGATGATAAGAAGAGATAATATACCGATCGAGTACTTCAAAAAATGATCTACCCGGTGGTGCATCTTCATTCGTATTATCTCGTGATTTGTTTGTAGAGCCAGAAAAAGTATGGCGACGTGGGAAGGTGAAAAATTTCAAGACATCGAAAATGCCGACGATATTGAGGGAAATTTTGATAACATTCTGGTGACACATGATCTCCAGGATTGCCTGGATGATAGCTTAGACTTAACAAATTTTGGGAAGGTTTACGAACCAAGTATTGTGTTTGACTATGAAAAGTATTCAGATGACGATACTCCTATCAACGAAAGACTATCTAATAACAACACTACGGAGTAAGATCATTTAAATCTTCTATCTTTTTCCTTTAGCACAACAAGAATCCTTTTTATAATGAATTATTTTTTTAAATTATCAAACGAAAAAATAAAAATTGCGCATAACCTATTCGTTTATGGATTGAGTAGTATTTTGTATCCTACCCTTATAAGGATATAACGCATTTTGAAATTAGACCCTTAATACCAGGTGTTATGTTATATATCAGGTTACTGAATAAATATTAGGGAATTCATTGTTTTGTAAACGGTTTTTTAGTTGTTTCTTAATTGTGCAATATTTCTCTGCTATACATACATGTGATTATATTTTTCTTGAATGTTTAGTGAAAGTATATTATTACAGTTTTGAAAAATACTTTTGTAGCCTATATTTGGCATATGATATTTTGATTTAATAGTTATTGATTAAACAGATAAGTTATATATATGTAAAAACTCAATTATAATTAATATATTTGTTATTATAGGTCAGTACATCGTACAATTAGCCCTCATGAAATTTATACACACATTCATTCTGATCAAGATGATGTATTACAAATTGAATCTTCGCATAAAGCTATTAAAATTGAAAATACAGTTCTAGATACAAGTCAGAAGCATATTGGTCGTTATACTTGTGAATATGAAGGCTGCAATAGAACATACAGTACAGTTGGAAATTTACGTACTCATATGAAAACTCACAAAGGTAAAATTTTTATGTATTATATTATATTTTTAATATGTTACTAATAATTAAAATCCTAGTTACATAACAATACACATTAAAAGTTTTATTTTGTATTTTTTAATGAAGCATAATATTACCTTATTTAATAGTTATTGTTCTGTTTGGGTAATACAATTGCAATACTATGAGCTTTGCATGTTATGCTTACATAAATCAATGTAACACATTGTACTAATTGATATGTGTATATTTTTTCTGCTTGCTAAATTTGAAGGAAACAAGGTAAGCATATAAAATATTTAATGTTTTTAATAAATAAAAACGTATAGAACCTGCTCATGCTTTACAAACTTTTATGTACACACATTATTCATTATATCATCACTGCTGGTATAAAGGGTACGCTTTGACCTGCATGGCTTTCAGATACTGCGAGCAATAGGTAGCCCAGCAAACTTTTTATGTGGAGGGAATTCTCAAAACTTTCAGGCGAGTATCGATTTAAATGTGCAGAACCAAGTTGTGGCAAGGCCTTCCTCACGTCGTACAGCCTAAAGATTCATATTAGGGTACACACAAAAGTAAAACCGTTTGAATGCAATCACAAAGGTTGTCAAAAAGCATTCAATACCCTTTACAGACTGAGAGCTCACCAAAGACTTCATAGTGGCAACACATTTAATTGCGAAGAGACTGGATGCGTTAAATTCTTCACTACTCTAAGTGATCTCAAGAAACATATACGTACTCATACTCAAGAAAGACCTTACAAGTATGTTTTTTGGTATTTTTAATTACTAATTCTCGTACCTGGTTTGATAATTTAATTTTGCTTTGGTTTTGCATTCTTTTTTTTCTATTATTAAAATGTTAGTCACAATACATATTTAAAGTGGATTAAAGATACCAATAAATATTAAGTACGTGCATAACATTAAAAGATAAGTGAGTAGACACTACAAACACTAATGTTTTAAATCTAGTTGAATTAGAAAATTCTTTAATTCTCATGTATCTATCGAAATAAATTATATAAAGTACAATATGCGCAATAAGTTGTATAGAACTGTATCATTTTTCTACGCATATAAAATTATATATTTCCTTTTTAGATGTAGAGAAAAAGGATGCGGTAAAGCTTTTACAGCGTCACATCATTTAAAAACACATAAAAGAACGCATACAGGAGAACGACCTTATGTATGTACTTTTGAAAACTGCAAACGGTCTTTCACTACTCCTCATAGTTTAAAAAGTCACTTGAAAACTCATAAGAGAGCAACTAATAATGATGAAACGGTATGTAAAAATGTTTGTATAATTTTTAGACGTTTCCATTATGTTACATTATTTTATTACAGAAACATGAAGGCAACTATGATGAAAGCGGAAACCAAAGAAACAGCGATATATTAAAGTCAAAAATCGATGTTGATGAAATAACTTCTAGAAATGTGCCATCTTATGCTATTATACCATTATCTTCTAGTAGTATACAAAATAAAGAAAGCATAACTTATTTACCCACCAAAAATGCAAATAATCAGTTGACGTCTACAAGTGATGTGATAAATATTTTACATCAGAATACATCAAACAAAGAGCTTGATTACAACATCATTAATAAAAATAGAGAAAATTCTAATAAGTCTACAAAAGTTGCTCTTATTGCGTCAGGAAATATTATTTTAGATAATTTTACTGAGAATACGATTGATAATTTTAATAACAATGAAAATTATGATAAATTTAAAATATTCGACGAGGTTAATGATTCAGATTTGCAGCAGAACCAAAATCAAGAATACGCTTCGAACTGTTCAACAAAAAGTCAAGATAATAAACTAAACAATGTAATAAAATCGAACTCGATAAGTTTGGAACAAAAAATTATACAAGATGGCTTACAAAATGCAATTGCTCATATTTCAGAAGGAACAGATTTTACAAGCGATGTACAGCAGTACAGAAATCGTTCGATTACTACTCAGAAAGCGTATAATACTAATGGAGTAAATCTAAACTCGGCTGTGGAAAGTAGTAACGCGACTTCGTTTAATGCCAATTCTATTACTAGTCATGTATCGGATATAATTAGTTCCTCTAGCGAGACTCAACTTTTCGATAGTGAGATAGAAAATTTACCATTTATCAGTAATACATTACGAACCGGGTCTCTTAATGAAGTTGAGCATTCATTGAATTCAAATGTTGCAACAACACAATCAGAAGCAATTGAATTAGCTATAGCATCCGAGGAGGAAATACCATCTCCTTGGGTAAACGTTATGGCATTGGCAACTCCATCTTCTTTAAGGAGACAGTCCTGGTCAGAATTGAATGCTTTTCCAACAGCGGTTCATTCGTTAGTCGATTTAGTTGAACCAGAACCTTATCCTTTGCAAATAGAAAATCAGTTGCAATCGTTACAACAATTAGATAACGTTAATCTAGTAGATGTTGAAAACATTACTGCGCGTACTGAAGTGACACATTGCCAGGAGGGTGTTGGTGATAAACAAAAAGAAGATAGTACAAAGCAGAAAAAATGTAGAAATGTTTTACAAAAGATTACTGCTGACGCAGACATATGCAAATGTGACGATTGTAAATGCAATGATTTGCAAAACTGCCAAAATTGCTCAAATAATACAACTACAGATGTTGATACAAGGAACGTGTCATTAAAAATGGTAGATGATTTTGTAAATTGTTTACCAGGAGAATGCTTTTGTGAAAGTCAGTTGTGGCAAGAGCCCGATGGTTGTGGATCTTGCTGTGTTGTTATTTGTTTGAAAACGTTACAACGATTGCAAAGAATGTTTACCCGTAATTGTTGCAAAAGTACTAACGACACATCGTGTTGCAAAGAGAAATTATTACCTTCACTAATGAAATGCCAGTTAACGAAAAACCAATGAAACTGATTTTTTATTGTGTGTCTAGTCATATTGAGGAAAGCATATTTTTGCACAATCGTCTATTAAGAATTTGTTATTTATCGTGCCGCGTAGATTAACTTGCTTAGCTTTAAATGCGATTTTTCATATAAATATTAATTTAAAAATAACATTACCTTAGATAGGTGAAAAGTATGAAGCAATGTGTACATAGCTGTACTATATTTCAAGACTTGATTATACAAAGGCAATATGTTACGATGTATTTTAATGTGTGCCAATGTATTTGTAGTTTTTTTTTTACTTAAAAACTTTTAAATACACAACATTGTTATCGCATAGTTTGTAGAAGAAAGAGGATATATTGTTTTCACATATCAAAGAATAGTAAGGCATCTTTGTAAGAAAAAATATTTATGATATATCAATATTCAAAGTATCAGACCTCCGTATCGGAAAGTCGACCTTAAGAATCAAAATATATTTTATAGAAGTTATTTTACATTTGATACCTATATGTTAAATTGTTGAGTATATCTTTTAATGTACAAATATTATATGTATCTTTTTATTTACACATAACGATGGTTATAAGAGTATTTGAAATCATGAAGTTTTATATGTCAATGATGTTTACCGATGTTATGTTAAATTTATATAAACAACCACCGATTATGTGTGTATAATGTATTAAGTATATTAGTAATGAAAAATGAATATTTATTGTTTAGTAGTTGTTTTCGAATGTATAACATTTAGAAAGGAAATGCAACATGCTAAATAAGAACGTATTTTAAATTAAATTACAATGTTGTATTATACATATTCGGACATTTGAATTGTTTAAAAAATTGAGACGAGGCAGTGAAATGATACAATAGTTTTACATTTTTACTATCAAAGTTGTGGCTGTTATAAGTACTTGTTAAAAAGCAATACAATCAATGTACCTAAATAGATTTTAGATAAAAGAACTTGTGTTAAAACTAAGTAAAATTTGACTAACATAATAAATTATTGCGTAATGTTATATACTTTTGTTATTTATCTGCTGCAAATAATTTACACATATAGATATATGTAAATGTATTTTGTAATTTAGTAATCTTTTTATTGTTGCAGTACTTTTATACAGGATTATGGCAGAAATGTGATGAATACATGACCTAAAATTCAATAACATGTAGGATAATGTTTTAACATTTAAACAATGCTTATTGAGTAGCTTGTACTAAAGCTTCTCCAACTTCTACTGCAATAGATGCTTCAGCTTTGTCTTTTTCAGATGATGCAGAGGATAACTGTTGCTGAGCTTTGCTAAGAACTTCTCTGGCTGCTGAATTATCTATATTTTCTACAGGATGTGCTTCCTCTGCTAAAACCTGCTCCACAGTATCGTATTAAAAAATATTTAATACCTATGTTATTTTTTATTTAACTGGTATAATATGTACATACCTGTACACTATTATCTTCATTTATAGTAACTGTTCCTGAGGAAACAAAAATCTTTTTAACTGATCCTCCCTCTTCATACACTGTAACTACACCAGGTTTTAGTACAGCTAGCGTGGGAACATGTTTTGGTAAGATACCAAAACAACCAGAGAAGGATGGTACATCCACTTGTTTGACTACAGCTTGGTCATAAAACACCTAAAACAATAATTTTCTTAAAATTTTGGCAACTTCAATTTCAAACCATGTTTATGTACACTAGAAGTATATTTATACATACTTGATTAGCTCCAGCAAAAGTAAACTTCATTTGGTCTCCAGGAGCATCAGCATACGTTCTCCTTTGACTACGAATTAATCTTAAATAAGGGCGTAAATTACGAGTAAGAGTTGCCATTTTTAATGTTCTGCAACAAAAATTCATTCATTAAATGTTATATAAAATTTCGTTAATTTACGACAGAGGACTGATTACATCACACGTTCGAATCACATATATTAACTATTGTTTTTTAAAGTAAACATGTTAAGTGAATTAAATATTTGAACGAATAATTAAATATCCTATGATTCGTCCATTTACAAGTTCAACAAACTCACCGCGCTTTTGTTTAAATATATTTCTTGCACAAATTACGTTATAGCAACTATCACAGATATAAGTTAAAAGCAATATCGTCTATTGCGGGTAGCTAAATAGGAACAGTGACTACATATAAAAAAGACTGGATATGCCTTCCTTCTCCAAGGAATTATAATTTTTGGGGTTCCAGACACCCCCAGGTGACATACAGTCGGCATGTAAGGATGCCGATGGCGCATGCGCAGCGGTCTAAAAAATAAGTTATATCTCGCTGAAACAAATCAGTCTGTCTTCAGACATCGAAGAGAAGGGTGTTGTGTTCGGCACCGGGTGCGACCCCCGGTGTCGGCCATATGGTAGGCACACCAGATGGACACCAATGTGCCAGGCGTGGAGGGCTCCGAAGTAATATACATAAGGTCTCGGAGCCCTCCTATAATTTAACGCCAGTGTTGGTCGCCGTGGGGTTTTAGTCAGTAAGAATCTGACACTCCCCCGCCAACCTCGCCAAGGGGTCGGCGGGGGGTCTTATGCAAGATTTCCCCACGTTAAAAAAAAAAAAAAAAAAATATTTACAATCACTGATTCGAGTAAAGGTAAGTAAAGGTAAGTAGCCGGAGATCACGTGCCTCCAAGAATTTTTCGCATCTTGTGAGCCACTTGATATTTCGAGGGCAACAATGTTGCAAAACGCGAGGCCGCCATTACACGTTTGTAACATTCTTGCGATTTCGCGGGAGGCGCCTCCCGAACCGCAGCATTGTTGCGAACGCGCAATCGCGGCCTCACGTTTTGCAACATTGCTGCGCTCGAAAGATCAAGTGCCTCACAAGATGCGAAAATTCTTTGATGCAGTTGATCTTTCGAGCGCAACAATGTTGCAAAACGTGAGGCCGAGTTTACGCGTTTGCAACATTCTTCCGATTTCGCGGGCGGCCTCTTCCGATTTGCAATATTGTCGCGAACGCGCAATCGCTGCCTCACGTTCTGCTACATTGTTGTGCTCGAAAGATCAACTGCATCACAGAATTTTCGCATCTTGTGAGGCACTTGATCTTTCGAGCCCAACAAAGTTGCAAAACGTGAGGCCGCGATTGCGCGTTCGCAACATTCTTCCGGTTTCGCGAGCGGCCCCCACCGATTTGCAACATTGTCGCGAACGCGCAATCGCGGCCTCACATTTTGCAACATTGTTGGGCTCGAAAGATCAACTGCATCAAAGAATTTTCGCATCTTGTGAGGCGCTTGATCTTTCGAAAGTAACAAAGTTGCAAAACGTGAGGCCGCGATTGCGCGTTCGCAACAATGTTGCGGCCTCGTCAGACTTTACTTACCTTTACTTACCTTTCCTTGCTTTTACTTACCTTCACTCGAACCAGTTGCATTTTTCATAATATATTATTATATTTATAATGTATTTATTAGAAGGGTTGTAGGAATACAATAGGTGCAGGGATATAAAGGATGTAAGGGATGCAGCGACATAAAGAATTCAGGGATGTAAAGATGCAGTGATGTAAGGAAGGCAGTGATATGAGGGATGCAGTGTTATACGAATACAGGGATGCAAGGGATACGGAGATATATTGATTTAGCGGTAGTCCCCGTGGGGCTGGTAAAATAGGTAGGATTGTAATACCGGCTGTGCTCTTTGCATGCAGTCCTGACCTCATCTTGGGGTGTCTGGGACCCCGGAAAATATAATCCATCGGTAACAACGGCATGTCCAGTCTTTTACTATCTGTAGTCACTGGTTCAGAAGCGTTCATCTAGAAGTTGGTAATATCCGTTCTAAGAAAATAACAAATGATATAATATCAGGTACATTTTTGTTCACTTTTTGAATATAAATAGTTAATAAAATGCCGTATGCAAACCAGCCATCAGTTCACATTTCGGATCTAACTGAAGAAAATGTAAAATTTCAAGTAGAGGATACAGAATTGAGGTAAGCTAGGTTATGTCACAATTAAATAATGTTTTTGTTCTGTATTGTTAAATTTTCTAAATACTTATAGTGTTGCAAATAGTATGAGACGTGTCTTTATTGCTGAAACACCCACCATGGCTATTGATTGGATACAATTGGAAGCCAATTCAACTGTTTTAAGTGATGAATTTTTAGCACACAGAATTGGAATGATACCATTGATAAGCGACGATGTAAGTATTTAAAAATCAGTTGCCTTAAAATTTGAACAGAAGCCTAAAGTTTGTATAAAAATCATTAGGTTGTTGACAGGATACAGTATACTAGAGATTGCCAATGTATGGATTTTTGTCCAGAGTGTAGTGTAGAATTTACGCTTGATGTTAAGTGTACAGAAGATCAAACGCGACATGTAACTACTGCAGATTTTAAATCCAGTGACCCTAGAGTATTACCAGTTACATCTAGGCACAGGGAGGACGATGCCAGTGAATATGGAGAAACAGATGGTTAACATTTTTCTAAGTAATATATTTATTAATGTTTCAGTACTATAAATGGATCTTTGCCTTGCAGAAATACTAATAGTAAAGTTAAGAAAAGGACAAGAATTAAAACTGAGAGCATATGCCAAGAAAGGTTTTGGAAAAGAACATGCAAAATGGAATCCAACAGCTGGTGTAAGCTTTGAGTATGATCCAGACAATTCCATGAGACATACATTGTTCCCTAAACCAGATGAATGGCCAAAATCAGAGTATAGTGAATTAGAAGAAGATCAATGTAAGTATTATATTACTTAACAAATTAATTGCTGACATTTACTTAATGGATTGTAAAATATTTCAGATGAAGCACCATTTAATTGGGAGGCTAAACCAAATAAATATTACTTTAATGTTGAAAGTAGTGGAGCATTGAAACCTGAAAATATTGTAATGATGGGTATTGCAGCTTTGAAAAATAAACTATCTAATCTACAAACACAATTAAGTCATGAAGTTCAAAGTGATGCATTGAGTATTCACCATTAAATTGTATAGACTATTAAGAATTTAGGAATCATAACATTTTTCATTATTCATTTTAAAATAAAATCTTTATTAAATACATATAATTGTTATTTATTGTGGTCCTTACATCAGTTGTTTCAATAATCGTACGTGAAACGTTGGATAAAATACATAAGCATGATAGATTAGATTTTATATCTAAAGCACGGCTGACACTTTGCATACCGACATTACGGCATCCGGGGTGTCAAGGACCCCGATACATCGGTGGCGCTTTCTGCATACCGACCTGATATCATCTGGGGTGTCGAAGGCCCCAAAGCATAAGTGACGCTCTACATACCGACTTCATCGAATCCGGGGTGTCAAGGACCCCGATGCATCGGTGGTGCTTTCTGCATACCGACCTGATATCATCTGGGGTGTCAAAGACCCCAAGATACGAGTAACGCTCTTTGCATACCGACATTACGGTATCCGGGGTGTCAAGGACCCCGATGCATCGGCGGCACTCCCTGTATATCGACCTGATATCATCTGGGGTGTCGAAGACCCCAAAGCACGGCTGACGCTATTTGCATACCGATCTGATACCATCTGGGGTGTCGAAGACCCCAGAGCATAAGCGACGCTCTACATACCGACCTTATCGAATCCGGGGTGTCAAGGACCCCGATGCATCGGTGGCACTTTCTGCATATCGACCTCTCATCTTGGGGTGTCGGAGACCCCAATGCACGAGTGACACTGGGTACCAACATTACGGCATCCGGGGTGTCAGGGACCCCGAAGCATCGGTGGCGCTCTCTGCATACCGACCTAAAATCATCTTGGGGTTTCGGAGACCCCGAAGCACCGGCAACCCTCCATACCGACATATCATCCTGGGGTGTTAGGGACCCCGAAGCACCGGTGACATTGCATACCGACATTATAGTATTCGGGGCATCGGGGACCCCATAGCTAAAATGTGCGAACTTTTTATAGAAAAATTGAAACCTCTGTAACTTTTGACTCCGACCACTTAGACACACAAATGCAACGGTTTTGAGCTAATCTCAGCGAGACCTTTCTAACGACGTATAAAGCGTATTTCTAACCCTAGTAGTTCTCAAGTTGAAAAATGACACGTATGGACGTCTTTGCGCTTTATATATATAAGATAAGATAAGCGATATTACTGTAATGTGCTGTAATGAATAAAACATAACTGTACCAAGGAAAATAAATAAATAAATAATAAAACAAACTTAAAAGATAGTATTTTCTTACCTACATAGTGGCTACAGAAATTCATCTCCCGCCACCTCCCGCCCAAATATAAAATCTTTTTAATGTTGTCGCCTTGCAAATTTACAAATGTCGCTGTGCCAACAAGTCGGTTGAATTTCTTTCTTTCGTTCAGTGACAGAGAAATTACGTTTCTGATTGAGTTACCGTAAAGTGTTTACACGAGAAACACTCGTGTGATTTTTAATCGCATCATGTATATCAAGCAGGTATGAAAAATGATTAGGTTTACTTCTGAGTTCCTGTCGCTTTTTGCGCGCTTCATACAACTTCCTCCTAATAGACGCTTACCATTTGTAATAAATATTGTTATTCAGCTTAAGTGCGCATGAAGATCACTTCAAATACAATGCCTTTAATTGTCCTACATTCATAATTCCATAAATGATGTCAGTGTTGTAGATACAAGATGTTGTATGTTTACATGGTTAAACGCAAACTACCTATAAACATTAAATATAAACAAAAAATGCTTATATTTCATATAACACACCTCTGTTATTAGGTGATTATACAAGGATTTAAGTCATACCGTGAGCAAACAGTTGTAGAACCATTTGATCCAAGGCACAATGTAGTAGGTATGTATCATTGAGATTAACGGAAAAAAATTTTTGAATTTAGGTCAAGTACATGATATTTTTATTTCAAGTTGGAAGAAATGGTTCTGGAAAAAGTAACTTTTTCTATGCAATTCAATTTGTTTTGAGCGATGAATTTTCACATTTGAGACCTGAACAGCGACAAGCTTTATTACACGAAGGTACTGGACCAAGAGTTATTTCTGCCCATGTGGAAATTATATTTGATAATTCTGATGGAAGATTACCGGTACATGCATACTTATTGCCATATATTTTATAATGTGTTATTTAATTTTTAACTTATTATAAGCAGATCATCTTTATAGATTGATAAAGAAGAAGTATATCTAAGAAGAGTAATTGGGTCAAAAAAGGACCAGTATTTTCTTAATAAAAGAATTGTAACTAGAAATGACGTAATGAACTTACTAGAATCAGCAGGATTTTCAAGATCAAATCCATATTATATTGTAAAGCAGGGAAAGGTATGTTTCATGATGAATGTATGATTTATAAAGACAAAAGGCATGATATATTATGTTGTACAGATAAATCAAATGGCAACAGCACCTGATTCACAAAGGCTTAAATTATTACGAGAAGTAGCTGGTACTAGAGTATACGATGACAGAAGAGAAGAATCAAAATTTATTTTGAAAGAAACAGAAGGAAAATTAGAAAAAATTCAGGATTTTTTGCGAACAATAGGTAAATCATAATTGAAGTAGATGGTAACTCTTTGAAAAATAACTGTAATGAATGGTAAAATGCTTACAGAGGAACGTTTAAAGACATTAGAAGAAGAAAAAGAAGAACTTAAGGAATATCAGTGTTGGGATAAACAGCGTCGTTGCTTAGAATATACGATTCACGAGCGAGAGCTCAAGGAGAATAAAAGAAAATTAGAAGAACTTGAAAAATCTAGAGCTAATAGTGGTGCTGAACAAGCAAGATTATGTGCAGATGCAAAAACTGCACAGGAAATGGTAAGAGCTGCAACAAAACGCCTCAAAGAGGCAAAAAAAGAAGTGCAAACCGCAAAAGAAGAACGAGATACGCTTAGGTAATATTCGTAAAGATATATACAAGCAACGTGTCAAGAAAAATGATTTGTTAGTTACAAATGAAAAATAATATTTTCAGCGCCGAACAACAACAATTACTGAAAGAGAAAACCAAATTAACTCTAACAATTAACGATTTACTGGAGGAAGTAAAGGGAGATAATGATAGTAGGAAACGCGCTCAACAAGAGTTGGAAAAATTAAAAGTGAACATTGCAGCAAGAGAAGCAGAATTAGAACAACTTAAGCCAGAAGTAAGATGTAAATTGTATACTTTAAATACGAATGAAAAAAACGTATAAACCATCATTTATTTTAGTATGAAGAAATGAAACGCGTTGAAGAGGAATGTACTCGCGAGTTACACTTGAAAGAGCAAAAAAGAAAAGAATTATATGCCAAGCAAGGAAGAGGCAGCCAATTTACTAGCAGGGTATTGAATATAACTTAACTAGATGTAAATGAAGATATAAGGATACATACTTTAACTATTTTTCTATTTTAGGATGAAAGAGATAAATGGATACAAAATGAACTGAAACAGCTTACCAAACAAATTAAAGACAAAGAAGAACATCAAAGGAAAATTAGCGAAGACTTAAAGAGAGATGCAGAAAAGCAAATTACCTTAGAAAAAAAGATCGAAGAACATACACGCGAAATGGAACGGCAACGAGCTTCGATAGATGAACATAATAAACAATATTATGAACTTACTAAATCCAAAGATCAGTGTCAAGCAACTCGAAAAGAACAGTACGTTGATCATGCAATTTTCTTTATATTTGACAATATTTAACATGTATACTAAATTTATAATATGACAGATATCGCCAAGAAAGTGTGTTACAATTAAACTTATCAGGACTAAAAGAGGATTTAGCCAAAGCAGATCAGAGTTTACGATCTATGGCAGGGAAACCGATTCTAAATGGTCGAGATAGTGTGCGAAAAGTACTGGATACGTTTCGGTAAGTATCCCATAATTGTTTATAAGAAATCATTTTTACTATGAATATTTATCTCGCCCTTTTTGTTTAGTGCGCGTCCAGATATGGCCCATGAGGTGAGTAGTTATTATGGGCCAGTAATTGAAAATTTTAGTTGCGACAAGAGTGTTTATATGGCTGTAGAAGTAACTGCTGGAAATCGTTTGTTCCATCACATTGTGGAAACTGATAAATTTGGGACAAAAATTCTAAAAGAAATGAACAATCAACGCCTTCCGGGAGAAGTAACATTTATGCCTTTAAATCGACTTCATGTAAAAGATATAGATTATCCAGAAACAAGCGATGCCATACCAATGATATTACAGCTAAATTATGATCAGAAGTATGACAAGGCCTTAAGGTAAATACACGATAAAATTGTTAACGCAAAATTATTTTCCATCAACCGTACAGATTAATTGGTGTACGTAATTGTAAATGTAGGTATATTTTTGGAAAAACATTGATCTGCCGTAATTTAGAAGCCGCAACAAATTTAGCCCGTACTTCCGGTTTAGATTGTGTAACGCTTGAGGGTGATCAGGTGTCATCAAAGGGATCATTAACGGGTGGATATTTTAATACATTAAGGTCGCGTCTAGAAATACAGAAAACTAGATCAGAATTAATGGCTCAGATTGCATCTCTGGAATCTCAATTTGCAACGCTCAAAGAAGAGATCAGGAAAGCTGATCAAAATATCAGTTCTTATGTCAGTGAAATGCAAAGAACCGAAACAAAAAACAGTAAAGCGAAGTAAGTTGTCGTCATTAGATATTTTTATTGTTTTACGAGATTTTTCTGAAGCATTTAATTAATTGTACTATTACAGAGATGTATATGACAAGATGAAAGCAGAAATACGGTTAATGAAAGAAGAATTGAGCGCGATAGAACGATATCGAACACCAAAAGAAAGAAGTCTAGCTCAGTGTACATCAAGTTTGGAAGCAATGCGTGCGACCAAAGAAGGTTTAGAAAGTGAATTGCATCAAGAACTCATGGCACAACTATCTGTTGCTGATCAACGTCAAGTTGATACATTGAACGATGACATAAGACGTTTAACGAAAGATAACAAAGAGGCATTTGCTAAACGAATGCGATTGGAGGCTGAAAAGAATAAATTAGAAAACTTATTAACCAATAATTTAGTGAGAAGGAAAGATGAATTAGTTCAAGCGTTACAAGAAATATCAGTAGAGGACCGACAACGTCAATTAGAATCATCTAAAGCACAATTAGCAGATATTGAAAAGAGATTAGTGAAAGTGAACGCGGACTTCAAAGCTCAGAACGAAAGAGTAACCAATGCTATAAAGAAAGTATGAATGCTGGATAATATTTTATTATATTATGTATAACTTAAAATACATGTATATTATTTCTTTATTTAGCAAAAAGCGGAATCTGCGGAAGTTGAAAGGTGGAAGAGCAAGGAAAAGGAAGCACAGGAAAAAATAGAAGCTGATGCGAAAGATTTAGAAAAGCTAGCCAGTAAATTGAACATTTTGCAACAAAAAATAGTAGAGTGTACACAAAAAATTACTGAACTCGGTGCACTGCCTAGTCACGACGTGTATTCTAAGTTCAGTACTTTATCTACTAAACAATTATTTAAAGAGATGGAAAAGGCGAACAATCATTTAAAAAAATATAGGTATAATTACAATATGTTCCTGGGTATAAAATTAGTCTTACATTTTCAATGAAAATCCTTCTCAATACTTTAAATTTTATTCTAGTCATGTAAATAAAAAAGCATTGGATCAGTTTATGTCATTTAGTGATCAAAAGGAAAAATTGGTAAAAAGGAAGGAAGAATTAGATAGAGGTGATGAAAAAATTAAGGAATTAATGTCAGTGCTTGAACAACGCAAATGCGAAGCAATACAATTCACTTTCAAACAAGTAATGTGATATCTTATTTTCTACTCTAATCTAGTAATTTCAAAGCAATTATACATGAAAAGGTACAAACCTCGTATTCTATTTTCAGGTAAGCAAATATTTTAGTGAAGTCTTCAAGAAACTTGTTCCATCAGGCCATGCACAGTTAGTTATGAAAACAGCAGATGGTGACGAAGGGGACGATGCTACAACAGAAGCAGCTGATTCTGATAGATTTATTGGAGTTGGTAAGTTAACTTGCAAACACGTGTTTGGTGTACTAAATGAAAAAAATATTAAACAATTTTATAAATTTGATCTAGGTATACGAGTATCCTTTACTGGTCATAGAGCTGAAATGAGAGAAATGAATCAGTTGTCTGGTGGACAAAAATCACTCGTGGCATTGGCATTAATATTTGCGATACAAAAATGTGATCCAGCGCCGTTTTATTTGTTCGATGAAATTGATCAAGCATTGGATGCGCAACACAGAAAAGCTGTAGCAGATATGATTCATGAACTTAGCTCTGATGCCCAATTTATTACGACGACCTTCAGGTAATGTTCTAATATCTGTAATAAAGGAATAAAGGGTTTTCAATTAATCATAATCAATTATGTTATTACAGACCAGAATTGTTACAACACGCGAACAAATTTTACGGTGTCAAATTCAGAAACAAAGTCTCCCATGTTGTATGTGTAACACGAGAAGAAGCGGCAGACTTTGTAGAAGATGACACGACGCATGGTTAATATAAAATGTAAATTATTTATAAATTATTATCAGTTCGGAAACGATTGTTTTGTTCAAAAGTGACATTGATACTGTATTGCATGTATTGATCATTTTTACAAATATTTTTAAAAAAATATATGTTTATTATATTAAACAAAGAATATTTCAGTTCTGTATGTGGATGGCACATTTTATGTAAATGTTTAGAAAAACTTTATTTTTTATTTTTCATTGGTAACATTATTTATATATTAGTAACACGTATCACTCTACTTTTTTATTTTCCGATTGCTATACACATACATACTATCACACTTTAATAATTATCATATATTTAGTTTCAACGATTGTTGAAGGAAAAAAAAAGATTGTCATATAAAGCACGTAGTTATGGAATTCACTAGTAATGTAAGTGAATAAAAAAAGATTTTTATTCTATTAACAGCTATGTAAAAGTTTATATTTGTTTTTTATTGTATTTAAACGTAAATTACAATACATACGGTATTTTGGATTACTGGATTTTTATTTTCACCACATATTTATACTAAATATGAGGAATATAAAAAAACCGATTTGTTGCTGGACATTGCAAAAAAGTAACAATCACGTTTAAATAGTTCTGTCATCTTTGTTACTTATCTTTTCGTTGACTGATTAAACTATCATGCATAGTTGTTACAACATTTTCTATTAATTCTGGGATAACAACACCATTTACATCAATGAAATTTGCAACAGACTTTGTAGTACTGGTCTCATATACCTGTGCTGTTGCTGTATTCCTAACAGACAGTACAAGATTATACTTATCATCATGTTTTTTTAAGTATGAACTTGCTTCCCAAACAAGATCTGGATTAAAACCTGCTGGATCTCTGAAATATGATGATTTAAAAAATATTTTCTGAACTTACAAGCTATAAATAATATTAGATATGATTTACCTTTGAATAGCAACTACAAATATACCCTTTTCTTTATATGTTGTATACAATGTTAAAAGTCCCATTAAGAAGAAATATAATGAAACACACGCAATTAAAACTGGTTTAGATGCTGGGAAAGGATAGAGATAATCACAGAGAAGAGCAACAATAGCAACTGTTACAGCTATACCACAAAGGGCTAATCTTCCATCAAGTAGAGCAAAGTTTTCTATGTAATTATATTTTTTTGTGAGTACATCTTTAACTGCATCATCCAATGCATTCTTCACTGCACCACCGTCCCATTTGTTCACTTTTATTACCTGAAAAAAAAATTACACTGGTCAGTAATGGTATATTTTTATAAGATAATGGAGAAATCAGTGTGCATCGTCTGATTCCAGCGAACGCATAAACTCCAAAAATATTATTATGTATATATACAATGTTTAATTAAAACAAAATTCCTCGAATACTTATAGCGCCATACGTGGCACGATGAACCGGTATTTACTACATAAAAATGTGTTAAAGTATCACTTATATTCATATGAAAAAAACTTTATTAACTATAAATTTCATATCATCGTGTAATTAATGTAAATCTTACAAGATTTTCTGCACTTTTATCTGAACCCATCTTAACCACAACTTTGTTGCTACAAAACAGCTGCAGTATGGCTTTCTACATACACGTCAACCGGTCAACCCATTGAAATGTTTGGAACATTCATACCACTCTCAAATTTTTTTGTTAGACTACGAAATAATCGATAAATGCATAATTTTAACTTTCGTTTTTAATTTCAATGTTTTAAATTAAAAACCATCATAGTTTAAAAACAGAAAATTAATAAAAACATATTGTGCACTGAACAGTTATAGTAGGGAATTAGTAATTACGTTTAAAAAGTATTGGCGAGCCTGTAGAATGAAGCGTTTGTATTTTGATCCTTTGATGCGCGTGCATCAGATTACATACATCGGATGCGTGGTTGGTTGGTTGGTTAGTTGTCAAGTGATAAAAGGGGAGAAATGGCGGACGAGAACGAGGATCAATGGTTGTATGGCGATTCAACGGACGGAAAAGAATACGCACCGTCGTCCGTTCAGCCAGAAAATCAAGAAAATGATTCGATTTCCGTTTCTATACAAGAAAAATCACAAACTTTGGAAGATCAAAAAATGGAAGATACTCCCGAGCCACCAACAGAGGTAGACTTCCTCTAACCTGTTCATCCGGTTATTATTACCGGATTTCATTGAAATAGAATTGAAAGAAAAAGTAATTTCGATGTATCAGCAGTTTAAACTTATTTGCACTTGCCATAAACACGATTTTTGTAATTAAAAATATGAACATATTGTGAGATTGAACCTGCATCTCTACTTGATCCATATAACCTACCTCGTATGAAAACGATTTATAATTGAACATGATTTTAAAATGATTTCATTTCTATAGGCATCCGAGGAGACAGAGCCACCAGAAGAAGAATCTTCTTCGGCTAATAACGTTCAAAATGAAAATAATACAGAGATAAATAAAAATGGAGTAAGAGAAGCTTCCAGTCAAGAGGATGGCGAAGCCGCCAGTGACTCGGATTCCGATGATGACGTACACGTTGTCATCGGAGATATTAAATCAACTCCTGCCTATGGTAGTCTAAATATTAAGAGAGGAGGACTGCTTACAAACGCGTCAGGTGTACCAGATAAATTAAACAAACAGCCAGGAAAGTTTAGTATAGATGAATTTGAAACTATAGGTGTAATCAATGGTATGCCCGCGCATGAGTTTAATCTAGATCAGTTAGAAGATAAGCCATGGAGACAACCTGGTGCAGACATCACCGATTATTTTAATTATGGCTTCAATGAGGAAACATGGAGAGCTTACTGTGAAAGGCAGAAAAGAATGAGAAGCGAATCAGGAGTAGGTTTAATACTGAATGCTGGAGGAGGTGGAGGTAATGCAGGCAGTATGAGGGTCCCTCAGGTGGCAATTACTAACGATAATAGCAAATATTCCGGTATAATGGGACCAAAGAGGGCAGGACCTCCTCCAGGAAGAAAAATGGCAGGAACGATAGATGTAATTGGTAGCTCAGGGTTAGCCTCTAGGAGGAATCTCGACAAATCTCCACCGAAAGGAAACGTGATACAAGTAATGACTGCGGATAGAAGAGAATATTCTAGAAAACCAGGTTTTCCTGATATGAGTGTACCACCTCCAGGGGCAGGGATGCCTCCTGCATTTGACATGCCACCTCCCGGATATCCTGGAGAACCTGCTCCATTTTACATGCCAGAAACAGACCCGTATTATCAAAGCTACGAACCCACCCAGGATAATCAATGGGGCAATGATCCGGTGTGTAAAACAAGCGCTCTTGTTTATTTTATCCTTTGTCTGTTAAAGAAGAAAGTTTAATAATTTATTTCAACTTCAGACGTGGCAGCCGACGAATTTAGCTATCCCGATGACAGAAGGAGAGGACGAAAAAGATAATGGTCCGAAAACGATACCAACGATGGTACCTCCTACGAATATCCCTCCGTTAATACCACCCAGAGACTCGAGGGACCGTGAAAGAGATAGAGAAAGAGAACGGGATCGCGACAGAGAATTAGATTCAATGGGAAGAGAGAGAGAAAGAGATAAGGATAGAGATCGCGATCGTGAAAGAGAAAAGGATTCGATGATCAGGGAACGAGAAAGAGAACGGGACTCGATGTCACGAGACGAAGAAAGAGATCGTGACAGGTCCCGATCCCAATATCGACACAAAGACCGGTAATAAAGCGATCCAGCGTTAAGAAATAAGATTTCTCAAAGAATTTTAGTATCTAAGTAAACACCGATCGCGTGTTCCAGTCAACGATAGTATTTTTCGTATTTTTTTAGACATCGGCACCGATCGAGATCACGATCTCGTAGGCACAAATCCAGGTCTAGAAGTCCAAGTCGACGTAAGAAGAAATCTAGACGCTCCGAGAGAGAACGTTCTAAAGAAGAAAGCGAATAAATATTAAAGAATTATTTTTAAAAATGTCTGTTGCCATATTGGCACATTCAAATTTAACATGCTGATTCTTTTAATAACGTCGTTTTTTCATTGTTACCATCAAGGATAGACGGTGGTAGAATAATCCAGTGCGATTAACGAGGAGTAGCTGCAATAAATGACTCGATCTTACACGAGATTATCGCTTGGCACTCTTCGATATTCTTTGTTCAAATCAGCAATTTCTAGCCAACAAATGAATTATATACAGTATACAATAAACTTTATGTTTAACGATACGAAAATTTCCATTGCTGTTTAATATTAATACACTGTCGGTACATGCCTACGAGTGTAGAACCAGGCACGGGATGTGAAATTCACCGAGACTTGCCATTCAATGTATGGTTTTATATCATAATGTTATTACAGAAATGGTATTTTATAATAATTAAAAGTAATAATAGTTTGTTGGTAAATCACTCATGAGTGAGTCAGTTGATCGATGCTCGTACCGTTTTAGAAAATCGATTACTTGCATCGATCGATGCGCACACGTGTTGTTGTCTTTAAATTCAATTATACCACAATTCTTTTTTTTTTTTTTTTGCATCAAATCTTCCCATTTTCATTATCATTTAATATCATCATACATAATGGAAAAAAATGTTACATTTGTACAGCCATCATATACATGTTACATTTAGAATACCGTTAATTCATTATCCTTTTTACTCGAGTGTACGCGTACATATGTACGTACGTATGTATGTATGTATGTGTTACGTGTATCTGATGCATTAGATATGCACTACTAATGAGTAAAATGCTAATAGTCAAGACAAACTACCGGTACGGTTACCTACGTTTTTCATTTATTTTTTTCTTATCTTCGAGTAATTTAGAATTTCACTTGCAAATTTCCTATTCGCGGTTTATCGATTAAAGTATTAAAAAAGGCGGTAAAATGCATGTAACGTAGATCGCCCTACGCGTAAATTGTCTCGAGTCGCCATGAATGACAATAAATAAGATTTAAGGTAGGTATTGCGTACAAAAAAAAGAAAACAAAAAGACTCAAGCAATAAAAAGCGCACTTATAATAATCACAACTACTTAAATATCATGTAGATGTCTGATATATAACTCGGTTTTAAAAAGAACAGAAAAACATCTATCACGGTTCGATACTCCTTTCTTTTTAATGAAAAAAGAAAAGCATTGGCAAAGATAAGGAGCGCTATGCTTGACTACAAACAGGAGAACAATATAGGTATATAAAAAAAAAGAAACAGTAAAAAAAAAAACAAAAGCTTGAACACAACAATGAAATAAAAGTAAAAATAACAAAAAAATAGAAATAAGAATGCGTTGGATCCAAAGAGCAAAGCTTGCAAACGATGAACAGGAACGTGCAAAATTCTTGTCAATTTTTTATTATCATTCTTCTGTTTTTTTTTTCTTTTTTAATTCATTTTATTGTAATAAGTTATCACGACATCTTCTTTTCACATTATATTCAGATTCGAAAATCCTTTTTTTATTTAACTTTCTAGAAAATATGAAATACAATCGACAAAGACGCTAATATATATATATATAATATGTATATATTTATATATAATAATACCGTAACGACGTGTTACCGTTCCTGGAAATAGTTTTACAATACATATAATATCGGCGGAAACGCTTTATTTTTCCTTGCACGGATGCTGATTCGACAGAACATTGAAACATAAACATAAAAAAAAAAAAAAAAAAAAAAAAAAGAAGCGGCAAAATCAAAACTCTTTGGACCTGGGCAATCTATTTTGAACCGCTACCACCACAAATCGAAAAGAGAAAACGATACAATTAAAAAGAACAGAAAAATGAATACGGTATGTATTTGTATTTTTCTGTACGTATGTGTTGCAATAATTCAAACAACGAAACAATCAAGAAATCAGAAAATGAAAATTGATACACGAGAAAATGTACGTGTGTGCTTCGTAAAAATTGTGTTTCTTTTTCTTTTCGGAACTTTACGAAAAATTCGAGTACGTCGGCTCTACCATCGATCTGTGACTATTTAAAAAAATCTACGCTCTTTTACCAAGGGATGTAAGTGTATTACATATTTCTTATATTTTTTCTTGTTGTTTTCTTTCGAAGGTGGCGGTTTATGGTGGCGTTTTGTTTTTTAATCGCTAATGCAATTTCTCGTATAAACATTTTTCTCAACATGCTGATTCACGTTACTTTTTTGCTTCCGTTTTTTTTTTTTTTTTTCAACGGATTACAACGAAGTATCGTACTTTTTCTGTTTTTTTTTTTTTTTCATTTTCTTTTGTTTGTTTCTTTTAATCTACCTCTCGCTTTGTTCTGCCTGCATGTGTAAAAAACATCGTCGAAAATGATTCTTCTCGTGGCTATTTCGTCGTTTTTTCTACGTTCTATACACTAATATACAAGTTATGCAATTTATCTCGTTTTTTTTCCGTTTTCCATGAAATCCATATGCCTGTCCGTCCCACTTATCTAGTTTTATCCGCTAATATGGAATACATTTCTTCTTTGCTCTTTATATCCCTCTGCATCTACCGTGTGTGTCCCAGAAGCATCACCGGCTCGTACATATTGTTCGCGCTTATAACAAAATTTTCAACAAATACACCAAGGCATTTCCGTAAAATGTATAGAAAAATTTCAATCAGCCTTTTCATCGACTTTACGAAAGCGAATTTACAATTAACTCTTGTGTTAGCGAGCAACCGTTTACCCCTTTATTTATCTTTTCATTTTAACAAGAAATTTTGTACGTAATTGTGAGAACACCGTAAAATTGATTCGAATCTTCATACTTGAAATATTTTTACGTCGATTCACGTTTCCAGAATAAAAATGTTCAATGTTAAAGCTTCGATATCGGATGCCCGCACAAGAATTAAGTCTTTGCATTGTATATTTCACGAACACAGATATTTCTTTTTTTTTTTTTTTTTTTGTCGAAAATTACACCTTTGATCGGCGACAATTTACATTCTGTTGAAAATAAAATAAAAGACAGAACGAATGCAAGTGTATGAACCAGTGAGCGTGGCAAACGAGTGTACGCATACATATATGACATACAATATCTGACAAATATATACGATATATATATATATGTTCAATTAGTCCTGCGAGTCCGTTGTTGTATATATGTGTGTGTCCTTGTGTATGTCTCTTTCTGTCTGTAGTGTTGCATGAAGTTTTGAAAAAAAAAAAAAAAAAAAAAAAGAAAGAAAGATGATTACATTCTGCGATGAGAATAGCGCGCAACTGTACATCAGTCTTAATATCAGGGCGCACCATTCCCCTGTCCTCTTCGTACTTTCTTCGTTTTCGAAAACGAAGAAAGATACGAAATGTCCTGTTTTCTAAAGATTTTCCATTGTCGTTCGAATCACAATAGCTTGCTCGTACACATATATTTAAGCGCCATGGCAGTTGAAACCGGTGGGTGCGATGACGATGAGCAAATGGGGTGAAAAATGCGGTCATTCAACCTGTGTGCGCACCTTTGTATTTGGTAAGTGTCAGTGTCCTTGTGAATCTGTATTCGTTAAATTCGCATCCAATTAACACGTTGATTACGTCCTGAAACATTGTTTGCTGCTTGAAACAGTCGTAGCGAAAGGGGTAAGGATACCATTGTTTTCTTCTCTAATTTAGATTCTCCATTTTTTTACCTTACATAATTATTACACCATGGTGAACGTGTTAGTAAAAGATACTTCTTCATTGAATACAGTAGTAAAATGTCTTGTGTGTTGTATATTTTGTGTGTGTGTGTGTGTGTGTGTGCACGATCGAGTGTGTTTTATAAGTGGGAGGTCGTCGCAGATCTTTCATATATATATAATACAATTAGCATGTAGTATTAAAATCATATACAATTGTTACAATATTTAAATAGTACTTATTACATATATATCATATACCGATAGTTTTCAAAGTTTTCTTTTAGGTATACATATACAGATATATATATATATTTATATGTATATATATGTATAATCAATTATTTATAGGGTTGCTTAAATCGTTTTTTCCTCTTTCGAATCATTACGCCCGTCCCGTCGTGAAGGACCCTTTCCTTAATCTCTTTGTTTCCTTTCGTTATTCTTCTTCATTTTTGTTATGCCTTTTCTGTTAACATGTTCGCCAGAAATCTTGAAGAGACGGTGGCGTGTGTCCGGGTAAGAGAAGAATTAGGGGCGAAATAGAGAGAAAAAGATGATTGTATCTAAAGAGTACAAATATCGAAGATTAAAAGGGGGTAAATATGTAACGCAACGTGATAATGCTCTAATTATTCTGCATTATATCTCTGTATACGCTGAATCCGCTGGCAGAAACGATTTATTTACGATCGTTGTATAATTTTCAGGATTAATTTAAGAGATTCGCAGAGTTTATTCGAAAAATCGTGCGTTACATGCAAGTACTGCTCGAATACCGTTTTTTTTTTTTTTTTTTTTTCCTAAATACAATACAGAAGAAAATATAAGTGCAAACGATGCGAGTCAATTCCTCTCCAATTAACGAATTACACAACTTCGTCGGGCACTTTACTCGAATTTTAATTTAAATAATAGTAAAATTCATCGAATTCATTATATACAGGGATATTAACAGTGCAAAGATGCCCCTATGATAGTATACTCAATATGCGTGAATGTTCAGCCAATTTCAGTGTTTTTCACCCAATTAATTTTTTCAAAAAAATAATGTTCACGCGTTGCCAGAGAGAAACGAATGAACCTGTCGATCGTCCCTCTCTCTCTTTTTCTTGTTCTTGTGTTACACAGGCAAGAGTAAGTTCGATATCCTTTTACATATAGCGTTACAAATTCCGCGAATTCGGATCCTTTATTAACAAAAAAAAAAAAAAAAGAAAAAAAAATATCTGTTCCATTTCCTAGGCGACGAATCGTACGCACGCATATATATATATATATATATATATATATAATCGCACAGAAATTTACAAAAGATATACCAAAAAACCACCGTGTGTACAGAAAATACTGAATCACGACTCGCACTTTTACATATTTTACAACGAGTACACGCTCTCGAGGAACAGGATGTACACGGTTTTATTTACTCTTATTTTTCTTTACGATTATAAATTTCGCAGACGGATCTGAGGTTCGCACAATCCGTAATGCAGTAACAGAAAAAAAAAGCGAATGACGAAGGAAAAGTACAAGTTAAAAAAGATCGAAAGACCAACGTGTGTAGTGAACGCGTGTTATGTGAACGTGTACCATTTTTCCATTATTTTTTCGCTTTTTTTTTTTTTTTTTTTTTCATTTTATACATGGTGCCACGCGCAACCAGTAATATTTCATTCTCGCGCTATATAAAAAATTTACACTATTTATAATCAAAAATCGTTTAAGAATTTCTTTTCATTCCTCAGAAGCTTAAGTAGAGATGTGTACATACATGTATATATATATACATATAACACGACAGCAATCAGATGGTCAATATTTTAATGAAACATTTGTATTTAATTTCCAGCGAAAGTAAAAGAGAATCGTATCGTTACCTTGTTGAAATCTTTCAAATGACCAAAATCATACAATCGCATATGTAAAAGGAAAACGTGTCCATATTAAATGTATAAAGCCTTAAATATCTTTGTCCTCACTCGTGTTTGCATATACATATACATATATTCTTTTTTTATAGAAGTGTGAACCTAGCAATCATTAGTAATAGCAATAATAATCAATATAGGGAAGGTCGTTAATCAAACAATATTGATAATAATTATAGTAATAATAATAATATAGTAATAATGATAATAATAAGAATCATAATATAATAATAATAATAATATAATAAAAATATAATAATAGTAATTAAATCTTAGCTGATAAAGACATGAGATTTTGCGTTCAATTTTCGCTTCTGTTATTACATGACTTCAGTTTCATTTTTTTTTTCTTTTTTTTTCTTCATTTCCATATCAATGTTAAACCTTGCTAAACTCGACAGGGGTGATATATCGATGCTTTCTATTACAAAAATGAGGGGGATGGTTTAATTCCGACGTTTAATTTACAAATGATGCGCGCAATTTACAGAGATGAATGGAACACTATCATCGTTCCTTATTATTTAAATATCAGTTAAACAACGTGGTATATTCACGTAATCCGCGGTTTTTTAACAGCGAGTATATATATCCTGTCGACTGAGGGGGAGGGAGTGTGAAAAAAAAGGTGGCGGTTGGAATGTCTCTGTCTGTATTTATATTGAATTTCTTTCTTTCTTTCTTTCTTCCTTCCTTGCGTTAATCACTCGTTATATCATACATATCGACTCTTTCCTTCTTTCTTTTTTTTCCCCTGTTTTCACGGCTCCAAAAAAAAAAATGAGCAGCCTCCTCTCAGCGATTTCCTATAAATTCAAGATCGAATCCATGTGGACGAGGAAATAAATAGTCAACCGCATACGTTATCATCGTATCTCCACGAGTACCAGTACTTAATTTATCAAACAATCAAGTCGGGTACGATTGAGAAAAATTAAAAAAAAAAAAAAAAAAAAAAATTCCTTGAAACCCGATAGAAATTGCGTTTTACGCATTTTTCCCTCATAAACATTTCTTTATCTTTAGTTTTCATTATTGTTCCTAGTTGTAACTCGGTCGCGTCACTAACGGCAAATAATCCCCGCGAGAAAAAGAAAGAGAAAGAGAGAAAGGATTACCTAAGAATTTGTCAATTTCGTTAATAAATCGTTATTTACAATATCTTACAAAGAAATCTGCTATAATATATATGTTCTTCCTCTTCTTTTTCCTTTTTTGCTCGTTTTTTGCCTTCCTTCTTTCTTTTTATTCGTTTGTTTGTACAAAATCGCGCGCAACGTGAGGACCTCGTGTTGCATTTACGGCTGTCCCTTTCTTTCTTTTCTTTTCTCGTTCCTCTCTTTGTTTGTTTCTTTGTTTGTTTAGAATTCTACATATTTAACACCTAAGTTAACAAAATATTATACATTGTACACGGTTAAAATACAATTCGATCTTATCATTACCTATTCGGTCATACGAGAATCTGGCAACACGCAACCAACTACTTTCTCTGGATTTCAGTACTTAATGTGTGTGTGTGTTTTTTTTTGTGTCTGTATTTGAAACACAAATTGAGAGAAAATGTGTCGCGCGTACGAGCGTCGAATTTAAAAAACTTGGCGAGATTTTGTACAATCATCGAGGGAACGTCTCGACAAAGAATAATTATTAATATATATATACACACACAACTCGTGAAGCAATTTCGATGTAACGTTCTGCTTCGAAAACGCTGCTGTTCTTGCTTCGTTCTCAGAATTCTTCGCAATGGAAATAATTCCAACAACGAAACACTGCCTTCTCTCTTTGTGACCTCAACCTCTCTCTTTTTGTTTCTTTCTTTCCCCTCAAAGGATACGTCTTGAACGAACACAAAATCCTATTTACCAGGAAACGTATAAACGTTGCCTGAAAAGGATTAAAAGAACAAAAGAAAAGAAAAAGATTGTTTACGATGAAACATTTGAAAAAAAAAGAAGAGCGTCTTTCGGAGACACGATGGAATCGATAACGCGGTTTCATCGTGCGTACAGATACATATAATTACAGACGGGAAATTAGGAACGTTAAAAAAAAAAAAAGAAAAATAACGATGCATGCACGATATGAACGAAGCTAACCGAAAGCAAACTAAAGTGAAAATTAAAAAAAAAGAAAAGAAGAAAAAGATTCGAGGAAACAAGGGATGCGTGTCCTTTCTCTTGCCATAGCTTTTCGGAATTCCGACAAAAGATACAAGTGCAGTGTTATTGAAAACAGCTGAGAGGTGCTCTTTCCAACCGTCTTACGTGATCGGTATTATAAATACAATCGAAATACTCAATGCGTGTGTATGCGTGTACGTGTGTATACGTTTCTTAATGCGTGAACGTGTAAAAGGTCAGAGTGGAAAAATGACGCGAAAAAGATATATAGATACATACGTGTTCTTCGAGTTTCTCTATCCTCCAAAGAACACGTTATCATTTATACAATATACAATGGGTTATGTTTAAATAATCACCATGTGTGGTCTATGATTATTTAAAATGAGAAAAGGAGGGGTGTTTGGTTATTATATATATATATACGGTTTGATCGAGAAGGGGCGGATAATTTAGATGAACCCGAATATAAACGATTTCTTTCTTTTAGAGCGTCTCTTTTGTCAAAAATGAATGTTTCGTATTTTACAATAAGGAAAATGTGTAGGAGGATTAGAGACCATGTTAAAAATGGCAGGAGAAAAGAAAATGGTACCGTGGCATTTCGTGTACTTGCTGCTAAACAAATCTTCTAAAATTATATAGAGTCATTGCGTTCTCCGTTTCTCCTTCTTAATCCTCTAGTTTGATTCTAATTGTTCTTGCACCTACAAATATCTGTAAAAAGATTATGACAGATGTTTTAAGTACAAGGATAATTAGAATCGGATAGAGAAGGGTTGGTCTATTTGAGAAATTTCAAAAGATGTCTCTGTTAGCGAGTACAGGAAATGCGGCTGAAAACTTATCGATCAAATGAATGACGTTAAAAGACAATTAGCCATCTCAGCACTACAGTTTCTTTTACAACTGCTTAAAAAGCTCGTCCCAACCTTAACGAAGGAACGTTGGTTTTCGAAGTGTTAATATCGTGGTGCAACTTTCTTTGCGTTATTTTCAATACGAATCACTATCAGTAGTATATTAACTCGGCAGCACGTTAGACGATTACTAATAGAAAAAAAATGCCACTGCACCTCTAACGTTATTTCTACAAAAATTGATTTTTCCGACACACATTTGACCTTGAAATATTTTTTTTTTTTGTTTGCTTTCCTCACACCGTGATCTCGCGTTGTCCCTCTTCTTTGTTACGTTTTCTATACAAATCGCCGGTTTCCCTTTTGTTCACAGTTTTGCAAAAATAAGAAAAATCGTTTCTTCCATTTTTTAATAGTTCTTTCCCCTTTTATCTGAAATTTGGTTTACTTCCTTCCTTTCGGTTTCACGATCTCGAAGAAGGGACAACGAGATACATACGGCACGCTAAAATGCATCCTCTTTTTTTCTTCTTCGTCTATTAAATTAATGGTGATAGATACGTTGCAATAAATATTACGTAGGTCTTGATACGCGTTTGCTTGATTTTTTTTCTTTTTTTAAATCGTACGATCATCTTTGAAGTTGTTACTTTCCACGAAAATCGTACGCATTTTACAAAACCTGCGTTGGCTGCTGAGCTGGCGTAGAAACGGGACCAGCAGCAGAAGCAGGCGGTCCGATCGGACCAAGATCGCCTCCACCGCTTGAAGCACCAGCAGGTGTTGTCACTCCCATCGCGGACGCGGTTTTCATGAAGAACTTCTCTAGTTTGACAATGATGTGCTTGCCATAGGTGTACTTGCGCAAGCTACCTAAATGTGGGCGGATCTTGTGCATCAATACTTTACGCTGGGCTGGTTCCGCCACGTCGATCATCTTTTGCACCACGTAGTTGGCATACTGATCCTTCATCATTACGTTTAGTGCGCTGTTTCGTAAAGACGTAGCAAAAATTAGACTAACGTTGACTAATCGCGAACACTTGCTGTAACGTATCCAAATAATTTAAAAGCGAACTTACTTATCGTTAAAGCCGCATACTTCTTCAATGAGTACAGCACGTTCTTGTCTCGTAGCATGAGTTACACATTTTTCAACAACATTGCTTGCGAATTTGTGTTGAGAAAGTGTAAGTACTTTACCCCTAACGCTGCTGATTAATTGTGTCTTGTCCTCCGGTTTTCCGTGTTCTTTGAAACAAATCGAACCAGTCGTGTAAGAATAGAAGAAAATGAACGTTGAAGAAGTAGATTTTCAAGCAAATTATTACTCACCAAGTACATGCTGGATAACGTAATTGCCATACTGATCCTGAATGAGTTGATCAGTGGCAGCATGTAGCTCCTGAAGGATGCCCTGAGTTTGTTCAGGAGTGCAATGTTCTAAAATACGTTGGATCACTCTACAACCGTAAGGATGAGTGCTCAACGAGTAAACTTGTCCAGCGAATGCTCCGATGACGAATTGCAATGCTCGTGGTTCAACACACTCGATGCATTTTTGCACGACGTGATTACCATTCTGATCTTTAACGCATTTCAAAACGTGCCCATCCAGTTCTCGTACAATCTCTTGTTGCTGTTCAGGTCCGATCGATTCGAGAGCCTTCTGAATCACTCTACAGCCGTACATCTGCAGTGCCAAAGGCAGTACGTGTCCTCGCACCTAATACAATGTTTGATAATATAGTAAAATCAAAAGAACCTATCGAAATGAATTTAATTTGCCCGATCAGGTAGAATATTGTTTTTCGATCACAACGAATTAAATTCAGCTGACACGCAAAATTAATCATCATCGCAGTTCAAAGATTTGGCAAATTTCCTAAAGTACACAAGTTACGCCACCGAAGCCTTTCATGCTATCTATCGACAAAAAAGAAATATTTAGAATTACTTTTTGAGCCAGAGTAGACTTTTGTTCCGGTGTGCCAAACTCGAAGAATTTTTGAATAACGTAATTCCCAAATACGTCTGTCATCAATGAATAAGCAGATGTGAGAATCTCTTGAAACACGAGTTGCTTCTCGCTGGCTGAAGCACGTTCTAATTTCTGCTGAATGAAACGAGAGCCATGCTGATCTTGGCTGAACTCGACTATGTGATTGGTCAAATCGCGTAGCTGAAGACTCGGGAATCTGAAACATATGAGAAAGAAGCTCGTAATTCAAGCAACGCGCGCGAACACGATCAGATTCGTACGTCTCGTTGACCGAGAAATCGCGTACCGGTTATTTCTGAAATCTTCCAATAAACGCGATCGTCCTCCGGCATTTTTGTCGCCGATGCTAGTTGTACCACCGCGGCCAGGTTTCCCTACCAGGTTAGGGAAAAGAGAACTACTAGAGCCAAAAACTCCATTAGCTGTTAGAGCTGGAACTGCGCTGGCACGGAATTTGGCTTCGGCGCCAGGAGCAGCAGACACGCGACTAGCCCCGCCGACCAATCCGCCTAAAGACCCTCCCAAAGTTGGAGGTGGTGTTAAGGATAATCCTAATGGGCTCGGTGATGCCGTTACCGTCCCTGTAAACGAGATCATGCAAACATACTTAATGTAGAACAACGTGATTTTACATGAAAACATTGCACTGTACAAAGAAACGGTACAATACTATCGTTTAGAGATTCCTACCAAGAGCTCCGTAACTTTGAGGCCACTTAGCCCGGCTGTATTCCAAACTGGGACTGAAAGCCGAGGTGTTTCTATCAAACGAGTCTCTTCGGGCAGTCGACGAAGCTCCAAGACCAAGACCTGTGAACAGAAAGCAAGACAAAGTTAAAGAACGGATATCCTATAACCGATCTGTGATTTCAAGATAAAGCGGTTGCTAGAAAGGATAATACATTCAACATGGGTGAGTAAAAAGACAAATGATACGCTCACAAAACATGCAAATATGTATATGTATATGTATATATATATATATATATATATATATATATGTGTATGTATATTCTCAGTAGTTATGTACAAAAGAATCGAGGACACCGCCAACGCCTGAAATAATTGAAAAGAGTAGAGAAAGTCGTTTGAAAGATTCTCTGTTCGTTGGTTAGGGAATGTGGTACCTGTGCTCTGAAGCTGAGCAGGTGATCCCAGTGCTCCCAGAGGAGAGCCTCCGTATCCTAGAGCCGCTAAACCCGCGGCTAGTCCTGATCCTTGTTGCTGAGCCTGCTGCACCGCGACCGCTTGAGCTTGTGCAGCTACCACCGCTGCAGCACTGCACGCCGCCAGACCTGCACCACAAAAGCCCGCGACCCACACACGCTCTTAGTTATTCAATTAATTAGCCGTACCTTACCAACCTTACACCGTCTATAAAAGCTGTAGTAACAACCACGTGTTTCACAAACAATAATAATAGTAATGGTAATGGTAACAACACATACACAACACGCAACGCTTATCTCCTTTTATCGATACACATTGATTTCTCTATTGAATATGAATTTATATTTAGTCACCAGTGGTTAATACGCGATGTGTAAAATATACACAAAGTATGTACAGACAAGTTATTTTACGACGTTAATTGTAGCCACTTTTCAAAGTATTGTTGACATATGTGTATGCCATGCATGTACTGTATAAATGTACACAAGGAATGCAGAGTATTTGAACAGCGGTATGTTCGCGGTTAACACTTTGATGATTATTCAGTTTTTACGACATCGACTTTTTGCTTGGATTTCTGTTTATCGTATTAGGCGATAATTACAGTTTGAGAATTTGTCATTAGAGAATGAGGATCTCGTCAAAGTATTGATGGTGATGAATATTTTTACAAGATACTATGTATAAATACAATTGGAATTGAATCACATGCATTTAAATTATAATATTTTCTATGGGAATGGATTTGTGATGTGTAATTGAATTCTTTGTTATACATTAAATACATACAGAGTTATTTTATCCGCGCATTTTATACATGAAAATTTTTAGCTTGTAAACATAAAGCTGTTCGAATACTTTCGCGCACGTTTCATCAGAAAATAAATAACACATATCTACAATGGTGACGAGCAAGTTTGAATATTTAATTACAATGTCCATTATTCTAATTGAATCTTACCCAAACATTCGCCGGGTGTCGCATTACTATGGGACGTAGGTGTCGGCTGTGAATAAAGACTCGGTGGTGGAGGAGCCGGTGGTCCCGGTGGTGGTTGTGACGGAGCTCTGTTTACCAAAACTGGCGCTGGACTGACTAATCTCATGGGGGTTGCTGCGGAGCTCAGACCACGCACCCCTCCCATCACTATGGAACCATTTTGATCGTAATACGCTGGTATCACCTGATATTGGCCTTGAACCTGTAAAAAATATTTTTTTATTATTTTAAAACAATATATAATAGAAGTATTAACACATCTTCAAGATACAAAGTAGGCTCCAAATGGAACGAGTTCATTCTATAAATTTCAAGCGAATCGAAGCGATTACTAGCTCATCCCTGTCGGCTAAAACCGTATCTCTCGACAATAGAATTTATTTCGAAACACGTGCGCTGAAAACTACGTCGATGTCTTGCGCGGAGATTCGTGAAACAGACTAATTAGCTGCTTACCGTCTGTGCCAAATTATTTGCAGTGTCTTGGGCGGCGGCTGCTGCCGCAGCAGCCGAGGATGGTGTCAGTGGTCGCCTGGGTGGCGGTGGAGCCGCAGCCTGAGGTGGTGCTTGGGGCAACAATCCGGCTGGATAAACCCATGGCGCGACTCCATAATACTGTGGTACCACTGGAGGTGGTGCTCCAGCTATCAATGCACCGACGTATGGTTCTTGCCCGCTGATCACGGTATAAGGTGCCGTGGGAAAGTTTTGTTGCTGTTGCTGCTGCTGTTGCTGTTGAGCCTGCGATGCGGCCAAGTATTGTTGTTGCTGTTGCTGCTGCTGCTGTTGTAGCAACTGTAGTTGCTGTGGCGTCGCACCTTGCGGCTGACTACGAAACAGTTGCTGCAAACGGACAATGATAGAAACGTTTAATTTACACGTTGCATTCTTCTAGGTTGCGTGTGAATTTTTTGCTGAAATCATTCTAGACACCCAACGCTCACCGCGCCAGAGACCCGAGTAATTTTAACTTCTAGTTTTTCTTTATTTTTTATTATCGCCAGAGATATTCGATCCACCTGACCCAATACAGAGAAAGAGGATCAAACATAATTCTGAAAGAGCTAGAATACAGTTATGCGACAATTTCTAGAGGGACACTGTCGTTTTCAAATTTTCGACATAATACAAACGTGCGAAAGATTACAAATAACGTCCAGTCGCCATCCATCGTCTCAATTTATTCAACAATGTTCGACCATTTACCTAGGAAACTGGGCAGAATTCCAATCTCTTCGACAGAGATTAAAACGTCGAAATAGAGCGCGACTGATCCAGCGCATTCGTCGAATTCATCCTTCGTGACGAGATACAACATCGAATAAAACATCGAGTCTAAAAGACGAAAGACACTTTATAAAGGTAGATGAAAATTAAGCCGGGCTAGGTTTGATGATCGAAACCACGTGAGAAAGAAAAAAAGAGAAAAACGGTGGAAGCGAGAGTATAGAGGTTGGTAGAATGGAACGGTGTAAAAGCAGCATTAAAATTGACGACTAAGGCCTGGCATGGCCTGGCTTGGCTTGGGTCGACGACCCCCTGCGGACGTTCACCGACAACCGTTCGCCTCTATGTTACACCGGTACTTGTTCTGGACTCTAATTGACCGACAAACGTGGTACGGTTTGACCGTGGCGGGACAAGCATCAAACAGGAGAGAGGGCCAAGTCTGGCCCGGTTTTGTCTTTCTCTTCGTTCGCTTCTTCCTTTGCCTCGAATCACGACAGGCGGTTGCTGCTTAACCGCTCGTCTCAATATCATCCGACATTACTCGATTACTTTGACATTTTAGTAAATTCACGTTCATTCGGTAAAGAAATATTTCAAAAGACAACGACGACACCGACGCGCTAATTGTCAGACAGAGTTACAAATGAATTGCCTTTCGACGGTTAATTCGTCAAGGAAGAGGTACGTTTACCTTTGGATAGGCAATTACCGTGTTGCTCGTTACCGAAGGGGGACCACCTACGACTTTTTTCCTTCCTACCATCATTAACTCTGACCATAAAAATTATCTCTCCGGACCTTTAACGAAGACAACGATCTGGTAAATAAATAGGCATTGTCTGGACAGGTTGTTGGCTTCGCGAGAGCGTAGAAACTTGAACCATTCACGACACGCTCTAGCCCTCTCGAAGCAGCGATGCGTTTCGGGTATTAACCTCTTCCGGAAGTGGCTCGAGCATCAACCAAGGCCACGGTTACGTTTCGTTATTATATTCCATGCGCGAACCTTTCAGCTGGGCCCAATTTTCCCAACCTCCTTTGCAAGGAAAACCAACAAGAATTTAAAAAGAATTATTTTTAATTTCCCAATTGGGAACTGAACGCGATAGAGGGTTAAATTCAGTATGATTGAAAGATACGCCAAGCTTAGAAACGCTTTGTCCGCAGAGGCGACGGATTATCTCGTCGAACGACGAGTGCCAGATTACGCTCGCGTATTTATTACGCGTCTATGAGATGATTAATGCAACACCGCTATCTTATCACTGGTTGACCCACGAACACCTCCGTACGGACGTATCTCGAAATGCACCACTCGCCGCTATGATTATATCATTTTATCATTGAATCACGTCGAACGATTAGGTTTCAATTACTTAACGAGGGGAACGTTTTCATCGTACCAAGCTAACGGCTCGATTAACAACAGCTTGACAAAACACAAAGGGGATCATTGGGTCGGTGTGGTGGAAACGGGTCGGCTTGTGTCACGCAGGAAGCAGGAAAGCGAGAAAAGAACGGTTTGAGAGGCCACTCAATTCACGGCACAGTTTTGAATGGAGTTGCAGCAGCGCAGCCACCATTACCGCAGAAGTCATTAGTGGCCTCGAACAGGAAGAGCTGAAGCGAACGGCTAAATGGAAATCACGGTGATTGCGTTTGAAAAGGGTGGAGAAAGAGGAGAAAAAAAAAAAAAAAAAAAAAAAAAATGGGGTTGAAAAGCGAGGGAACATAGAAAGGAGACAGAGTGAAAAAAAGAAGAGAGACGGAGGCTGGGAGCATTTGATTTTGGCAAGGGTGGATAACAATGAAAACCGGGAACATTGTGGTAGGTGAGAAAAGAGGGACGGCCGTCGCGTCGCCTCGCGTCGGGATAACGTTCGTGGAAAGCAGCACCGTGACTCACTGTTGAATACGTAAGGCTTCCGCCGCCGGCTTACAGATTCGCGGTGCTACAATACCAGCCTATCGATTCCTCGCACTACACAACACTCGAGTTGAAGAGGAAATATCTGCCGTTTAGTCGACCGTGACAATCGTTGCCAGATTTGTCGAAAACCCCTCGTCGAATCGTTAAACACGCGTCCTTAATCGCTCGCGGCGTTCGATATTACGCGAACCACCAACGCGGACTGCCTCGTTTCAATTTTCTACGAGTATCTAATTATTCGATTAACAGACTTGACTCTTTCGATGCGATTCGTTCAACAGTTCGTAGCCGATTGCCGCGTATGTACGAGTCCTGGAAAATGGATCGTTAATTACGATGTACGCGTGCGGTGAAATTGGCGTAAAGACCGAAGTTCGATTACCAACGCGCAAAGCGGTCCATCGCGTAATCAATGATATAAGAAGCATTAAGCAAGAGGTATTCGTTACTAAATCCTTCGCAAAGCGGTCGTGAAAACGGGTTTACCGTGGAACAGGTTCAACGAACTTTCGAGAGTGCTCGTTTGACTTTCAAAACGGCGTGCCACGAATGGTTACTTTAACATTTACTACGCGGCACCCCGTTTCGCCTTTCTTGCGGCTACTACGAACCATCGATCCTTTCGATCGCGTCGAAATTTCGACCGTTTACGTCGGTCCCGACGAAAACACGAGTAGTAGAAATACCGATTCACGCAGCCCCAGTGAAAAATGATGTAGCTGGTAAGACACATTGTAACACGCGTTGATCGACGCAGTAGAAATAACCGTACGTAGTCAGACACAGGTTAATGTAGACTTTTAACGAGATTAAAAATGAATTTTTTAATACGATACTTCAATTTAACGCGTCCTACAATTCCCTGCTCCAATGTGTTCCCAGCGTTAAGCAATATCGTCGAGCAACTTTCTATTTTATGGTCGCAGTTGCAATTGTCAGATCGAGGATAAACGAAAGAAGGCAGACGAAGTGCCGTAGTCTTTTAGGAACATGGCTGATTTTTTTTTTTTTTTTTTTTCTACCGCTAGTACGATCGACGAAGCTCGCACTTTCGAGAAGGGAAACGGTTTCGTACGTTTCGCGATAAACTTTTGTCGTTAATAGCGTTCCCTCGGTTCCGCGTAAACGCCGCGAAAGATCGATTGTAATGCAGACATCAAACACGGGTCTCGAATCGGAGCATGCATCCGCCAGCAGCGTTTTATCGTTTCCCATTGTCACGATCGCGAGAAACTTTGATAACGGCATGGATATCTATACGTGTACCAATGTATCGCGGCGGTGTCTCTCGATAACGCATTTTAGTTTCGCTGACACTACACCACCGCCAAACATTCAATTCTCTATGCGCGTTACGGTTTGACCGGAACAAACGCAAACGTTTGACACATTTATTCCTGTAATCTGATGCTGCGAACCGCGATTCGATGCTACGAAACGTGTCGATAGATAGTTATCTGGAACAAGAGGTCGTATACATACGAGGGCCGCAATTACTTTAAATCGTTGGATGACTTTGCTCGTCTAAATATCGTTGGCAGAGTATTAATTAATGGACAGAGCCATTAACCTTGGCTGCTTGTGGAAACCTTTTTCCCCCGGTTCAATTTCTTTTTCCACTCTTTTCGTTGCCTCGTATGCTTATTTCTACGGAACATGTAATTTCAATTAGCCACCAGTTCTGTTCTAGATCGTTGAATACCCCGCGAGGGTTACTTTCCGTTGACACGATCGATTTTGCAAGGTTGCACAGCCGGAAAGGGTTCAATTGGAAAACGAAACGATCGTACTCTGAATAATTGCTAGTTTCATCTCTAAAGATTCACGCGTCTTTCGAATGCACGATCGATGCTGACGTCACGAAGCTAACTTGAAAATGGGTTGCAAGTATCGAGGCAAGGCACGACGATGTTGGCCTTGTAATGTCACGCGTGTCTCGAGAATTACGTCGTTCGGACAGCTTGGGAGTATTAAACTTTGCCTCTGTGTATCTTACGTTTTCTTACTTGCTGTTAAGATTTAATTAATCGTTCCGAAAACAGTCTGTCCCGGTGCATCCGTAATTCTTCTCGTTACTATCCTAACGTGGCTGCAAACGGCAACGGCTTACAATCGTGCTGGGGAAACTTTTCGATACGAGCGTGCGGGCACGTGTGCACGTGTGGAGCCAGAAGCTGGAAACATTCGTGCATCTGTGATGCGGTAATGAACGCTGAAACTGGCCGGTAAAACTTTCCGCCAGGCTGAATTGAAGCGAATCTAGATTTCGGCCTGCACATTACCATATCTCCTAGGAGAGCGTTATTATTGATTCTAAGCGGGCAAAGTCGGTTTCAGCGCGGTGCAGCGAGGCTCGAATAACGCGCACACCTCGGCCAAGACGAATTTCCCGTAAAATTTATTAACGTTTCGCCGCGAACAACGCCATTAATTCGCTTTGATTGCCGCGAATTTGAATATCAACCTTGAGCGAAACGTTTCACCGCAAGCCTCGCCACCCCCTTCCGACCGCTATCGAACCGTGGGAAATTTAACCCCTTTCGCGTCTTCCTTAATCGAGAGGGGGGAAAAAAGCACCGATATTAACGAAGATTTATACGCGTCACCGGTCGAATCCGAACTTCGCCGACGGAAATCACGATAAGCGGATGCTCGACGTTTATAAATCGACGATTCTTCGAGC